TAGCTTATTTATCTTAATTACCCTTAAAACGTACTAATAGGCTAAGAACCTATATAAGTAATTATAGTAGCCTAAGACTACCTTATAATAAAGCTACGCCTAAACTCCTAATATATTAACTTATATTATTTCTAAGATCTTATAAGATAGTAAAATTAAGAAAGGAATTTAGAATAAGTTAGACAGCCCTTATTTATAGGAGCTAATAGTATTTCTAGGATAGTAGTAATTACTAATAGAGCACCTACTGCTCTTTAATAGGCACTAAGTCTTACCCTAGCGTTTAGGGATGCTGCCTTTATTAGATAATTCTTAAGAACTATAGTAACTTACCTTATCCCCTACACTAACCTTCTCTAAGGGGCTAACTAACTACTTTATATTAAACGCCTAACACTTAGCACCTAGTACCTAGCTAATAGACCTATTATTAATATTCCTCCTTAGGCTAAGATAAATAATTTCTATAATAATAAAAATAAACGCTAGCTTATAGGGTAGCTACTAAGGGTTAAAACTTAAATTCCTAATGCCTCCCCTTAATTTAGGAACCTCTTACTAATAGTACTACCTACTTAGTAGATAGCTTATTTCTATATACTTAACCTTACTAATAAACAGGTCCTATTATAGTTAGTCTAGAGTGTTTAGGCCTATATAAAGCGTTTCTAATAAGACTTACTTCCCTTAAAGTTCTTAGTTCTTATAACCCTTATATTTTAGGTCTATATTTAGTACCTAGTTAAGACTATAGAAACCTTTACTAAGGATAAATAAGGTAATATTATAAGAGAGGTGCCTTAAGTTAATCTTAGAATATAGCTAGTCTACACCCCTTACTTTATAAGGTACTATAAGATAATAGGCCTAGCTAGGTATTAGTATCTATTCTAATTTACTAACTCCTATTATAAAAAGGATTAAGACACCTTTAGAAATTCTAGTGCTATTCCCTTTAGGGATATTAATAAGGTAGAGGTATTAGCGCTTATTAATAGCATAGAACTACGCTTTTACAACTTTAAGAGAATCCTATTTTCTATATAGCCTAGTAGCAGGCTTCTATTTCCTAGAGGGTATTATAGATTAGAACTTACTATTAATAACTAAATTTAATATAGTCTTTTAGATATATACTGCCTAGGCTACCCTAGGTATTAGGTAAACACTATACCTTAATAATTATAGCTTAGTTAGGAGGTCTAGTAGGTCTTTATCCTAAGGGCCTTAGTCCTAAGGTATATAAGGACTACCTTAAGGGTAGTACTAAGACACTAGGTTTACTTATTTAGTTAGCGCTTATTAGTACTATATAAAAAGGACTATATAAAAAGATATAGCTAGTAACTTAAGGTTCCTCTTCTTTTTTTAGCGCTAAAGGTTAAGGTTAATTAGATATTTCTAGCTCTACCTATCTAGGTAGCACTAGTAGTAAACAACCTAGTGTCTAAATAATTTATATTTCCTAACTCTGCTTTAGCCTATATTATTATAGCTTATTAAAATATCTAGTTCCCCTTTAAGGACCTAATTATAATCTAAGTTCTTATTACCTTACGCTCTACTTAAGGAAACTAATTAAGGGTGGCTTAGAGCTAAGGATTTAACACTAATAACCTAATATCTAATATAGAAAGGTTAATCTTATTCTAAGGCGTGCTACTAATATAGGTAGACCTATTAATATTAAATATCCTATCTTAATTAAAACTTATTATATAAAACAGGTTATAAACTAACTAAAGCTTACTATTTAGGATTAAATACTAATTAAAGCTATATAAATTAGGCTAGACGCTATACTATACTAGGAGACCCTTAGACTAGACCTAATATTAGTTAATACTAAGGGCCTAGTACTACCCTTCTTAGTAAAAGACTAGCTATTAGTAGACCCTAACAGACATAATTAGTAACTAGGACAAAGTAATTAACCTCTACCTAATTAAGTACAAATTAATTAGCACTAGGCCTACGCTACTTAGTAACTTAACGTTAACCTTCTAAACTAAGGTAACTACTTAGCACTAATTAATTAGCACTAGGCCTACGCTACTTAGTAACTTAACGTTAACCTCCTGAACTAAGGTAACTACTTAGTACTAATTAATTAGCACTAGGCGCCTACTACCTAATAATCTAGTAACTATTATCTAAACCTAATTAGTTAATATTAGAAATAAGGAGCTCTAGGACCTTTCTTCTAGCACCTTTACTAAGAATAGCAGCAACAAGACTAAGTTTACTAACATTCTATTATTATTAATTTAAGCTAGGACAACCTACCCCTAGGGGGTAATTATCTAAACTAAGCTATTTAGTAACTAATTAATAATTATCTAAACTAAGCTATTTAGTAACTAATTAATAATTATCTAAACTAAGCCACTTAGTAACTAATTAATAATAATAAGGCTTAAAGGGATTAGTAGTCTTCTAATAGTAAACTAAAATAAGAGGATACTTACTAATTAATTAAAGACAAGAATTAAGAAATAGTAAGGGAAAAAAAGTATATAGAAGCCTTAGCTTAACTAAACTAACTCTAGCCTAAAACATTAGTACCTATTAATAGGTCCTAAGCTACTACACCTACACCTAAAACTAAGACTTAAGCTACTAACTTAGCACCTATTAATAACTATTATACTATTATACCTATACCTAAGGGTAGACCTTAACCTATTACACTAGCGTATAGTAAGAAAGAGGATATATTTATTACTTTACTATCTTAAATTAGGTAGGATAATAATAAAGATATAGTAATAAGCTTACCCCCTTAAGCTACTATAGCTATATAAGCAGGATTAGCACCACTAGTAAATTTATTTTATAGGTATGCCCTAGTAGAAGCTAAAGAAGCTAAAGTAAGCAGCCTAGTAAATAGTGTTCTATAGTATTATAGTTATAAATTTAAAGCCTACTAAAGATACACTACTATCTATTTAACTATACCTAAGGTTAAACATCTTATAACAGTATTAGTAAGTATTATTATATAGCTATTCTACCCTAGGACCCTACAGACTATCCTAAGAATTATAGCTTAAGTCTAATAAGGAGAGGCTATTTATACTATTACTTTAGCCTATACTATTAGTAACTATCTAGGGTATATATTAACCTATACTAATATTATTTAAACCCTTTAACTTATAAATAAAACAGAGCTAGTTAAGTTCCTATAAGCTTTTAGTATTCTTATTAGCTAAAGCACCCTTAATTCTTTACTCCCTATAGGTCCTAGTTATAACTAAAACCTAACTACTATAGATAATTACTTATAAGTTATAACTTAATATTATATACTACTTAAAGATATAATTACTTAGTATAAAGTTATTTATACTAACCCTATATATTAAGAAAAAGTAACTTAGCTAATAAAGGAGTTCTAATAATACCCTTAGTACTTATATCTTAACACTCTCCTCTACTTTATATTACACTACCTAGATATTAATATAGAGGCTTAGTAGTAAAAACTAGTCTTTAAGACAAATTATTATAAGCTAATTAGCTAGATAGGTGCTATTATTCCTCCTTATTATTAAGTAGTCTAAAATAAAGGTAAAACAAATTATTTAGTAGAGGTGTTTATAACTAATTAAGGAGGGGTTATTTATTAGTATTTAAGAGGAGTTTTATACTTAGTAATAATTAGGGAGTGTTTTATAAGTACGTAAGCTTTATTTAACTTACTACTAGCTCTTTTTTTTTTATTAATATAGTATATATTTTACCTTACGCGCGGAGAGTTATAAGGATGCTAGGAGGACAGGTAGTAGTGGCGTAGGCGCTAACTTGTTATAGCTAACTTGTTTAGGCCTCAGGCGCCAACAAGTGGGGACTGAGGCACCTACGGAAGACAAGGGGGTCTTAGGCACCCACCACTTAGCAGAAAAAACCTAGACTAGACATCCCCAATTTACTCACTCAGTTTCCCACAGGGTTTTGTCCCTTTAGCTTCGTTCCGATTTTTCTAGCGCGTCAAGTGAAGAGGGGAGAGGGAGGGGAGGGAGGAGGCTGGGTGTGGCCGGGGGTGGGGGAGGGCAGAGTATGGCGCGCGACCCAAGGGACCGGCGCGACGGCCATCTGTCGTCGCCGCGCGCTCTGCTGATGGTGTAGCAGTCAGTGGCCGCCTGTTTCCAGCCCTCTCGTCGTCCTCGTCCTCCCGCCTCCGTCTGCGTCTGAGCGGCCCAAGGCAGGCCAAACGGCGTTGTTGTAGGGCTCCTTTGACGGGTGCGCGGTTAGCTCTCGCAAAACGCCACATGGATGGGACGCCCGTCCGAAAATCCAATCCCACAAAAGTCAATTCGGCATTGCTGCATGTGTATGTATGTGTGGGAAAGTGTCATGTTTTTTGTTTTTTTCCACTACCAGTCGAAGGACCAGACGTACGTGAGAGACAGACAGGATCGGACGCATGCGGGCTCGAGACTCGACGCCGGCACTGCATGTCCCAGACCAAAAATGCAACGAGGTGGAATGGTCAGGGGCCCGGCCTTGTCATCGGCCGCATACAGCGAAGATTTACTCACAGGAACGTGGAACGGGTCAGAGGAATGTTTGTGTGTAGTTTGTTCTGTGTCTATATTCGGACGCCTCTGTATGTAGCAAGACTACTACTACTTGTGTGTCTCGCAGGCTACTGGAAGCTCTTCTCTGGTGCTCGGTCGCGGTGACGCAGCTGGGTAGAACAAAGGAAAAGCAGAAGATGCGATAAAATTACCAACTCAAAAGCCAGTCCAGCTCGAGATCAAGCGCGCAAGATGGGTCGCGCCATAAACCGCTACAAGAAGAAGAAGATGAAGAAAAAGCAAGTATTGTAGTCCCAAAATAATAATCCAGTTCCGGGTATCTCGCCCGTTGAACAGGTGCGTCAAACGCCGGCCACATACGGCATTCTGTATCATCCCTCGACCCTGGGAGGGACACACATTCGTGACCCCCAAACAGACGAAAATGATCCGAGTGAACGGATGATGGTGAACAGTTTATCGCCAGGTGCCATGGAGCTTGGTCCTCCGGCTACTCCTCCGGCCCTTGAGGCCGACTTCTCCTTGAAGCATCAGGCTCTTCCACCGCCGCGATAAGCAATTCCGGTCCTTGCCCAGGCTGCGAGCGCAGTCCTGCCATTCCGCCTTGCTGAGCTGAAGCTTCTCGAGCACGAGCTCAACGAGTATACGGTCCTCCTCGGCGCTCCAAGGCTCGCCGTCAGCCTCGACCTCCACGTTGGCGCCCTGCTCCTCTTCTGTATTGTTGGTGTTCACCCCATCGCCGCCGTTCAGGAGGTGTAATGTGTGGTAGTCAGAGCGGCCAAGGCCGAGGGGAATGACCTCGGGCGCGATGCGCGCGCGCTTTGGTGTGGCTGGCGCCGAGGACATGGTTGTGTTGTTTTGGTTCTGGCCTTCGACAGAGGGCTGACTTTGTGACGAGATCTCGAGGTCGCTCTCGATGTCTTCGTCCGTGTCGCTGCGCGACATTTCATCATCGGCCGCGCGCCGGCGCTTGTTCACGCTACGAGGCGGCGCACGCTTTGCGATGCGCCTGCGCGGGTGGTGATCGTTGTGAGGGGCGCCATCCTGCTTCGCGCGCGAGCGCAGGCGAAGCTTGAGGGGGGGCGGCGCGTGGGCGAGGGGGGGTGTCGGTAGTTGCGCCGGCGTCGGTAGAGTGTACTGCTGCGCGTCGTAAACGGGAGCGGCGGCGGCGGTCTGGTGGTGCTGGGGTGCCGAGAGGAGGGCTTGGAGGGAGCGGCAGGTGTCAAAGATGTTACCGAAGCCAGGATGCGAGAGGGTTGGAGGGCTCGCGGGAGGCGATGTGAACAGGGAGGCTTGGAGGCGGGTGAGAGGCGGCTGCGATGCGTCGCAAGAGAAGGCGGATGGCATGAGCATGGTGGGCAGTAGGTATGCGCTTTTGTGTCTGCCGGTCTTGGTTGAAGGGATTCTGTGCGTGTGTGTGTGTGTGTGTTTGTGTGTGTGAGGTGGCGGGTTCGCGACAGCAAGGAGGAGGTTTTGCAGTTGTGCGCGACTATGCGACGGGAGGAGAGAGAGAAGGGAAGGTTCTTGATTGGAATGCGCCAGGCGGCTCTGTATGTAGGGGCGCGCGAAAGGGCTTAAAGGGCAAGGATGTTGATCTTAAAGCCACGAGTGTATGTCAGAATATTGATTCAAGGGTTGTTTTTGTTGTTGTCTCTGCGATGGTGAGGAATGCGGGTGAAGTAATAACGTGTGTTTAGGGGGTTTGCGAGTGGTGTGTCGGGGAGAGAGTTTCGTCTGGAGAGGCGGTGTTGGATGGGAAGAAGGGAAAGGTTGGCTGGGACCTGGATGTCGGCAAGAGAGTGGCAGGTGGCAGATGGGATGGCGGAGGATTAATGGGGGGGAGACTAATAGTTCTGGGAAGGGCGAAAATGGCTTTCTTGGCGGACCAGGTGGGCCCACCTGCGCCTGACAGGGTCCGTTCACTGGCTAGGCGCAAACTGCATGCTGCACGTACTTAGTGGTGTGGGTACTCTCACAGTGGCCAGAATGGGTCTGTATGCAAGCTCTTTCACTGTCTGGAGCTCCTAGGTACGTACCGATTTCCAGGGATCGTAATGACCTTGGGAAAAGAGGGTCAGAGCTTCTCAACCGACCCTTCCGCCCAGCGCGCCTCATGTCGTCGTCCCTCTTCCACATGTGTCTGAGGGGTCCACGGCGTAGGTATGCCAATGACCACCTGTTCTTGCCGGACGGACGATGCGTTGATTCCTGGCAGTAGGTAGTGTACGTACAGATACGTAATCCGTCTGCTTAGCATCATGATGATGATCCCCGACGGCGGCCCACATGATGACCGGGTACACACCCAACACATGAGAGAGACAGGGACGGGAGATGGAGAGAGAGCGAGAGAGGTACGCGACATAGACCTCGCCCTCGACCTCTCCCACACTGTCTCGAGCGCGCCCTTGTCGAGTCTCAATTGCATCGGACTGGAGGACGGCGTGTTTGCTTCTTTTCCTTTCAGTCGCCCGTTTCCCACACCTCCCTCCTCGGCGACCTCGCCGTCCAGGCCTGCATCCTCTGCCATCTGCAAGGGTCGTCACTGAATAGCAAACACACCATCCTCTCCAAACTCCGAACACCCCCTTTCTGACTCTGATCCTTCTTTTTGACTCAGGTACAATCGCTGCCCGCAACCACTCACTGGCTGTCGGCCTGGTTCTTGCTCCTTGCTTCTTTCTACCTGTCTCGCGTTCCTTGCCTTCCTCCATCCCCACCTCCACCCCATGTCTGGTGTCTCTTCACACCCAAAGGTACCTAATCCCTCTCGTCTTTTGTCTTTCATTCATCTTGAGCGACCTTGACCGGTTCGGGTTGCAACCTTTGAACTATGGGGTATAGTCCATCTCCCTGTATCTTCTCCGGTCCACAGAGACACACCTGCGTGACATGTAAGACAGCAAAGGTTCCTCGCGGACTTTGCATCTTCTTTACCCAGGCTTACTCCCTCAGCTTACTCTATTGCCCCATCTGTCCCCCCACCTAACACTCGTGCCTTTGGGAAGCCCAAGAGAGACGCCGCCGCTTTATGCTGGTCCTCTCGAGCTAACCCACATGCCCGTAGACTTTGGTGCTAAAGCCTGCGCTGCTCGCGCCCTCCCTGCCACAGCACTAGGGAGGCATGCACGGATAATCGACTATCTCGCCTTTGTACATAGCAACGTTTACAGAGCCTAGCCCCAGCCAAGCCTCTCCCAAACCCGCGGTGCCTATCCGTACTGCCCTCGATTCGGCCTTGTAGGTTTACTCGTTGTCAACCAGAAGTATCCCTCCCATCTGGCTCAGGTCACTGCGTTTGTCTGCCAGGTCCGTTGGCTGAAGAACAGACTGGGGTACCACTAGCCGATCACTGGCAGGTAAGCAAACGGCTTTCTGATCCATTCGATACAATCGGAGAGAAACCAGAGGAACCGTCCAGCTCGGGCTCAAGCCTGGCCTGGGGCTTAAGGAAGCGTGCTGCCCATGCCGTACTACCCAACCACCACTTCCATCCAGGCTTCACATTCCAATCCCAGATCTCCACTCTGGAAGACGCATAATGCTGCGCAAAGGGTTCTTGAATGCGGGTTATCGGCGGCCCGGGTCTCTAATCTTGATGCAGCTGCCTTCATCTGGTTCACTGGCCGCCGTCGCCTTCCAAGTCTTGGTTCAAGCGATCCGGTTGTCCATTCCGATCCACGATCCATAGCCAGAGCTGGGTCTTCGTCTGTATTATGTCCGTGAGATATTCTGACCAGCCTCTACTAGTGGCATGGTCCACAACCCCGACGCACCACATTCCCGGCTGCAAGTGACGGAATGGTGTAGGTCATCAGAACTTTGAATGCGGCCAATTCCCTGAAGCTTGTTTTCCACGCGATTCCTTAAATGACCCATTTCGTCACGCCCACTGCACCCAAACCCTCCCATGTGTTCCGGATGACGCATGAATCGGAGGGGCTTGCTGCTCCTGGTCACGAAAGGCCGGTTGATTGTCTCCGAAACAACCGCTTCATGGGTGGCTCAATCTCAATCCCCTCCTCAACTGCCCTCATGATAGCTCCGTCTTTGCGTGGCACACCGTCAAGGTAGCCGCCGGGGTCCCATGAGCGCGTGGACAAGCGGTGTGGTGGTACCGGCATTCACTGGCAACTTGGTACATACGAAGAGCAGATGATCTACGCGGGCTCAATCAGTTGTAGCACGAACAGGGGCTCGCTCTAAGTGGAAAGGTAGACACCCTGGGCTCAAATAGGGGCTGGTCTTGATGGCTTGCATCAGAAACGTGGGTAACCGCTCTGCCGTGCCCCGCCTCTTCCAATTCTCACAATCACGACGAGGGAATCAACCATGTTCGCTCGCCGCTGGCGGGCGGATACCAAGTGGAGGATGGTTGGTGACATTGTGTGGTTCAGGTAGACAGACAGTCAGTCGAGAACTACGATGACGTCTCAAGTAGGTGACTCAAGATTGGGCATCAGCACTTCCAGAAGACGCGAGCACCAGTGGGTGACGGTGAAGGTGACAGCGCAAACACGCCGAACAATCCAGAAACCCCGCGGTTGCCGCCATGGCCTAGCCAGCAGGGCGCACGCCACCACCAACGACCGAGAGAAACGTGTCGAACGGGTCTGACGAAGAGAAGAGAAGCGGGAGAGGGAAACTCTGTCGATGGCCGTCGTCGCGTCGTCGCGAGCCCCACGCGTCTGTCGCGTCAAAGACACGTCTTCACGGCGGGGTCGCGTTTAATTGACTGCAGGCCCCGTTGACGAATCAGAAATCATCCCACCACCAAAGCCTCACATCATTGGCCCAGTGGCCTCTGACAGTTTCACCCGACACAGTGCGCCAGGAACGGCTGGGTGGGTCATCTGCATCGATGCGGTACGTGCCCCCTGTTCTCCAACGTCACTCGTCAACGGGCTTGGTTTTTTTGGAGGTGGTTTTTTTTTTTTGAGGGGGGGGTTTTTTAGCCTCTCTTTGACTTCACCTCGTGGGTGCCATGTTCCGCTTCGCGAGTTCCACCATCCTGTTTCGGGAGGGCTTCTGGAGCCCAAACGGCCATGCGGAGACAGTTGGGAGGCGGTGGGCATTCTTTCCCTTCCCGTCGGGGCTGGGGTTTCCCCCGTACACAGCACGGCTATGTCGTGCGCCGATTCCTGCCCGCCCTCCGTGGACCCTGCCCTCCGAAGAGGGCAGGCCTCCCCCATCCATGCATCCCGAATCACCATGGTAACTATCGTCCACGTTCCGGCCGCCAGCCAATCTCTTTCGTTGCGCAAAACCGGCTGCGAAAGTCGTCCTGGCAACGATCGGCCGCGCGCTCGGTTAGGCATATTAATCTCCAGCGAACCCACCCCCCATTATCGAAAAAGGGTCTGCCGGTCGATCCCGCCCGAAGCTTAGACCGTCGCTACGAGAATAAGGAAGGAAGGAAGAAAAGAAAAAAAATAAAGATTGAATGATCTGTGTAGGGTGCAACTGCAACATCGAATTGATGTCGGCGAGCTTGCATCTCCTTCCGCCCAACTCATCTAGGCTTCAACGCAAGTCAGCTCCTAGTCTGTACGACATGCATACATCCTGGGACTGTTCAAGACACGCCGGTAAAGGCGCGTCTGAATTGCCGGGTGTCTCGCACCTCCTTATCCTGTGATTTCTGACGGCGGGGATGGTCTGCTACGACCTCGAATGCGTGCCTTCCTCATCGGGTTCATTTACAATAGACGACAACCGCAGCGACTGCTTTCTTATACCACCTCGTCCTCCACAATCATCTGATTCAAGACGACGAGTATCTTCTGAACCTATTTCAAGTGCGGGTCTGTCCAACTTGCCTGCTTCGCTGGACGTGTAATGAACACCATGATTGAGACTCGGAAACGGATCACGGTGCATTGTCGACAAGCAACGTTCCATCCCCCTCACTGTCGTCCATTGATAAATGCCTCGTGCCTTTACTACGAGTTTTTACTGTGCGACATCTGCCCCGTATGCGACGTAACCACAGTCCATTGAAACCCCAAGGTGGGCTGGATTGACTCATGGTTTCAACGCACAATCCATTATTCGCTGACAACACATCGAGCTCTTCTTCTTGCACAAATTTCGGATGCAACAAGATTCGGCTACGGGGTCTTGGTTTATTGCTGAAGCTTCCTACTGAGTTCTCGTGTCTGGATCCACTTCATTCATGTGGAACTAAATCATGGCGCCGTTATCGGCGACATGGCTTATTGGCATATCGGGGTTGACATCCTCAACGGCACCGGCTTGGCCCCAGACATGTCTCGGTCACTTGATTGCTCTTGGACCTCAAACAAGTGTGTCCATGGTCATCAACGAAGCCCAAGACACCTGGCGATACCACTTTTCTATTGATGCCGAGCTCGGTCATAAAGTCTATTGGCGTTAGACCATATGTTGCTTTCAGGGGATCTGATATCGACAAATGTCAAACTCGGAGCGGCCCATTTCCAAGTCTCGGTACGCATCGCGTGCTCTGCCTAGCTTGTGCTCCGGGTAAATTATGTTTGTTGTGTTCAATCACCCATGCCTGGCCGAGCTTCTTCTTTTGTCTATGCGATGATTGATACTCGACGACTCCGGCTACTATTTGCACACGGACTTTGCAAAAGCCTTCCGGTATGGCCTTGCTATACTCCAAAAGAGCCAAGCAACCCCTCCTAGCACAAAGAGGGAGTGTTCTCAACGCCGGTAAGTTCTGAATGTCCTCGCGGCTCCGACATGTCAAAATATTACTACTATTGATGTCTAAACGTCTATATCACTGTAGCATCTAATAACCTGGCACAAGCCCATAATCAAGCCTACAAGACCTCTCAGCTTTAGAAAGGGGTCGGGTGCAAACATGGCCAACCCCGGTTTGGCAGACTTCTGGACAGATTGGCGGGAGCTCAGAATGTCGAAGGTGAAAAGACGTAGTTGCTATAGTCATTTATGAGGCTGAACTTTGTGAAACATCACCTCGACTTCACACAAGTAATGCCCCTCCCCTTGCCCCCAGCTGGTGAGGGTTTATACAGTTTTTTCTATCAAACTTGACTGATAGTGTGTGTTTCTTATCATTAAAAATAAACGACAATTTCATCAATGCCTGTTTTTGTTTTCTTTTTTCTTTTTTTACTACTTCTGGCTTGTGTTTGATGTCGTTCATCAAGAACAGCCTCTTCTCTATTCACCTCCAATAAACCACTCAGCGTCTGTGTTCATGTTCAACAAGAGCTACTACTTGTATACATCAGACTAGCAAGATATACTCGCTGTTGAACTTCACTCACCGTAAGCACAAGCTTATTCTTTGCAAAACGGTTGAGAGTTATTATTGCGTTCTTCACTCAGTAGGAGGTCCGCCTCTTATTCACGGGTAGTGAGAACTAGCTCCCTTGTTCATACTGCCCAAGAGCCCCGTGAATCACTGCTGGGCAAAAGGCACTGATAAATGTTGAAGCTGGCGAGAGCCTCCCCCATTCTTCGCGGAACTAGAGACCTCTCGCTTTGTATCCTTGTGCACCGGCTATCGTCACAACTGGCGAGAGCCATCCACTGTTCTCTTCAAGACAGGCGCCCTCTTGTCTATCTTTCCATCTTTACTTCCCTCTGGTTCGTTTCATCTGTGTTTGTAAAACTCTCGACACCATCCAAGTTTTGCTTCTTATTTGCCTTACTCCATCCTCGTCAAACGCAGCTTTTGCATATCTACTATTGCTCTCTTTCTTTATGCTTTCGATCATCAAGACGATTGTATTCGGTTTACCCCTACTCCCACTCCTACGAAATATTAATCGTCAGCCTCATCGACGTGATGGACCACAAGGCCCCCGTTAAGGACGGAGAGCGAGCCAACAAGACCTTGGCCCAGATCGAGAACGACAGCGACGAGAAGTTCTACAACAGGCAGAAACTTCGTCATCAGTGGGTGAAGTGCCACATCAAGTATGTCAGGTGTGACAGTTGCGAGAAGCTCGCTGGCGAACAGGTCCCCCACCAGATATGTGGTGCTTGCGCCGTCGCCATCTGCCGCGACTGTGTCACCGCCGGTAAGATGAAGCTCTATCCCACTCACCCTCAGAAGAGTGTCGGCGAGCTTGACTGGAAGCCTGCTTCTGTCATCTCCACCAAAAACAAGGCGGGTCAAGGCCCCGCGCAGGTCAACAACATCGCTTCTGGCACCGGCTCGAGAGGTCAGCGCGACCCCGACATGGCCACTCCCGTCCGGCAGAATCCCGCCGGTCCTGCTGCTTCCTCGTTTAACGGCAGCAACACGCCCGTGTCGAAAGGTGCTTCGTCCCGTAAGGGAAAGGCAAATGCTACAGCAGGCTTGGGCTCATCCGGCGGTCCCAAGCAAATTCAGGTAACCCCCCCTTTCCCTACCTGCCTACCTTTGCCTCTCTGCCAATTCCCGACTGACCTTCACCTTCCTTCTTTTATCATCCCCAACAGACCTTCCTCACGAGCAACGAGAATTCCTCGCTTATTCTTTCCACCCAGACGAAGAAAAAGAACAGTACTGTTACTCTTTCCGACAGAGATTCCGATTCAGACTACGGTATGGACACCCAGAGCACTAGCTCCTCTGACAAGGAGTACATCCCGCGCACTGAGCTCGGCCGCAAGTCGTCTACTCCTTCCAAGAAGAGCACCAACGAGACCGCCTCTCCCTGTTCTTCTGTCAACAACCCCCCGGTTACTCCCGTTGGTCTTGCCAACTCTCGTCCTGTCCGCGCCTCTACCATCCAGACGTATGAGAAGATGCGCCAAGCCAACGTCAAGAAGCAGCGTGACGTCGATGGGTTCCCTGCCGCCTTTGACGAGGAGCATAACACCAAGTCCGATCTGAAGGTGGCCCCCTGCGTTCATAACACGCGCTTCAATGGTCACACCACTTCTGTTGAGAATCTCACTGGCGGTGATAAGGTAAGAAGAACCAGTCTCATTTCGTCCTATGTCTGACCCGCCCCTGACCAATACCACTCTCCAGACGGATGGCTACGCTCAGCAGGGTGCTGTCTACGGCGGTACTGCCTTTCTCTACGCCTCTGAGGAGGCCCAACAGCTCGCTGGTTACGGTGTCAAGAATCGCACCCAGACCTATCAGCACAAGGGTTTGCCCCAGCTTCATCCTGGTCCCGGACCAAGGGCCCAGTCGAAAACTATCGAGTTCCTCGTCCCCCTGGTTACCTCGAATGATAAGAAGCGCGCCGCCGCCCTCAAGGCTGAGGCTCCAAGCCCCAAGCGCCATGTCGCCTCATCTCAGTCCTTCACTCCGGTCAGCAAGGCAGAGCTTTCCGCCGCATCCACCAAGGCCATCAAGGAGGCTGAGTCTTCGATCCGTGCGAGCATTCGACAGATCACCCCTGCTGAGCGAGACGCCAACCGCGTCTTTGTCACCGCCGGCCTTGATGGTCTTGCTGCCGCCATTGAGCACAAGGTCCGCCTTCGCCTATTAGTCACCGGTTTCCGCACCATGCAAGATGCAGAGATCGAGCTGCGCAACGCCATTCACGGGGCCTGGGTCAGTAACATGGCCCTTACGCACATCAAGCGCACCGACGGCGCCCTAGCCGCCATGCAGATTCTCCGTGGCTACGCCAATCTCGTCATGATGAGAATGCAGATGATTGGTAGCGGTCTCCTCAAGAACTGGATCGACGCCACTGAGAAGGGTATACAGGACAGAGCTGCCTTTGTCCCCAACGAGCTTCGTATTCAGGTAAGCAACAGACCCGTCCGCGAAAGGTCGGGGTGTGGACGCTAACGTTCAACAGACCATCGAGCCTGCCGTCCAGGAGGGCTTCAAGTTCAAGATCGGAGAGGCGGACGTCTATGTGGCCAACGTCTTAGCCGAGATGAAAAACTCTACAAGCTGAAATGCCCGCTTGATCTGACTTGAGGAGGGAGACCGTTGTGACTGCTGCTGCTCACAACCTCATTGCTCATAGCTCCGTCAGCTTGAGCGCGCGTTCAGCACTCAACCGGGGATGACCTGACGCTTATCCACGAGTTTCTTGACCTTTACCTCCTTTTTCATTCTTCCGTCTCCTCTATCATGGAATGGCATCGGACGTTTTGGGCGTTGGCGGGCCGAGTATCTTTGGGACTAAATCGGCCCAGGATTCGAGTTTAAGGGTCTTTCAAGATACAGAATTTTCGTTATCGTCTTTCAATAGGAGAGACCGGCGTTGGGTCATGGCCAAGTGCACGGGATGGCAGTTGGGTTTGGTTTTTGGCTCAGGCTTTAGATACCCTCTCATGTTTCCCTCTCAATGTTTGTCACCATGGTTACCAAGGATAGATAGAAGCCTTTGAGAGAATCGATAAAGACATTGACTTTACTTCCTCTGAAGTGCCCACTTCTTGGAGCGGCTTATGACATCGCAGTGAGTAGTCCCCCCGGCCTCCTGCGCATCAGCACAACCGAGAACGAAGACCGTGTGCTTCTAGGGAGATTTTTGTTTCCCCAGAATAAGTCTCGGACTTGGGAATCTATCACCCTGAATTCGCATTTGAGGCCGTCGGAGGTGTCTACAGCCTGTGGCTCGCTCCGAGGTACTCTTTCTCGCTTGTACCCAGAGTCAGCGTCACGTCCCGGCGATCTTGAAGTCCTGGACACTGCCAAGTATAACAAACACATGGCAGTAAGAGTGCACCAAGTGATGAGATACAGAAGGATGTTTAAAACGTGCTGCTTCAGTATTGCCCAGCCGAGAAAATTACACAGATACGTCGTTGCGCCCACCCCTGCCATTCATTATTCATGGCTTTGCTGGCTCGCGATGTCATGGAATATAGCAAAATGTTGACGCAAGAAATGATAGAGACGACAGTAGAAAAGAAAACCCATCTCTATCTCGGATCTCCCTCCTGCTCCGGCCCCGCCTCCCCCCCCCCCACCGAAAAGCCTAACCTCTTACTCCTTCCCCAAGTGTCAGAGATAAGAACCACCACACCGACGGAAGGGATGGGTCACCCAGGGGGGGCAGTATCGACCCGCCACATCGCCAGACGAGGACTTGCCTAGCCTGTCAACGCTCACTGACCAGATGAGTGTTTCTATTCCAAAACAGCCCCCTCGCGCCAATCGCCTTGATAGGGGAGAGGAGGGAAACAAAGAACCATCCCCCCCCCTTCCCCCCGCCGGGGCGCCGACCGAAGTCCGAAAACTGGGATACGAGCTGACAAATGGGGCCTCTGCCTCAAGTCTCCCGGGGGCGACAAGTAGTATCGTAGGGTCTCACGCCGTCCGAACGACGAGGATAGACAAGGCAGTCCCATGTCGCCGTCGAAGCAATGCGGCGGCAGCCGAGGGACAGGACAGAGCTAGCACGGACGCGAAAGACGCCGAGGCAGCGGAGTACGAGGAGAAGAGAAACGAGTATCTTTGCGACATATGAGACGGGTTGAAATCATAGCTCGTTCGGACTCTAACGCTGTAATGAGGCCTGCGCCAATGCTCTAATACCTGAACCCAGAGTCCCACCAATGCTTTCCAGTATGCCAATGACAAATCGCTTCCATGTCGGGCTTCCACCAAGAGACCTCTCCGCGTCCGAACCCCAACGCACGAACAAAAGAAATGGGGACGGGCTCCATGAGCCACAGACCGGTCTGCGCAAAGTCGTCCGTCAGCGGCTGGACGGTGATGTGCAGCCACAGAACGACGTAGAGAAGGTTTCCGAGCCTCCTCAAGACGCGGGGCAGCCTCGAAATCTGAGGCTTCAGGGTGATGCAGAACAACTGCTGGACGAACACGCCCACGCCTGACAGCCAGAAGAAGAGAGCAGGCTTCCACCACTTCGTATCGGGGATCGAGCTGACGCTTCCCGCGGCGTGCAGCAGACCCGAGAGGAGGAAGGCAACCAACAGACCGATCATCTTCGTACTGCGCGCCCCCTTTCTCAGATACCCATTCTTGACGGCAAAGTCGACCGGCGCGCAGAAGGATTGCCGAAAAGTCTGATGCCACCAAGAACCCCAAAATCCACCCAAGCCCCTGTCCAGGATCTGGCTGAAGGAGCCGAATACTGTTGCGTATTGCCACAGCTCACCCCGCATACGGTAGACCTTGCTAAAGACATAGTACTGGAACAGATCGTGAACGCTAAAGATCATGATCAGCCCAGCGTAAATGAGACCAATGACGGTAGCATGACGGTACATGTGCACGACCAAAGACGGCAGGACCGCTAGGTGAGGAGGGAGCGGAAGGGAGCTGCTGCTGCCGAGGACGAAATAGGGATCCTCCATAACGGCGACTTTGAAGACATCGAGGAAGACATATGCAGCCCCAATAGAGATTAGCTTCCTCCGCAGGAACTGCTTCTCATCCCTATAAGTCTGGCATCCGACGAATGTCTCCAATGGTATTGTGTCCATCTTGACCAGCTCGCCTGTGCCGGGTCGTTCAGGGGGGGCTGGACTAGGTACCGACGGGACAGCCCAAGACCAACCTTTTTATAGTTAGTAATGGCGATTTTTCAACACCGGGGGGTGGGTGATGCTGCTTACCGGCTCCCCTGAAATTGGTGTAGAGATCAATGACCCAGGCGAGTCTTTCGAGGAAGGTTCCATTCTCCGGGTAGGCTTGCCAGTAATATTCGTACTCATCAAGGTTGACCTCTGGTGCTGTCACTCGGGCAGGTCTTCGCTTTTTGCTGCCAGCTCGTTTCCTGAGCCCAGACCCATTCGGCGAGGCGGTGCGGGCCTCGGGCGAGTTGGCTCTGCTGGAAGGCTTTGAGGATTTGGAAGAGGATGCCGGCTTCTTGGCCTTTCTGCGAACGACTCTTTCGAAGTCGAATTGTGGAGCTGTGAACACCAACATGGTGAGGCCGATCATGATGCCGAAAAATGAGTATATCCCGACGACATACGACGTGGTCATGTTGGTGCTGGAGGTGTATTTCATGATGTCTAGGTTGAATATGATGATAAAAGCAACGACAAGCCATCTCGCACGGTAGAGCCATGGCCGCTTCGTGTGGGGGATGGACATGTAGAGCACCGGGACGATGTAACTAGCAAGCATGTTGTAGGGAAACACGAATGGCCTTGCTTCACCCGCGGCGACACGGGCCTTGAAGGCAGCGCGGTAGGCGTCGCGCACAATGGTGGCGAGAACTGGAGAGCTGACGTTGGCGATACCAGGCTTGGTGATGTTGCTGAGAACGGGTTTGACGAGGTCGGGCAAGCCCAACGTGGCTGTGATGTCGGCAGCCGTGATGGATTCTTGCGACATGATAATTCTCCCAATGAACTGGTGCATTGATTCGCGGAGACGTATATCGTGACTGCTCGGCGGGCAGAAGACGGTGAAGAGGAAGTTGAGGTCATATAAATAAAACCGACGTGCAGGCCCAGCTGAATATATGGCTGACTCAGATATACCACAGGGTCAAGTGAGGCACAGACAACTGTCCCGAGTACATGAGGGCCGAAAGGAGCAAAAGAAAAAATATAAAAATAAGAATAAACCGGTCTGTCCTCCTGCAAAGACAAGGCGTACTAGGTAGCAAGTCGTGGGAAGTGTCGCGGGGAAATGGCCGTCCCCGAGGCCGATGCCCTAATTCTGGGATATTTTCCCTCGTATGCCTAGACGAGCATTGTCAGATGCCTCTCAGGAACCGAACGCGAGTACGATGGGAAACGAAGGGCGTGAGACAAGTCAAGAACCCTGCAACGGGGGGAGGAAGAAGGAGGCGATGGGCTGGAGTTGGGAGACGTGTGGGCGAGTGGCGCGTGTGTCGGCTGTTCTCATCTTGGTTCACTGCGGGTGGCACCCCAAGATGTGTTTCGCCTCTCTGGAAACGGGGCGGAGATCTCAGAATGGTAGCAGAATGAATGATGTGCAGATGAATGGATGGGATGAGGGACACGGTAATGCGGGCTAGGATGGACAGAGTAACTCTCGGGTAGGTGCTGTGGTTTTAGAATACCTACCTAGATAGCGTAAGCACCTTTGGTTTGGATGTGACAGAACACAAGACAGGCCAATGACGGGGAGAATGTCTAGGTAGACGGTAAAATAGGAATAATACCTAATCCGAACAATTTGAAATAACAATTCAGAAGAACTTCGCCTTCGGGTTCGAATCGCATCGTGTGCAGGTTTCTAGAAAGATGGGTCGAGTCGCCGCATTTATTCGTCTGACGCACCGTCGTCATGTGGTCAGTTGTCCGAGCCGCCACCATCTTACACCAGCGGCAGCCGCTTGCCTCGGGGTGATGGGTCCTTCCCTGGATGGACATCGGCCAAGGCGGGGTGGACCCTGCCGGACCCGAAGACGATGAATTGTGGCCCGCGTCTCTCACATGCGATGCTCTGATTCGCGCAACTCTCTCGTGCATTGGCGTCATTGATGTGTGTGGTCTTGCCTCCCAGCCCAGACGGCAGCGCCCTTGCTCGTTCGTTGCCTATTCACCCTTTTGCTGGTCTGGCCTGGTCTGGTTTAGAAATAAACATTCAAGGGAAGGGGCAGTGCTCACACGAGTACGAACAAGACTGTAACCGACTCTTCTTTTGTCCATCTCCCTTCTCCCCATTGTTTCGAGCACCATTCCAGGCCCAAGTGTCGCTTGCCTTGGCCCAACTATCAGCATGAAGAGATCCCCGCCCGTGTCATTATTATTCCTGTTGGCCAGGTCCTCTAAGTCACCAACACGCCAGTCACGCTGGTTGACGGCGGTCCGAATTGATAGTCGCACCGCAACGGGACGAGACGAGACGAGTCGCGAAAAAGAGGCATGTAGCTCAAAAACACAAGAATTAAGGCCTGTCAGACGCAAAACTCAACCTTGCTCGCTCCGAGAGCAAGCTTGTGACTGGTCAGCAAAAGGGGCCAACGGGACCTAGTGTAAATGTTTATTTGCCCACCCTTACTTATATTTCGAACTTACATCGTATATACAGGGCATCCGTAGTAGATGCAGTGCCTTTCGGACGACAACGTTACCCCTTACATACTGTACTTGTGGTCCTAATTAAGTAACGTACGTAGCAGGAACCCGTTCCCTTTGACCATTCCTCGCCATTTCTGCTCTGCGCCTCGTGCTTCGTCCGGCCCTTCCGTCTCTTCGAATATCTCATCCAAGTCATTGTGCCGTCGCCGTTGTCATGTTCGAGCTATATCTTGTCGTGCGCCACATGATACTGTTCCGAGTAGCGATGCCTAACTATCGTCTTACCGAGTTCTACGTATGAGGGGAGGGGGGCGGGAACACCCTCTTCCCTCATCGGAGCCTCTGGCAAAGTCCATGTCGTCTTGGGTACCGCCAGAGCCGCGTGTATTGGGGCGTGGCTGCAGACGCTTCCTGTTTCGGCCTCTCTATGTTGGGCCGCGGCCTGTTCATCTCGGCCGAGTTGAAGGCATCTCGAAAGTTCCATGTATACAACGTCCCTCTCTTTACTTGCATTGCCCTGGTACGTGGATATGCGACCGCGTCAACTTTGCCACTGCCGCCCCCACCGACACTGCCGTTTACTGTGCCGCTCACGACTGTCTATCGGCTTGACAATGACCAGCGTCGCGATGGTCATGAGTACAGGCACGCTCGCAACGGCCCACGTGCCGAACGCGGCGACCGAGAAGCTGAAAATTGGCACGGAGCCCCTCGGACGCCTCATCGGTGGCATTCTCCTCGTTTTCGCTCGTAAGGCCCTGAAACTTGACAATGTCCGTACTCAGGACCTACGTACACGGTCATTGGTATCTTCATCCGATCAGCGCATTCGGTTTCTCGTCCTTTTTGGTTTCCCCACAAACTTCTCCACGATTCTCATCAAAACTTGCCGATACTACCGTGACTGGCAACAAAACCAGGGCAATGAATGTAAGTTTCTTCATCGCGGACGAATCATCTGCTGTCAGCTCTGCGATTTTTATTTTTCGTTTGTTGGCTCGAATGGTGCGCTTGTAACCGTTGGATCTCACAAGCTCAGCTCTTGTCCACTTGTCTCATCTCTTGTCGCAACTCACGTATTCTTCACGGTTCCTGGCGAGCTTTGGTCCAAAGCTAGCGCTCGGTCCAGCAAGTCCTCAATATCGTCGATTATAACCGCCAAATCGCCTGCAAAGTCTTCGATATGCCTCCGAATGTCATTGGCTTGGTCATTTTCTAGGTTGTCAGCTCCCTTGGTTGCCTCGTTGACGAAGAAGCCCCGTAGATTTTGGAGGACCCAAAGGTTATTCTTGACTCGCATGACATTCTCATGCAGAGATTCCATCAGAAAGGCCATCCTTCGCAGGTCCTGGGCGTGTATTGCTTCTCAGGGCCCGTCGTCGTCGTCGTCGTCGTCGTCGTTATCATCGAAAGGGTCCACGTACGGCTTTGTCTGTCTCATGCCAACATGCTGTAACCATAACCCCTTGGGGCCTTGGAGACCCCGACTCACTAGGTCGGAAAGACATATCTTCGTGTCTTGAGGGTGATGCGAGGATATTCCGACAGACCACCGGGCGACGACAAGGACACAGCTTAGACTGACACGGACGCGCTCGTGGACGTCGAAGCGCGCAAGCGCGGCCAAGTCACTTGCCAGGCCGTCTCTGAACGTATTCCAAAGCAGATTCTGCGTGCCTTTACCTTTCTCTGCATGATAACACCTCGGGACCACAAACACCCAGACCGCCGTGCCCTCCACAAAGTCTATGCGAAGATATGCTACGGCAGTATGCGTCTCCCACCGAGGTGTCCGGGCAGGGTATGTATGCTTGGGCAACGCGTGAAGAGGGTATTCGCGGATGCTGAAGAGTGTGAGGCAACCTTGCACATGTGTACCGCTACGGCCCAGCCCCACGAGGCTCGGCTGTCTGCGATTTGAAGGGGAGACACTCACATCGAAACGGATGATTGTAGCAAAGCTAGGGCAAGTCGGTAAGCATTCTTAATGGGGAAGCCCAGAAAGTGGACCGGGACTTGATGATAGGTGAGTATGTCTAGTAGCCCGTCTTCGCTGACGCCGTCGCGGACAAGGTACAGCTTGCCCTTGCGCTTCCAGCTTGAAGCCGGCTTGTGTCCTGCAACCTCGATCAGTGAGGCCCCCCGTCAGCCTCCGGCCTGGTCGTCGTCGATGATCGACGACGAGTCTCATCGGAGTCGTTCCCAGAGTCGGGTGCCGTCCCAAAGTCGATGATCACCAGCGGCTCCCGCTTCCCCGCGAGTCCGTCGAACATGTTGCCTTTCTTCTGGGCGTAGTGCTCGCGTCTGAAGGGTTGCATACGATCCACAGACTCCGAGGACGCAAGGTTACTAGCCCTGCACGGGTATATTTAAATGACGCGTGCGGTCCAAACCGTGGCTCGTGGGGGATTCGTTAGTGACACACAATCATACGGCTTGGTGGTGCGTGAATCGCTACATGACAGCAGACAAGGCCGTCGTGACGTGTCGAACGACGGGCGGCACACGAGCACAGAAATGATACGGCATTCAAACTTGGGCCGATTGATTCCCTCACGGGCGGCAAACAAAATATCTTGCGTGAGAGAAAAAAAAAAACAGTCTTATACGTGTGACTGTGTCTGTGATTAGGTGAAGCACGAACACAGGCTGTTCACCGAATGCCCCTTTTCGCGCGTGCCGTCTTCTTGCAGTCGAGCCTCCCTAGTTCGGCATTGATCCACGAGAGTACGCCCGCGAAATTCGCTTGTTTTCTCGATAGGACCTTCCTCACAGCCTCCAGGGCCAGCCTGCGCGCGTTTGTTCGGGTCAGCTGAGTGTTCCGTGGGATAGACCGGCGGAAGCTAAAGGGCTATGCTACGTACCATGTGACCTGCGTCTTCTCGACGACACAGGCGTACCCCGGGTATTTTGCCCGTCTGGCCTTGCTAGTAAGAAGGACGATGGCGACGTCGATGACTTTGGCTACGGTTTCTGGATATGACGTGAGCGGGATAGGAGAATGGTTGAAGGGACGGGGGCTTACGCATGATCAACCCGTTGCTAGGCCGTTTCCGCGCGGGCAAGCACCGCCAGTAAGCCCACATCTTCTCGGCCGTCTCCACAAAGGCCTTGTGAAGGTTTGATGTGACGGTCTCGAGGGCGTTGTGTTTGGTGTCGTAGAACATTAGGTGGGATTGAATCTTGAAGGCGTCTGCATAAATGTCAGCCAAGGCACGATGGAAACACTCGAGCCAGCGTTGCACGTACTAAGGACCCTCCTTTGAAAGTTCTGGCCAGGCTTGTTTCCGTAGTCGACCGTCAAAGCATTGGAGACCACTGAGAAGTCGGTTAGCTTACTTCTTGAATGCTGCATTTCCACAGCTGGCAAGGAAAGGCCTGAAACCCACCGGTGTTCTTGACGTGATCCCGATCCTTTACAATGTCCAGCGTGTTGCAGTCGACACCCAGACCACAATAGGGAAAGTGAGACCCCTCAGGCAACCTGGCTACCCTCACGCCGTTGACTTCCATGTCGAAGTTGACCAGCGTCTTTTCCGGGCTGACGATAACGCCATACTCGGGAAGTCCGCCGTGCATGACCTCGACAAACTCGCACGCTTTTGACTGGTCCGTCGTGATGAGAAGAAAGTCGTCAATCAGCCTCAAGAGAAGACAATCCTCCGCCGCGAGGAACGCGAGATGCTGTGCCTCCAGATCGGCGTAGAAGTAGTTGCAGAGGGCGGAGGAGAGCACGGATCCCTGGGGGATGCCCTTCTTCTGCCTGTAGAACTTCTTGCCGACCTTGACCAAGTTCTGCTCAATGTGCGATGCCATGAGGTCCATCAACTCTCCGATGCTGACTTCTCTCCTCATCGTATTACCCAAGAAAACGGTGTTCTTCCGGTTCTTCCCGAGACGGGCCTCGACCATCTTTGAGAAGTCGTTCGTGTCGTTGGGCGTCACAGCGATGGAGTGCCACCGTCGTGTCAGTTTCGCGACTACGTGTTTCTGGGGCCGACTATCTAACAACCCTGCTTTGATTTCGACATGTTTTTTGATAATGTATTGTTTCTCGCTGGGGATACCCTCCATTAACCGAATGACGGCAGCCTGTGGGATCGTGTCAAAAGCGGATTGAACGTCCACTTTGGCGAAGTAGAACTTTGGGGTTCGATCTCCGAAGCCGGCGCTGAAAGCACTTAGTCGTGGGTAAATATCGCCCACGGAGAACATCGAAGATCCAAGCTTAGATGGATTACGTTCCTGCCGATGATTAGCGAGTAGAAATGGAAGTGGAAGACTGGAAGACGAACAGTCTCTAACCTGAGCATGGAGTATACGGGAGTTAGAACGGAGTTGATACTCGGTCCAAGGATGGTGCTTTTGCCCTTGACCGCCGTCCTCCTCCGGAGATTCATAATTGGGCGCATAGATTTTCCCTTGGGCAACAGCCTGATACGACTGTATCCCAATCGTCTGGAATCAAGGACTCGTGTCGCCTGATCCAGCTTCATCTCCTCGAACATGTTTGTCCGGAGGGTCGCCATCGCAGGCTCCGCCACGAATCGCCAGACATCGTGCCGAAAGAAAAAAAGACGGTAGCGATGGGAACTCGACTCGGTGATGTAGAAGTTACTGCGCAATAGGGGTATCAAGAGTGAATCAAAAACATAGTATAAAAATTCGTTCAGTATCTCGAGTCGTTTCATCATGTCTGTTTGACTGGTCTTCTGACCCTTTAGACCAGGTGGTGCCAGCCATTGCATGCTGGTCACCTGCGTAAGTCAGCAGAGGTTCCTCAATGAGACTTGGAACTGCCTACCTTCACTCCGTCTAGAAGCTCGCAGAGTGTCATGCTCTCGAATCTTCGCATCCTGATAAAATGGTCCACCCTTTTTAGAATGGTGTTTTTGTTGTGTATCTGGTCTTCACCAAGCCCCCAGAATTCGTTGGGAATGATCTTGGCCAGGACAGCCTGACAAAATGCGGATACGTGGGCTACTGGAGTCGCTAATTCAGTCACTGCATCGAACTTGATCACCGGAACGGACGGCGCTGGTTGATGCGGCCTGTAGCAGCTCTGTGTTGTAACACAAGAAAGGGCGGAAGACGCCGTCAGTTTAATATTCCGTTCTGGTGCTTGCGAATCTGGAAACCTCTGAGGCCGTTTCAATGTCTTCTTGAACGAAGGGGTTCGAGGCTTGACATCAATGGCAGATGGACAGTAATGCCGCAATAGCTCGGCGTAAGCGCAGCGGCCATGGAGCAGTTGCAACCGCTCGACAAGTCGTTTGGCATCTCCTCGAAGTCTCTTGGGAAGTCGCAACTTCTGTTTCTCGGATAATGATGAGATTTCCTCCTCGCGGAGGGTGTAATCTGCAAGTTTCTGAGACGTTGTGGAACGGTCGACGCTCGAGGTAAAGGCGTTGTGTAGACCAAACTGTCGAGGGAAAATGTACATCATGACCTTGAGCGTGTTCCGCTCATTGGCTTGGGCGATTGTCGACTTTTCTTCCTCTGACGTCTGATTTGAACAACGAATGGAAGGGAAACGGCTCAACACGTCTGTGGTAGAAAATTAGTATGAGTTTCTGATACAGCTGGTGAGTAGCTTACGTATGTGTCTGAGGCCATATTGGACAGTGCCCTTGGCAGTAAGTGCAGCTCTGGCGTACAGTATACGATTCCTTATAAACGTGATTTCAGAAGGAAGCTGTTCGTGAACTGCATCTACAGGCTTATGACCTCGTCTCGGACGATTCGTCTTGTTTTGGTCCGCAACCACTGACACGCCTGTCTCCGACAAGGGGATACCACTCAATTGATACAGATTACCGACGCCAGCCTTCACGGGAAGAAATATGGCCGTATCGATAAGCAGATCAATCATGATCTGCTCGCCAGATTTGCCCAGAACCATAAGGATCTGCGGCCACGGGGTGTCTTTGAGAACCCGAACATGGTGATTCGGGTAAACAGAAGCGAGCCCTGGAATCACCCCGACACTGTTTTGACCATTCGCATTGGCGACATTCTGAGCGCGTCGCCTGAAGCCATCGCACAGGAGGTGTCTCGGCCAAGCTGCATGAGGCTGTATCCTGAAGAACAGTTGCCAGATGACGAAGTCAACTATCTGCATTGGCTAGTTAGCCCGAGATGCAACGTTGTCAAGTTGACAGACGGTACCTCTGATTGGGAGGAAGCAGCGCTGGCTAGATCTCCCGAAGCCGATAACACAGACTCGTCAGCCTTTTGCGAGAAAGACCTCCACTGCTCCCATCGAGAATCAGCCTGAGCTTGGGGTCGATGATGTAGGCAGACCAGGGTCGTGTCTAGTAGCAAAGACACCTCCGGTATCCATTGGTGGCCTTCCTTGCTTAACCGTGCATCGTCCTTCCCTAACGAGGCAATCTTTTTGCGACGAAGCCTCGAAGAGCCTGGCAGCTTTGAAAGTAGGTATTCGCGGAGTGTCTGGACACTTTCGTAATATTGCTCCAGTACGGAATGTTTGATATGACTCTCAACCCGATCCACCTTGGCCCTCTTGCATTCCAGATGCCTCTCACCTAGTTCATCGAGCGTCTGTGATTTTCTTTTGCGTGCCATTGCAGCTGTGAGATCTCATCCCATCGTCAACATCTGTTTGGACGCGTAGCTTCTCCCCTGTCATCGACGTTGTCGCTCATTGGGGAGCCAGGTCGAAGTGAAGCTCAATTCAGCACTATATGCGCTGAGAAGCCGAGAGACACGCGCTAGAACATGTCATTGCATGCGGGCATGCAAGCGATCTGCCAGGGAAATGCTGAGTAGTCAGATGGCGGCGGGGGCAAGGTCGAGGGTTGAACAAGGGGTGGCGATGTCGTTGAACGAGGTTGACAAGCGTGATGGCCCAGCGCGTCTTGCAGAGTAAAAGAAAACAACGGATTCGCGCACGGTACGTATCGCACCTGAACGGTCAAAACAGTACGTGCTGATTGGCGGGTGTTGCTAACGGATGGGATGGTTGGCGGTGGCTGTCCTAGGCTCACACACCCCAATGGGACGACGGTGCACGTCCAGTGATCTGCCGAACACGGGCGGCATCTCTAAACGGTGGCCTGGTGGCTTTGGCACTCGATCCTCACCAACGCTCGAATCATCAAGGGGCAATCGCATGGCCATGGACGACGCTAAGGCACCCCAGTTCATGCTTGTGGTGGCTCTGTCGAAGACGAGAGGCGGACTTGGTGGTCGTGGGGAGGATCCACCACCTCGGACACAACATGGACTAGCCCAGGCTGGACAACACATAGGTATCTACAAGTATTTATGGAGACCGCTTGGGGCGTGATCCTGCAAGGTGGGAATACCGTACTTACCTCTCTAGTGCTACCATGATGCTGCTATAGTGTTGGCTGTCGTCTTGGTGGCTCTGCGCTAGGTGTACTTGCTACGTGGTATACTTGCGCGCTACCCTACGGTAATTAAATATGCATCGTCACCTGCTAGCCCCCTCAGACTGGACTGGGACGGGCTGGATTCGATGCAAGGGCGGGCGGAAATGCGGGCGGCGGCGGGGGTTGTGGGAGGAGAGTTGCCCTGCGGTGCTACGTTATACCATACGGAGTACTCTCTGTCCAATAAGTCCTTGATCGCTCGCGATATGGACGCCTAGGAGGAAGGGTTCCCCAGTCGACGAAAGAAGCGGTTCGGCATAGGGAGTCTAAAGAAACACATCCATCCACTTTGCTGTTGCTGGCTGGTGGGCAACGAGTCCATCAGGTTGTCGACACCGTCAAACAAACCACATGGCAAAAGAGAGAAAACGTGGCTTGACTGTGGTACATACAATCTCATTCTCAAGGTTTGCTCAAGCCTTCCGGATCCGACTAAGCCAGAGAGGCGCCTTCCCTCGTCTCCGAGATGATCCTACTGGAGGGGGAAGCTAGAGCGGAAGCTGCAACGATGACTGCCGTCCGTCCGTCATCCATCCAGTGAATGCCTCACATCATAATAGCACGTCTTAAGGTGAGCACAGACTCGGAAGTCGCATTAGCGGGGCTTGCCTGCTTAATACTTGAGGCCGGGAAATCCTGAACACGAGACGCATCTGTCCCAACCACTGCGTAAGCATGCAGCTGTGATGCAGCAGTCGTTGACACTTATCAATGTTCTTTCCCCCCACCGTCAGATGACAGGTAGCCGCTTGAGATTGGGAAACGAGGACGGGTATCGCGTCCCAAAACAGTTTCGACACCGAAACATGTTTTTAACCTCTTACGATAACCAAAAGCAGCATGCACTCGGGCCAATTGGCGAGTCAACAGCGGTGACGGGCAGACCAGCGCCGTCGGGCGTTGGGCATTGAGATGCTGCGCATGGGAACCTTGAAGCCATCCTGCTGCTTCTGGAGGATGGATTGGCTCTCTCGGGTGTTCCAACCTGGCTGGCACCGAGGGCTTGGCGTCGAATGCAACCCTAAACCATGGATGGCTAGGTACGGATATAGGTAGATAGGTAACCAACCCATCGAATGTCGGCCTCGATCCCGACTTTGGACGGTTTCGGGACAGGATGCTTTCCCATACACGCGCGCTCGCTCTCCGGCACTGGCACCGACTCGGATGGAATACGAATACCGATTGACGTGCACATATGCCGCATGTCAGCTTATTTAGCCTCGACAGCGGTCAGTGGTTTTGATACCCGATGCTGTGTGGTGAGGCGTTTGGCGAGAGGGGTTGGTTCCCAGCACGGAAGCTTGGCCCTCATGGAATGCATGCGAGCTTGCCAACATTTTGCAACTCTGGCGGCTGTGACAGCGGTCTCCAACCAACCCCAAAATACCTTCACGCTCGATGCCATCGACGCCGCAAAAGAACGGCCTTGGGTCTTGGTCAACGCCCACAGAAAAGGCATGGCTGGTTGGCGGCAACATATCTCCCATTGATTTATGGCCGTGCGCCTCGGCACTCGAAGCCTCTGCCTTTCTCTTTCGAGCCTTTGTCCTTGCCTTGAGAGTACCTAGGAAGGTGGAGGGTGAGGCCTGAAGTACAAGCACGGGGGTCTTACTGCACTTTTGCTTTGTGCAACTAACGTCTACGAGTCTCTTTATCTGCCGTAAGACCTTCCTAAGACGTCACCAAGCGAGGACATAGTCTTGGCTTTTCTTCTTCTTCTTCCTTCTTCTTTCTCTTCCCTTTTATGCGGAGTATCGATATGTTTCCCTAGGTACTAAAACGAGGTGTCATCCAGGAACCCCCCCCGCCCCCCGCAAGCAGATGCATCCTGACTCACACTGAATAAAACTGGGGAGTGGAAAGTGGTAGGGAAGGAAACGGGAACAAGTGCCTGCCAATGACAGTGATTGGAGATCGAGATACAAACTGCTTTGGGACTTGGGGTGGAGTGTGCTTTGTTTGTTTGTCTGGGGTCCCTCCGAAGAAAACAACCTGGTCCATGCCATGATGTTTTCTTTCCACGGTTCAAACAGTCCAATGGAGATGAGCAATGAAAGGCGAACGAGTCGCGAATTGACGACCGGCCAACCTGCTAAAACATGTTTGGTGTGTTTTGCTGTTGCAGCTCAGTAAAGTAGTAGATGGAGGTAATTAGAGCGCGACAGGGCAAGGTTGCACAAGCAATCTTTCCTTTGCCTGGTACGGATACTGGGCACGTCTTGATCTTGATTGGGGTTTCTCAACATGCATGACCGGCCGTTAAACTCAATCTCCCACGCGCCCTTTGTGTGTCGGTTGTGCCTGGATTCGCTGCTCCGGAAGGGGGAAAGAACCTTGGCTATACGGATACCTTTGTAATACATACTGGACAAGATTCGGAAGCTACCTAAGTCCCCTAGACTTTCCGGCCCTGACCACCAGACCAGACAGGCAAGCTTGCTTGCTTGCTCCCTCCCCTCTTACCCGAGCGTCTGGGCAGACCTGCCGTCATCCCCTCCCCTCACACCACACACACACACACCACATTCTCTTCTGTCATCCCGTCCTCTCCTTGCTACCTACTGCAGTGCATAGAGTACGCTGTAGGTTTTTTTCTTTTCCTTTTTTTCTTTTCACCAAGCTGCCCACCAATCCGTGTCCCGCAGGCATCTGTACCTTGCACACGACACCGCACTGGCTCCCCTTCTCCCCCCGTCTTTTGCTCAGCTGTCATCCAGACCGAATCGTGCCCATCTTGACCGATTGGACGAGACCCTCACCTTCGCAATTACGGTCCCACTTGCCGTCTCAGCTCACCATCGATCACAACCTGACTGCATATTCGCCCGCACCTGCCCTCGGGTGGCTGATGAATTTTCCAAAAGCCATAATATTCCCCTCCTTCCTCTGGCCCGTTCCGACAGGTGCTCTGGAAGGAGCTGCGGATTGTCCCGTACTTTCCCCTCCAATTTTGCTCTCCTTCCTCCCAAGTACCTACTGGTCTGTGGTAGCGTAGACCACCGCGCCATTTCTCCGCACCCTAGCCCACCCCCCTTCCACTTCTCCCTCCTCCAGTTATTTTCTCGAGGTAAGAGTTCCTCGACCAATCCACAACTATTTTCTCCTCTGTGAGCGTTACGCCCACACCTTCTACGACGGTGCACACCTCCACCCTCCTCTCTGTCTCTCCATCTGCTCGTCGTCTCACTGAGGTATTCTCTCCTCTCCCGCTTCGCACTTACGCCGTCACCTTTGATTATTGTCTTTTTTCTATTTTATTTTTGGGCTTTTCACCACTCCAACCCTCGCTCTTGCCATCCCATCTCATCACGTCCGATTCTCAAACAACGATCCCGAAAACACAAGTTACCCACGCGCAACTTGGAAAACAACAAGGACCTTCAAATCTTATTGGTCTCGACTCCGGCAAAGATATCCAATCCCCGTAAAAATCCCCCCACAGAGCAGCAATCGCATCACAGCTATTCCTGCGGCGCCCACCCATCGATGCATTAAGATTTGCTGTCGATAGGTCCTAGACACTGCCAACGCTTGCCAACCGGGGACTGCCAGTCGCCTCTCCAAGCGTCGCTGCCCACTCAGCTTGCAGGCCAACACATCAATGCTTCCCAACCCAAACATCCCACACAGCCTGCATGGGTCTCTGGAATTCTTGACGAGCCAGTCCACCCGACACGCCTGACTGATGTTCAGGCCACAATGGAATTTGGCAGTCCAGACGAGGAGGACCGCCTGGCCTCTGCGCTCAGTGTGCAGCGCCAGGTCCATCTCCAGCAACACCAACCGCAACCTCTTGCTTCTCCTTCCCATTACGCACACCAACTCCATCGCCAGCCCAACTTTGACTCGAATTACGACTACCACGAAGCCGACTTCAACCCCGACTCCGATCCCAATCCCTACCACCGCCGATCCGGCTCATCGTCCCACCAATCTCATCGCCACTACCTCCCTGGCAGCCCCGTAACGAACGCCTTCGTCCGCGAGAACTTGGATGCCTCTACCGCCCACACGGCTGGGGCTTTCGCCGCCGCTGGTCATGCTCACGATCCTGTGAACCCGGATGATTTCTATCGAAGCTATCGAGGCGTGCAGTCGTCGAGTCATCACCATCGAACCTCCTCTTCCGATACCGACTACATGGCAACCTCCGTATCTCGAACCCGCGACAATCCGTCCATGCGGCCGAATGGCAATGGCAAAGACCCAAAGCACCCGCCGGCACCAGCAGGCCGTACGGGGCTGCGTCCCTCGCAGCGATCCGCCTCTGCCCCGGTTGAACCCCCTGTCGGCGCGCCAAGGACGAACACAAACCGCAAGCCGAGTGTCAAGGACTTGACCAAGAGATTTGATCAGCAGACTCCAGCGCCCGCCATGCCCCGAATTCCGGTGCGAGGCGTGCCGATACGGTCGAATAGAGCTGCGACAAGTGCCGACAAAACAACACCTAGTGGGAGCGGGTCAACATCATACTCTACACTGAGAACTTCGGTGACCCGTGAACTGACATCTGACTCGAGCAGAGGCTCAGCTTCTCGAACACAACGAACGAAATTCGTTCCGGAAGACCAATTATCCAACAATTCCCAGTCCTTCGCCAGCCGGATTTCAAAGCCGCGGAACTCGGGTTCGATCGCGGGCAATGCACATGCATCAAAATCTTTGACAAACCTTCACCATAAATCCCCATCCTTGCCGCCCACCTCCCCCCCGCCGCCCAGCTTGCTTTTTGGAGAAATTCTTCCGGGGCAGCGAGATACTTCGATGGTAGGGTTTGGGATCGAGGGCTCGGGCCCAAGACCGCGACGGACGTCAGAGTCAAGTCTTCACGTTAGGCTCCATCAGCGGACGAAATCTGACCCTGATCTCGCCGAGCCGGAGTCTCCAACTGATTGGTACCGCGCTGAGAAGACAAAGCCGAATAGTGCAATGGGTCGTTCGGTCCCCGCCGCAAGAGGTCATGTTCGAGCACATAGTGATGTGGCTGCCTCAAAGGCAGGGGCGCCGACGGCGAGAAAAGCACTTGTGCCGCGGCCGATGGCAGAGCTTGAGCTACCCGATCGAGCTGCGTCGCCCACATCGCGTCTCCCTGTCTCTGTCCGAAAGCTCGCCACGCCCAGCGACTCAACGAGTCCGCCTTCCACACGAGAAAGCTCCAGAGCCAATTCCCCATCCACGTTCAAGCGTCCTCCGCCAGCAGGCAAAACAAGCCGTACGACCACCCCCGTCACCCGTGCCAAAACGCCCACTATGCGAGCGAAGACACCCACGCAACCCACGCCAGGACGCAAGGCTGCACCCAGAGGTCTCATCACTCCAAAAAATAACACGCGTCTTACTGCATATGTAGCAGCACCCCCTCCGAAGCTATCGCCTCCTTTGCGCAGCTCTCGACCTCGACAATCTGTCTCGACGGCAACCACGGCAAGTTCGCGGATGAAGGCTATCGACAGGGCCAGATCGCCACACAAGAGTGTGCCCAAGCAATCCTCCAAGCCTGAGGAATCGACTCGAAGACGGAAGCTCTCTATCGAACCCATCGACTTTGAACAGAGACGTGAACACATCAGACTGGCGTATACTAAGTCTATCCGCGACAGTCAGGTGCGAGATGCGAGACAGGCGGCTGCAAGGCGCAAAAGAGACCAGGAAGCCACTGCCACCAACGATAAGAAAGATGTCCCCCCGGTGCCACAAATCAAATCCGCATCCCCTTCAGTGGACCAAAGTGAAACGTTCGAGAAACCACCCGAGGCCAGTCCCAACGAACCGGAATCTTCGGCGGAACCTACGTCACCCGCACAACCGCCCCAGCCACTCACAATCTCAACGGCGGTGCCGCTCATCGTCTCCCTCTCTCCGCCCCAAGCGCAAGTCTCTGATTCACCCACCTTGGGCATTCCAGGCAGCTTTCCGGAACAGAGTCCTTCCGACGACCGGGAGCATATTCCACAATCCGCGATTTCGGCTACATCGGAAACAACAGAGTTCGATAATGAACCGCAAGAGCTCCCACCCGTGCAGCTTGAGTCCTCGCAAGCTCCGACTGGCCTCGGGCTAACGATCCCGCAACCTGACGGGAACCATGAGCAGGCTGAGATAGAGGAAGTGCGACGGACGCCGACGCCAGAGAGGATCGATATCGAGGAGCTGCAACCGTCGCCAACGCGGGAGGAGACGAACACTGAGACACCGGACGAGCAGCCCACACCAGAGAAGGCCGAATACCAATACCCGTTCGAGGATGAGTCTGCCGGCGACGACCTGGTGTCGATCAAGGTCGCGTTGGATCCAACATCTCTCCAGCAATCGCCCGAGCCGACACCGACCAGGAGCGAGTTCGAAAACCCATCCATTCCTGGCGCCTTCGCCGGGTCTCCGCCAATCTCTGAGGAATACGAACCCGTTCCTTTCTCGAGCCCTTCGTACGAAACGACGGTTAAGATTATCCGGCGGGAGTCCGAATATGATTCTCCGCGACAAGACACCATTCCTTTCCCAAGAATGGAGTCCTACGATGACTTTGATGATCAGAGCCAACTTGGTGATATGGATGGTTCCGTCTGCGATGCGTCTTACTTCAATCACCATATAGAGAAAGACGTGGACACAGTGTCTGGTGACATTCTCGAAAAGCCTGACGACTTTTACAACGACCGCCATAAAGATAACGATTCGTCTCAGCGAGCGTCTACATGCGAGTCCTCCGACGCGCAAGATGACCCCCATAAGACGAGTCTTGAGAGCCAGCAAACTCCGGATACATCCCACAGTTTAATGGTTCCATCCATGCATGCACCAGTTAACCGATCAAGTCAGCAATCCGCGTGGACCGACTTCTCGGTTGACAGCAACGAGCACCTCGACCACAGAAATTCTACTCCGGACGACGACCTACCTCTACCGAAGCCACCGTACGCGTCCGACCTCACGTACGGATCCGGCTCTAGCAGAGATTCGTCCGCACGGCAAAGCGAACACTACAGCCCCGATTTCAGCCCGTTGGATACAAGAGCCGCTCAGCTGCCCAGCCGCGGAACCGTTCACCAACTGCCAGAGTTAGACACTGGAGAAGGCTTCTCGATTCCTTACCTCGAGAGCAAGCAGCCAATGGCGATGCTAGGCCAAGTGCCACGTCCAGACCACGAGCCCCCGCCAGTACCTGCTTCCAAGCCGAGGTCACTACATGAGGGCCGGCGGACGGCAGCCAGCAGCTACTACGCAGAAACCCTCCACGGAAGTACCATAACAGGGTCCTCTCGGCGCGAGAGCGAGGACATGTCGCGTCCCGTCTCCACCACTCAGTCAATCGACCACATGTCGATCGAGACGAGGGAATATTCCCTTGGCGGCCAAACTCCGGTTGATTCTATTGCGACACTTGGTAGAGAGCAAGACGGACCAACAGGAAAGGAGAGGCATCGCCTGGTGCAACGACGCAATGTGATCAGGGAACTCGTTGACACCGAGATGGTATTTGTCAGGGACATGAACATTGTGGAAGAGATCTACAAAGGAACCGCCGAAGCCTGTCCGCGATTGGACGACAAGACTATCAAGCTTGTCTTCAGAAACACGGATGAGATCATCAGCTTTCACACCGCATTCTGCGCACAGCTTAAGGAGGCTGTCTGTACGGTATATGTGCCCCATGGACGCCGATCGCCTCTGCCAAAGGAGGAATCGACTGCTTCTGATCACACTGGAAACTCCTTGGCCAACTCAGTAGCTCCTGAGTTGGGCGACGACAAGGACAGAGCCACAGCGATTGGGCCCCTCTTCAAGAGGAACATTGAGCAGATGAGAGTGGCTCATGAGGGGTTCCTCAGAAACAGTGACCACGCAGCCAAGCGCCTGATTCAGATCCAGCAAGACCCTACCGTAAAGGTCTGGCTAAATGAGTGCAACGAGGTGGCCAAGGACCTTACGGCAGCATGGGATCTTGATTCCCTACTTATCAAGCCTATGCAGCGAATTACGAAGTACCCCAACCTCATTCAAGAGATTCTGCGACATACTCCGGAAGATCATCCAGACCGAGCTGAGCTGATCTCAGCCAAGGAAACCCTGGAGCTGGCGATTATCGAGATCAACAAGACGAAGAAGAACTTTGAGCTTGTTGGTCAGATTGTTGGCCGGAAGAGGAAGGAATCTGATGTGAAAGCTGGGTTTGCTCGAGCCTTTGGTAAGCGGGTTGACAAGCTTCAGGCTGCAAGTTCGAAGATCCCTGAAGATGCCGTATATGCCAAGCTGCACGAGAAGTTCGGTGACGACTACCTTCGACTCCAAGTTGTGCTCAGAGACGTCGAGTTCTATACTCGACAGGTGAGCGCCTACGTTCACGAGTTCCTTCAGTACCTGTCTGCCATGGAGCTGGTCATGCGACTTCAACCAGGCAGCTATCCAGAACTAGAGAGTAAATGGGTGCAATTCAATGTCTCGATGAGAGACATCGAGAAGATTGCCCTGGAAGACCATGTGAGTAGCCTCCAGCAGAAGATGTGCTCTACCTGCTAACACGCAAGAAGCTTCAACAGGTTCGGAAGCATGTGATCGAGCCCTTTGAGCACGTCATCAAGGCTTATGGAAATCCCTCGCTCGCGATGAAGAAGCGAGCAAAGCGGCGCCTCGACTATGAAAGAGCAGAGCAACTCAAGAAAGGCGGAAAGACACCAGACCCCAGGCTCAAGGAGCTGGTGGAGCAATACGACGCTCTCAATGAAACTCTGAAGAAGGAGTTACCACAGCTGTCTGCCTTGACAGAGAGGATTGGTAACATTTGTCTTGGTAACTTCGTCAACATCCAAGCAAACTGGTACAATATTTGGGTGGAGAAGGTGAAGAAGGTCACGGGAGAGATTGGGCCACCGCAAGATATCCCTGACATTGTGTCCACGTTCCAGCGGGATTATAAATACGCACAGGAACTGTTCACGACGATTGGGATCTTGAACCCAGCATACAAGGGCAGAACATCACAGTCGACAACAGCCAGCACAGAGGATCTTACATCCAAGCTCCGCCCTCGACCTGTTGAGATCTCTTCCCCCCGCGGCAGGGGTTTGTCTGTTAATGGTGACCACGCTCCCATATTGCCGACGCCAGACTTTGCCAAGCGCCACAGCGGCCAATTCACTCTCTCCCCAAGCACAGCGCCTCTTAGTCCTCACCAGTTCTACTACCGGGACTACTACGCTGGTGCAGCTGCGCAGCGACCATCGGTTACCGCATCACCAGTCACAGGAGATCAATCGCCTGTACCGCGGGCAAATTTCCCTCTGCCATCTACCCGACCTGGCACAGGCCAAAGTCACAACACAAACGGTCTACCGAGACAGAGTTCAGAGTCAACAGCAAACAACAGGAGAGACTCAAACCCAAGCCACCAATCTGGCAGCGAATCGCGAAGGTTCTCAGGCCTATTCCACTCTGCTCTTCCTATGCCAGATGGCGTGGAAGAAAGCCAGAGGTCCTCACGAGCATCTTCACGTGAGCGTACACCGGCTGGAAACGGATATAACGTGCTTTGGCTGGCAGCATCACTCTTTGAGTTCAACATTGAAACAACAAAGCATGAGGCTGGGTACCCGTACCTAACGTACCAGGCCGGCGAGGTGAGTCCTTGACATGCCCTCTACTATGGCTTAACAAGAAGCCTAACTGACCATCTTACTAGATTTTTGATGTCATTGCCGAAAAGGGCGAGCTATGGCTTGCTAAAAACCAAGACGACCCTGATGACCAAGTCGGTTGGATTTGGTCCAAGCACTTTGCAAAACTGGCTGATTCATAGAGCGCTTGCCCGCGCAATCGCATAGCCAGCATTTTCAAAAGTACTTGAGACGATTCATTTCTTTTATCCATGGGCAAGCCAACATCTGTGCAGTCGGGCACATGTACGCTGACAAAAGCTTGTGAGCTCAAAAAGCAACTGAGCTGGGGGTTTGTTCATCCCGCAGCATGTATTATTGATAACAGGGAAAAGAGGCTCGGCCAACGAATTCATTTCTCATTGCAGGGAAGAATGGTGAGACCCGGGCCAAGTCAGTGGTGGACACACACCACTCCAGGCGTGTACACTTCTTTCCTGCCTTTACTTTTTTTTTGTTGTCTTCTTCCTTTTGTCGCTTCTTTTTGTGCTGAAGATGGAAAGGAGAGATGGCGTTCGATGGAGGCAACATAACGAGGCCTTGACGGATGAAACGCAATCATGCCAGCCGATACAAGACATCGACGGCAGCTTCTCACTCACAGAGAAAGAGAGAAGTTCAGCAATGAAACCTTTGGGGAGTGTTCCGAGCGTTGTTCATCAAGCCCGTAAAGGGAACGGAAAGAGGGGAGGCGTGTTAGGCGTTGGAGTTGCCTCGCAGTTAGAACTGCAGGCTTCACTTGTTTGTAGCTTTTCAATATCCAAATGGGACATGTGTCGGAATTGCCGAAACCTGTCCAGCGTCGATGCTTCGCTCCGTAATATGATATGCAGGTGCCCATGGCATGCAGCGTCGGATAGGAATAGATAGTGCAGTCTGTCTTATGGGCATATGGGACTGACTGATGGTTGATTGTGAATGCATGCCAAGTCTTGCGATTCTTTGCTCTATACGAAAACACACAAATAAACAAGAAAACACACTGCTGAACTTGGCATCGTCACTCCAAGCCAGGGGAGGAGGACCGATGCCGGGAAAGGCAAGACGAGATGAGCCGCCGACATAAACCATGTTCTGACTACTATAACCGTATGCCATATTTGTTGTGTTTTGTTTGTGCCTTGAAACTCCGAGCGCCCGCCATGGAACTGAAACCAGATTGGACCATCCTACTACTGAAAGTCATCGTCATCTTCGCCACCTTTCTTGCCGTCGCCAGCACCCTCCTTGCGTATGGGAATCTTTATGCCCTGCGTTGCGAAACACTTACTCAAGGGGGTGCTCTCGCAAACACCGGGAAACTTCTTGGCCGAGAAGACCTGGAAGACGTCGCTGAAGGTCGAGGCGAGGATCGGCGCGGTCCCTTGGTTCACCAGCGAGCCGTCTGCCGAGGGCTGATCGGGGGGCCTGGCGACATTGACGAATGAGAAGCGCAGCCTGTGTAACCACTGTCAGTGAAAACCCATAGTAGTAAAATAAAAAATAAATAAAAACTCTTAAGCGGCCCCTCGAGGGGGGTTTCACGTTGAGGCGCTTACCTAAAGTGACCCTCAGTCCTCACGCTCAAATCCTGCATGATGAACCAGATTCCAACGTGGTCTTCCACGTCATTGAGCTTGAAAGCACTCGACGCCGTGCTCCCGATGAGGTTTCTAGTGAACATGCCCTGCGGCTGGCTAGCGGCCATGGACAGAGACTGGCGGTGACCGCCATACGCCATGTCGGCCTGCGAGGGCACAGGCGCCGGGTTTGCATGCTGGGGAAAGTATTGGGTCGGGGGGGCAAACTGGGGGTTTGATGACTGGTAGGCAGCTGCGCAGGCAGTCAGTACTCCGTGGTGCTGCATGTACTTCCTTTCTCCCTTGGACAACTCACGTTGGTAGCTCGATCCAGAAGTCATGCCGTAGCCCGGCATCATATGCTGCTGTGGCGGAGGGGGCTGCTGTTGGCCGTAGCCCATGGGCGCGGAGCCGTAGCTCGGCATCATCTGGGAGTAAGCCTGCATGGGCTGAGCGGGCGCCTGACCCTCCTCCCGTAAGGCCGAGTACGAAAAGGGCTGGGTGGTCGATATTGAGGCCGTGTTAGATGAGTGCCTCACAAGGTTCACCTCTGAGGTACCGTCCTCGGACCACAGATCCACCTGGATCACGTAGAAGGCCGAGTCGATATCGCTAATGAATCATGATCAGCGCCAAGCCCCGGGGTGACATTCCACAAAGCTTTCAAGTCGCACGTACTTGGGGTTGATCTCTTGACCAGTCTTGGCGTCTCTTACGACGACCTTGATACAAGGCGGAGGGGTGATGGGGCGCCGGTCCTGTTTGGTGGTTTATTAGCCACCACGTTGTACTAGGTGTCGATCAATGGTAGAGAGCGAGCAGGCTCACCTTATCGCCAAAGCCGCACATGCGGGCTCGCTGGGGTTGCTGCATCACGACGAGCCTGGTAGCCACCACGTCAGTCTGGTCGCCTCATCAACAAGTGTGACGGGGGTAGCGTACTCGTATTTCCTACCCATATCATCCGTCTTTGACATGGGGGCGGGCACGGCGTTCTGAGGGGCTTGCTGGCCTGGCGGGCCCGAGGATGCGCTGGGGGCAGCCGACTGGTGATGTTGAAGGGGCATTCCGTTGGGCGGCATGTTTGAGTTGGAAGGCAAGGGCGCGGGTGCCGGGTATCCCATTGGAGGGAGCTGAGGCATCTGGCTCGAAGGATGCTGGTGGTGTTGGGGAGCGGCCTGATGATGTTGCTGAGGCGGAGGAGGAAGATGGCTGTAGGGACCAGGGGCCATGTGGTGGTAACCGCCTGGGGCTGGGTGATGCTGATCGTAATTCATGGCTTGGGGAATCTTGGTTGCGACAAGACTTGTGCCGTGGTGGCGGTCGTGATGTCCCGTCGCGGAGCAGAGGTGGTGGCTGGCTGCAGATAAGGATGGCACACGAGGTTAGCAAGGAGGCAGCAAAGAGAAGCGCGAAAGGGGGAAAGTGTCTGCGCGAGCGCGAGGTGAGAGAGGATGGGTGGGGCGAACGGTACCTTTTCTCGATCGACGACAACCAGATGGAATGAAGAGCTGGGACGGCAGCAGTAATAAGGATCAGTAAGAGTCGGGTCAGGCTGGGTTCATATAGCAGCACAATGGTGCTTTTGGGTTTCGGGGACAAGACGCTCGACCTTTGCACGGTACCGTGGTAAGCAACGGCGAGGTAAGGTATTGTGCAGACAAGCAAGGCAGGTAAGGTTGTAGACAGAGAGGCGCGAAAGCTAAGCAAGCCACTCAAGTTGTGCAATTGAGCGTGTGTAACATGGGGGGCGCAGGCAGTATTGGGAAGTGGAGGAGAGGAGGGATTGGATGGGTGAGGGTCCAAAGGGAAGGGACGACACTGGCAACTGGCAACTGGCAACTGGGGGTGCGCGTTAAAAGGTGGATATGCGAGTAGCCCGTGTGTACCGTGAGAGCGGCCGCGGGTGGTTCTTGGGTGGAGACATACATGGCGATTGTGGAAGGATGGCAGGCACATCGGGTGGATGGTGGTGGTACGTGCTACCTATACCGCACCAAGTCGCGGCAAAATAGAGAAGGAGCGCATCCGTCCATCTATTCATCCATCCATCCATGCATACGTAGCAGGTGTATCCGTAGGTAGGTAGGTACTGTAGGTACGGATAGATACCATCCATACCTTGGGTATCCATACATGGGCACGCGTACACACTACACTACCTACACGTTTATCTGTATACTACCTGGCTAGGTACCCACCTATCTACCCAACTTACCTACCTACCTAATTTGGGTATGCACACAGACTGCTATTCCCGGCCGGCACAGCAAAGTTAGAGGCGGAGCGGAGAATCTGGGTGCATGCATGTCGTGACCTTTTACACGGCATCCCCCCATCCATACTTACCGTAGGTATTTATTTGGGTACCTTACCAAAGCCAGAAAACAAGGACTGTTCTTTTTGGTAATTAGCCAGTCCCAAAGATTCGAACCTCGTCTCGTCCTTCCCTACCCCACCATCTCACAGGCAAACAGCAAACACCCGCTTCCCAAATGTAGACGGAAGGCCACGCGGAGTTCCTTTTTTGGGGCGAAATTACCGCCGTGCCTGCTGCTGTGGCTGGGCAGGGCATGGCCGGTAGGTAGCAGCAAATGCAGTGCAAGTGCAAATCCTTGCCTGGCGGCTGCTGGCTGCTGTCTGCTGCTCTGTCTCGTCTTCTCGTGCTTATTTGTGTTGCAGCCGCGGTGGGTATTGGGACATGTGTAATGCGCGAGACTGGAGTTTGGGACTTGTCTGCACCGCACCGAATGATGGATCTTGTCGAGTGCTGGATCCGATTGCTAATCTCCATTGGATTCTTCATCCGCCCCCCCCCCCCCTTCGCCGTCGCTGGCAGGGAAGTCGACTATTTTTGAAGGGGGAGGGAGGGGCTTGCATGCGCCGTGCTGTATTTTGCTCGCGCCGCCGCCCTGTTCCTGGAGACTTGGTGCAGTGCAGGGGCCAACAGCCCAGACGGACCTCGTTACATGCATTCATTGTGCATTGTGCATCCTCCTCGCTCGCCCGCTTTGCTTGTCCGCATCACCATCCTGAGCTACTCATACCTACCTACCTACCTACGTATACGATGTCCATGGCGAGAACATGGGCTGCCAGTAGCCATTTCGAATCATCGGCCACCCTTCTCGTCCCTTTTCTAATTTGCTCTGCAGATGACACAGCTCGCCCCGTGTATCCGTACTAGTGTAGTAATGTACGACACCGCACATGGCACCTCCCTCCGCATGTCGTGTAAGAATACCTACCTACAGATTGTCACCCCTCCTCCCCCCTTCTTTCTCCCAAAACACCCAACGGCTTCGCCATCAGTTGCCATCTCGACGTGGTCTTGTCCAAAACGTGTCTCACTTTCGATGCTTACTTGGAGACAACTGCGTTTTGTCTTGGACGCACTACGAAACCAGACATTCCTCTTCCTCCGTCGTCCATCCCGTCCAAACCGCCATCCCCCGTTCCCGACACTCTGGTCGATCCAACCCGCGCATAACCAGCCATTGACACCATGTCCGCGCGCTCTATGCCAAACCATTCCCCCGGCGCCAGCGAAGGATGACGGGGGATCGAACAAACATACCCACCTACCGCATCCATCATTTCAGCCGCACCTCCTGTCTCCGAAACGGGGCCACCCGGTCCATCAGAAGCCCACTCGCTGTCTTCCGCGCCACCCTCCCCTCCGTCGCTGCGCCTGTCCATATTGCAAATCCGTACCCTTGTATCCTGGGGGCCTTACCAGTCGCTTTCTCGGTACCGCCCTCTTCTTTCTTCTTTTGCCCCAGCAAACTGTCTGGCTCGGACTTGTTGGGTGGCTATGATGTGTGCCGTAGAAAGGCTTCATCTCCCGATGGCACAGAGCCCAACCCCCCCCGACGCAACCCTCATTGTCGGCAATTGCATCACCTCCACCCGCTATTCTCGTCCATCGAATGGGCGAGTTCCGCTAGGCCCCATGCCTTTGGTTAACGACGCTGGAAATGAACCCGGGCCTGCTCGTTGTCCTGGTGCGCATTATACCGGCGGTCCTACCAGCTTAACCCACGTATAGCCACGCTCGGGAGCCGTTTTCCGTCGCATGTCGCATTTGAATTTTCTTCTACCTTGCTCATGAGTTCCCGAGCTCTCGTTCAGGGGTGGCCAGACCATTCACGCTTTGGATTGTTGTTCTGCATGATCTATGCCACTTCCCCTGGAGCATTTGCTTTTCGATACGCAAGGGTTTCGGCCGGCCAGCAGTGTTTCCAGAGAGCAGATCGGCCGTGTTGGCACAATGTCGGCCTGTCACGCACGCGGTGCCGCGTAAGCCAATAAACCCAGTCTGATGGTCCTCAAAACGCCAATGAATCCTCTGCAGTGACAGACGGCGCCGCGTGATCGGGGTGTGGTATGCGACCCCACGCACGGCGGCAACGCTTTGATGAACCGATAGACACTTGGCATCGATATAACAGGACCGGCACATAGATGTTTGTGAGAGTGTTGTTCACTTGAGGCAAAGGACAGGTCCCAAGTGCCAGGGAAGTTCCGGCCATGCCAGGCGGCGGCTTCTTCAGGGGTGTTTGCGTTGCCCGGTTCAGCTTTCTGCCTCCATGTATGCCAGGGAGCGTTGCGCTATTTTATGCTACCATCGCTGGGCATGCACAACACGCTGATAACCGTCCACGAAGAACCAACGAAACAAAGGCAAAATCTACACCAGCACGGGGGGTAGAGTACCCGTCGAGGCTAGCTCAGATGGATGCTTCTACCCAGACCGCCAGCCATTCACCTGAAGATGAGATGGCAGACTTCACCGAGCCCGCACCCCTTTATGGTACCGAAGTTTGAGGAGCCGCATTGTCCGTGGTCATTGCGCCTCTGAAGACCAGAGAGGCGGAAGATTTCAGCAGCTACAGCGTCCGCGCGTCATCATGGATGCCATTCAGATAAAGACGCAATCACGGCCAGCAATGATCATTCCCAACGGCATAACAGTCCGTTTAGGGCCGGGCCCGGTGCCGATAAGAGCCAAGAATCGACGCCGTCCAAATCTTGAAGATGTCGCTTTCGGGGTACTCCGGGGGGGGGGGGGGGGGGGGTCTTCGAGTTCGTAGAAGGACTTGATGGTCCATTTTCTGAAGGCCGCCATGTCTTCTGCTTGGCCCAATGTCCTTCGTGGTATTGAAATAGAATGGGGATCTCACCTCCTCATTAATCTTGCCTTTGTAGTCCGTCAAAAGAGACGACCGAACTGCAGAGCTGCCGTTTAGGTAAGCTCCAGGCTAGGGGTTGGCAATATTGACTGCGGAAGTGTAGTCGTCTGAGACCTTGTGATGTGCTGGTCGACTTACAACGTTGCTATAGATCCGTGTGCCACCCTCGTTGTCTGTCTCCCTGGTTTATTTGATAATGGAGACATCCGGCACGACATCGATCTCGCCATAGAGGAAGCCGCGGCCGGCCGCAGCGTAGTCCCGACCGACCTGTTGTCGCGTTCCGGGGTCGTGACGCAACACGTTCATGTATGTCCTCTACCTATGGTTTCGGGCCAGTTGCAGTACGGCGCAGACTCTCCTGCGCGCATGCTGTGGATGCTGTCGTCGTACACGATGAGGCCGGCGTTCTCCCCGAGATCCGCCTCGGCGGAGGTGCCGGCGCCCAAGCTGCGACTTTCACGTGAGGAACCCAGCATCACTTCGACGCCGGTGACGAGACGGGGTTCCCGCTTAGCCCGCCAAGTTCCGCGATCGGCCGAACGGGGCTGCTGTCGGTGGCGGGCTAAGGGGGGGTAAAAGAGATAGGACGCGGGCCGGTCTCATGTGATTGTGGCGGTCCGACCTTGGGCCGTTTTTGGTGTGCGCGTCGTCAACGGGAACGGGTGATGGCGGCGCATGTCGGTTGGCACGATGCTTGCCGCTAGCTCCAAACGTCTTGGAAGGGGTGTTCGTAGCGGCGTCGAAGGAAACCCAGCACGAAATCGGATGCGCGTCACCCGCCCACTCACAACCAACAATCGGAGCGGGTGCAGATTCGCGGGGCAGCCGAGCAAGACTTGGACAAGGGCCGAGAACGGCGGGGGGCGAGAGGGACATGGACAAAGTGCAGAAAAGATACGGGCTATTTTAGCTCTCGCGGCCGCCTGCATCTCCCGTTAGTCTCCAATACCGTCCACACTGGCTATATTCACCTTTAGCTACTGCACAAGCTAATGGTAGGAGGGAAGGTGGTCGCCCATCGCGCTAAGCTCAATATGGAAGGCGGTCAACCTATCTGTTAACCCAATGACACCCAAACTTCCTGCTGACGTACGCAACTAACCCCTACTTCTGCCAGTATCTGATCCCTGTTTCTGCCAGCACACTATACCCCTTATGGTGGCCGCGATACCCGTTGCCGTCAGCTCGTACAGTAGCTAAAGGTGAATTTAGCCAGTGTGGACGGTATACCCGAACGTTGTCGGCGGCGGTCGCGAGGCGGGCCAATCGCCTTTGCAGCACAGGCCATTCTAGGATAGATAAACGTCTACTTTTCAAGGTTCACGGGATGGCGTTTTTTTGCCCCCATCACGAGGCGGAGTGTGCAGAATGTTGATTCTTACCGCTCGATGAGCTCTTGCAAGGCCTCTCTCCCCCCCTTGGAGAAGACTGGGGTTGCGTCGAAAGGCAAGCCTGTGACTGGCCAGTGCCCCGTTAGCAGAACTCATCATTACGTAGGATCAACACGATGTTCATTAACGTCCAGGAAAATCCGGGGTACGGGATGGACCTATATTCCTGTACATCAAATGGGGCTTTCTGCACGATTCAACAGCAGTGGGCAGCAAACTGGGGCGGTGGTGGCTCAGACGAGGGCAGTACGGGAGCCGGCTGGCAACGGCATCTTGGTCGGTGTCCTCTTACCAGAGTCTAGTCTGCTTTGCGTGAGTAAGCCACGAACTCGCGGCATTCGTGCCGGACAGACAGCAGTGAGAATGCTGTATCCCAAGAGAAACCAGGCGAGGCCGGCGGACGCCAGGGAGCCTAGGGAGGGGGAGGTTGCAAGGCAGCCACCGGCGCGGACCGAGAAAATCTTTGTGGGAAAGGAGAAACAAAAAAGGCATTACAGCTCTCTCTGGCTGGGAGATTGGCGCAACGCCAAGGGCTCTTGCGGGGTTTTTCGCTGCCTTGAAACAAATTATCTAATTCCCACAAGGGAAGGACTTGGATTGTCGAAAGTGCCGTGTTAGAAGACGTGGGCTTACTCGCTGGCTGTCAGTCAGCATGCGGTCTTGAATTCATTCCGGGCGAGGTCACAAGCTCATCGGACCAAGCCGTGGCCGATACCACCCCTGCACACGGGTGACAAAAGCAAGCAGGCAATCCGGGGTAGAGTGGTCGCCTTACCATTCGCCGCTGAATCCAGACCGCCCGCCGACCACACACCAGTTCGAAAATCGACGTCGATTGATGATGGCTCAACCAGCCTCTTTCCAACGGTCGTTTGTCGCCTTGGCTCGGTTCCCTTCACACCGGAATTTTACGCTTTCTCTCGACAGTTATCCAATGGGAGGAAGAAGAAGAAGAAGAATAAGACTAATACGAAAGGGAAAAAACGCCATTGCTAAGTTGCCGATGGCGAAATCCGAGAACCCCCCCTCCCTCCTTCCCCTTCTCTTCTCTGTGTTTGTCATGGGCCAAAATGGAACGGGTTGGAAGATTTCAATCAAGTGACACCAGCGCCAGGGAATGACACCACCTTGAACCTTGCCTATCCCAGACAAGGGCCCGGTCAGGGACCTGGAGGGAGGGCGGACCTTTTTGGGAAAGGGAAGGGGAAAATGTGGTGTTTTCCACTGGATCTCATGTTTTCATTACGTTTCTTAATGGAGCCCTCCCCCCAATGGCTTTTCCCCAAACAAAGTTGCAACGCTGCCACGCCACAATGCCTCGAAGCTCCCAACACAATGGGGGGCGGACTCTGTCTTTTTTTTTTTTTCCCTTTTCCCATTCAAACATCTCCTCCCTTTCTCTCTTGCCGGGTCAAGCGCGAGCCGTCACGGTCAGAGCGCGGTAGGTAGGTAGTTGAGGTATCCACATTGAACAGAGAGAAAAAAAAGTTGGAAAAGCCCACATGCACATCCGGAAACCTGTATGTAAGACCGAGCGTCGGTCAGTCACTTCACTGAGCCAGACGATTCCCCCGGACCCCCCCCCCCCCCGATGGCGCGCGTATGTGGAGAAGAGAAAAAGGCAAGAGCCAAGAGTCTAGTAAGAGGAGCAAGAACAGTGAAAAATAAAAATAAAAAGCTCTGCCTGGCCTTGTGATCACTTTCGATGGCGCACCCTACATTACACTACGTCAGGACAGGTCGGGCCAAGGATCGACTCGCGACGCCATGCTTTGAAATGGTCGCGCAATAGCTGCTTGCGGCCAGATGCCATCGCATTCCCACCCCTCCCCCATTCATCCTTGTTCGAGCTGTAGCTTAAAGCAGAGACGGGCGGGTGTTGCGTCTTTTCTGCCGTTTCCTATTTAACTCCTTTGTCCCGTCTGCTTCCCGTCTGCCTCCTCCTGATCCCTCCATCTGCTGTTCGCCAAAGCTTGATTCACAACTCCAACACCGGACGAGACTCTCCTTCAGACCAAAGTGACCACGATAAAACCCGCCTCTCACTCTTCCGAGTGTTTTTCTTCTTCTGCATTCTCCAGCGTATTCTGCGTGTTGGACCCAGCTGCGCGTTCTCTCTGTTGCGCCTAAGACCGGACCACACCCTGCCTTCTCACACTCACCTTACGCCTGCCTCCAAACTTCAGACTCACGATAATCACACAACCACGTCCTTTCACGGTCTGGAGATAAACTCGCATACACAGACCATAGTTAACCGATACAAAAATCCCCCCAAATCACAATGCTTGCTTCCAGTGGCCGAGGTGGCGCCGGTAACATGACCGAAAACTCGCCCAAAATCACCCCAAAGGACCTCGAAACGCCAACCCTCAAGACCTCAGTCGTTACGACAGGGAGGGGAGGATCGGGAAACATGGCCAAGAACTCGGATCCTTATGAGACTCGTCTTCGCCAAGACGTTGAGGCGTGAGTTCACCATCCCTTCTCGGGCGCGAGACGACGAAGCTGACCACCTTTTCCTGCTGCAGTGTTCCCCGGCGCAACAGTGGCGGCGCAACCCACTATGGCAGGGGGGGGGCCAACGTCTTCAAGGGTTCCCCCGAGGAAGAGGCGGCCGCTCGCAAGGCCGGGGCCGAGGGTGCGGGCGCCATCGACGACGACGAGCAGCAGCCCGCGCTCCGCAAGAGCCCGTCCCCCGAGGACAAGGGCAACAACGGCCTTGCTGCCAAGGGCAAGCAGTGGCTCAACAACCTTACCAAGAAGGCTTGAGAGTCCTTTTGTGGTTGCCGAACCCCAACCCCCCCTCCCCGGAAGCAAACCATATCGGTATTCTGCGCGCTCTGGGACCTAGCACCCGACTTGCCACCATGCTGGTTCTCGAAAGTGTTATGCGGCAGCCCTTGGGAGCTGTGCGGGTCGAGCTCTTTTTCTTTGATTTTCCCGAGACGGTATGGACTCGGGAACCGATGTGTCACTGAGGCTTCTGTGACAGACGGCTGGGAATCCCCTACGGCGTTCTTTGGAAGCGTGGTTGAAAACGTTGGAAACGATATAAAAAAAGTTTTTTATTTTTGCTTTTTTGCTTTTTATTTTTATTTTTTGATACCATATTTGGCGATATAAGGGCTACGGCGAGTAAAAGGGGGAGGAGGAAAAGTACGTAATGAAAATTCATCAACTTTTAATCATCCACACTCGCCAAGGGCCGCTCGAGTCCGGTACGTAGACACGCTGGCCAAGGCCAACCAACGTGCGAGACAACGAGCATGCAGATAGAGTCTCGGTCCGAATGAAACTGTCCGTCTTTCTCAGTGGGTTATCACTATTTTAATTGGTACTGGGAGATTCCGCCCGACAGGCTTGTCAAGGTTGAGATGTGATGTTCCAATATTCGCGCCCAGCTCTAACAAGACACTGAGAAATTTTCGAGACCATATCACACCATTTCTTTCCTCCTTTTTTGGTGCGCCTCTATGGGTGTTGCATTGACATTCGACGATGCATGCCTTTTTCATAAACCCGTATACCTACACTCCAAACCCAGACAGTCTGTTGTCCTCCCTGCCTAGTTGCCTGCCAAGCGGTGAATCTCCGACAAGTAAAACCTGAGGTCCTCGGGGTTGACACCGGGAGTTATGCCTGATGCAATGTCAGTCAAAATTGCTCGCCATGTCTCCCGACCGGATGGGAAAGGGACGCATAGACTTACCGTGACCAAGGTTGGCAATCCAGCCCTTCTTGCCACCGCCGAAACCCTTGACCATCACCTCAACAGCCTTCGTCATGGCCTCGTGAGTGCCGTACAAGACACCCGGGTCGGCATTGCCCTGGAAGGTGATGCGCCTGTCGCCGCGGATCTTGACAGCGTCGGCGGGGTCCTGGAGCCAGTCGAGGCCGACAACGTCGTAGCCAATGTCAATGACGGAGTCCAGGGCGTGCCAGGCGCCCTTGGGGAACACCGTCATGGGCACGCGCTCGAGGTTCATCTCGGCGAGCTTCTTGGGCAGGTTGGCGGAAATGTACGCCAGGTACGGCTCGCTGAACTCCTTGAAGGCCTCGGGGCCGAGCTCGCCGGCCCACGAGTCGAAAACCATGACGAGCTGGGCGCCGGCCTTGACCTGCAGGGCGAGGTACTCGACGCAGACCTCTGCGATTTTTTGCAGGAGCTTCTTGGACTCCTCGGGGTGACGGTAGATCCACCTCTTGCTCTGCATGAAGAGCTTGGTGCCGCCGCCCTCGACCATGTAGCAGAAGAGGGTCCAGGGAGCGCCGCAGAAGCCGATAAGGGGCACGCGGCCAGCGAGCTTCTTGCGGGTGAGGGTGATGGCCTTGTAGACATAGTCGAGCTCGGCGGCGACGTCGACGGACTTGCCCAGAACCTTTTCGTACTGACCGTCGTCGGGGGCGCTGAGCGGGTCGGGGAAGTGAGGGCCCTTCTTGTCGACCATCTCGACCGTCATGCCGAGAGCCTGGGGCACGACCAGGATATCGGAGAAGATGATGGCGGCATCAAGGAGGCCGGCGAAGCGCTCGATGGGCTGCAGGGTGAGGGTGCTGGCGACCTCGGGGTCACGGCAGCAGGCGAAGAAGTCGCGGTTGCCCTTGGCCTCGTGGTATTCGGGGAGGTAGCGGCCGGCTGTTATGAGATGGCGAAGCAATATGTCAGGAGTATGTTCTTGTATTCGTTGGATGAAGAGGGAGGTAGGGTCATTACCTTGACGCATGATCCAGCATGGCGGGCGCTCGACCGTCTCGCCTGAGCCCATGTTAGCATGTGCACGGGATTGGTGCAACGTTTGAGGCTCTCAAGAATATTGGAAAGGAGACATACCTCTTGCCGCCCGCAGAAGCAGGTCGTTCTTCAATGGCTCAAATGTCAACTCCATTTTGTCGGCCTGCTGTGAGAATACGTTGTGGAATTCCGATGCTGGAGGTCCCGGAACATGCGGAAGGCACAAATTCAGGATGCCCCGCGGCTCGCCTGCTGGAAACCCCGCCAAAGCTTCCCGTCCATCATTGGTGGTTGCAAGCTCCTTCTGTCGCCAAAGTAGCCCCGTCTAGAGCTTGGCACCAGCCACAGTAAGGCTTGACAGAATACCCTATGGACAGAAGTGGGCCCTGCAATCCCAAAGCTCTTTTCGACCTGGCAAATTGTCGCTCCTTCACCAAACAGCAATCTAGACGCCTCCCATCGAATCAAACCGAGCCAATTGGCAATCAACAACCGCGGTCCAACTGGGTAGCCATTGCCAGGTTCAACACTTCAACGAACATGGCATAGGCTGATGTCGCGGATAACCGATAACTTCTCGCCCGGGTTGCCATTCGACCGACCGCCTTCGCGATCTGCTCCCGATGCCGCCGTCACGTCCTACCGCGCGCTGCTGCCGAGCAGTCCAGCAACAGATTCGGGCACCACCGGACAACATATGGATCACGGACGTCGCGCTGGCGAGTGCCTTTGAGCGCTATTGCCATGTATCACGAGCCGCGAGGCGGAAGTCGAGCTCCGTGCCCGGCCCGCTGGAAAACAGGGGACGACTGGGCAAGCGAAAGATGACGGACATGCACATAAACACTCAGCCGACGCTGCCTCCTTGGGCAATCGAATTTTCGTCTGACTTGAGGCAGTGGACCTGGCAACCGCCAACAAAACGATTATCGGAGGAGAACAGGGTTCTACCGAGCCAGCAACGCCAATTCGTGCCATGGGGGATCTCCAGGTGGTGGACGAACAAGGTTGAGCGAAAAGAGGAGGAATCTGACACAACTGCGGTCGAGAACCAGCCTGAAATCAAATTCCGCAACCAGCTCGCCAAAGCCCGAGCAGCCATTGCGGCTTCTACCTCGGACGTGATCAGTCCGGCATATTTCAACTTCATCGGGGGTTTGCAACATGACCTCGAATCGGGCATACTGGATCCCGAGATGGTGAACATAGCTGTATCGACCTTTCCGTCGTCATTGATCGGCACAGGTGTCGACGGCGAAGTGGTCAATGCTTCCATCGAGATGTTTCTTTCGGCCGTTGTCAACGGAATCGCATCTTCCAAGGTTTTGGGACCGACGGAGTTTGACGCGAGTCTTTGGGACCTTGTACTACGTCAGATCTCTCAATTACCCGCCAACGACACGACGGCTCCTCTATTCAAGACTACCCTAGATGCGATCCCCCTCCACTATGTCGACGACGTCCACGAGGGTATTATTGCGGTAGTGCAAAAACTAGCTATGTGTCATCCGCCGGAGGGCGGACGGGCCGCGGACATTGGCGCTGCACTCCACCGTCTATCGCCTGCCGACCATGGCGTGCTACTGGAGAAGATGGAAACTGCCGTCTATGAAGGTTCGGCAGCCTTTGAGGAGGAGCCCCTCCGAAAGCTTCGCTTCCTTTGGTTGCAAACCTTGGCCCACATGCCGCATGTTAACACTGACTACCTTTTGGATGCATGCGTCAGGTCTGCCTACTTTGACCGCAAAGAGCTCAGCGTCGACCGGGATCTCGGCCGACTACTCATCCAACAATGGACTAGCCGCGGGTATCTGTGGTACCACGAAAGAGTCGAGGAGGGGTGGAATCACGATTCTTCCTGCCACGCAGAATTGAACTTTGCGTCGCTGGCTGCCCACATTTCCTTTTGGGAGCCAGCAGGTCACAGGGAAAACCGACGTGTGGCGCTCCTGATGAGCTTGTTCAGGGCGTTGAGACGGTTGGACCGTGAGAAGGAGCTTATGGCTTCACTGCAACGCTACTGCAAGATCAAGAAGAAGCTATCGATTCTGCCGTTTAGGAATCTCGCCATGGCTAGTTGCGACTACAAGACCGCTCTCGAGATATTCATGTTGCTGGACGATCACAGGGCCAAGTTGAAACGTAGCCTCGCACAGCAGTGGGCCTGGACGGACTGGGCTACGGATCATATCAAGTCAATGATCGAAGACGATTCTATCAGCCCCGCTTCCGTCTGGAAGGTGGTCAACTGCGGCGTCAGAAGGGGCTTCCTGAATAAAGTGCAGGAACAGGTATATATGAAGAGGAGGGCGAGGCTGATGGAGGACATGGCATTGTGGTTCTCGAAAAAGTATCATCGAACGGACGCCAAGGCACTACGGCAAGTGTGCTTATGCATCGGTTGGCTCCGCGGGCACAACATCGAGCTGTCACACAAGTCCCTTCTGGCGGTGTTGGCGGTGGTCTCAAGGGAGCTCAAGAGGGGCGAGCCTGGACGGACTCGTCGTCTATTCTGGCTCGTGAATCTCGTGGAACAGTATCAGGGCCCTGAGGAGCGACGGGCCGTCGCAAAAGTGCTGGAGCGGTGGAGAAGAGCCAACGCGGACCTGTCTGTATGCGGTATTGATGCGTCAAGCCGATGAGCGGGCTCCAAGGTGAACAGAGCAGGGTCTCGTTAGAGAATGGGACACACGAAATGAATACATGGCATCCTTTGGTCAAGCAGTGAAAGCAAAGTAAAAAACCGACTGTGAGACATGAGGCCTGGGGCATCGACCTCTAGCGACGCAAATCATGGCGCTGGCGCCTGCCGTGTTTTGTGTGCCTGAAGGGAGAGAGAGGAAGAATGGGAGGAGGGATGACGATTGGTGATGCGCGAGAGGCGCTAGAGATGCAGAGAGCAAAAAATAAAAGCGAGCGGGTACGGATCGGGGAGACCCAGGAGCGCCAATGGAGGTCTGCAATGGGGAAGATGCCTGCCTTGGAATCCGCGACGGGTGCCCTTTTGTCTCTCGTTTTTGCCACGAGGATGGTGGGTGGAGGGCCCCGGCGGCTGGAATGCAGCAGAAGACGCCGCGGGATACACGACCACATCCAAACGGATTTACACTTTTGCTCTCGGCCGCGTCCGAAGGTGAGTCGAGGTGACAAGGTGAAGCCGACCCAGGCCGCATGCGTCTGAGCTGAAGTTCATTCTCCCGGAAGACGGATCGAATTGCTCTTTGTCTGCCTGATAAATGAGACATGTCCTTCCCGGTCCTCAAGGCTGTCAGGGGAGATTGTAGCCTGGGTTGGATGATGTTTCGCTGCCCAACGATTCCACGCGCGTTGCTAGATGTCGCGGACGACTGAAGATGATTGGGGGGCAGGGTTTCTGTCGCTTTGTTGACGACTGGCGATCCGTTCCGGAGAGAGACCAACCCTCCTCATCTGTGGCCAATGGGTCCGGAAGAACTGGGCCAACGACAGCGCCTCGTAGCGGATGTGAAGAAGGGGGTGTGGGTGGGTGAGGGAAAGCGTAGGTAATGCTGTGTCGTGTACCTACATTAGGCCGCTTCAGACACATCAGGCAGGAGAAGCAGAAGACGAAACAAGATGCATGAAAGCCACGAACTCGCATACCTAGCCGACGACAATCGGAAACATCGGGTTGTGGAGACGAGATGAGGACCTGCTCGAAGCTGCTTTTAGATTGTTGTGACTTGGCGCTGCCACTTGAGGCTCTCGCTTCATCGTGGTTGGGAATGCGTGGAAGTCCGATGATAGAAGCGAGCCACCGTCCATCACTAGTGAAGTGGGACGAACCCCGCGGAGCTCGTGCAGAGAAACATACCTAAAATAAACACGGGCGGGGTCGCATCGATAAGGTATCATCAAATGACGGGACTCGGACCAACTCATGTCTGGACTGCATCGTAGCATTTTAAATATTTGAAGTAGAGTTTTCTGGTCCATCAAGTGGTAATGGTAGTGGACTCTTCAGGGGTGAAAGACGACGGTAGGGGGGGCAAGTCCACGTAGGCTCCTGCTGCAGCTTGGGAACTAACTGCTCAGCCCAGGCAGGCACCCGGTGGACAAAAAAGATAGCACACTAAATTTTACCTACCTACCTATACCCCCCTTTTTCCCCCCTTTTCCTTCCCTTTTTTACTTTATTATTATTTTATAGCAAAACTAACTTTTTATTATAATACCTAGTTATAAAGTTTAGACTCTAAAAAAAGCTAAAATTTAAGAAGTAATTAAATATTTATAAAAAATTAATCTAGATTACTTAAAATAATAGGTATTTAACTACTTTTAAGTTATAAAAAAAACTAGCTATTATATACTTTAAGACTATTTATAATAGTTTTATTATAACCTTTTTATTAATAAAATATATAGCTAGAGAAGCCTTATTACTAACTTTAATTTTTATATTTTTAATAAGTTTATATAGAGAGGAGGCTAGGATATATAAACCTTATCTTAAGGTATTTTACTATAAAAAGTAGGTCTTAAAGTCTTATATAGCCTAAAAACAGTCTAATAAGTAATAAGTACACTAAGATATTATAAGTATATTACTTACTATTATAGTTAAGTTAGCCTATATACTACTACTAACTAAGTAGCCTTTATAAAGTATATATTAAAGTAGTACTTTTACCTTAAAGACTAGCACTAAGTATAATTTTCTAATAAATATTACTTTAGCCTTAGGCTAAAAAAAAGACTATATATTATTTAAAAGCTTAGTAAGAGGTAGTACCTAGACTATATTTAAGAAGTAAATACACCTTAAGATAAAAATTAAAAATATATTTATATATAAGCTATAATTAGATATAAGTTTAAAAGTCTACTAGTTTTTTATAACTTAAGGAATAAAAATAAAAAAATAATATATAACTACTATATTAACTAAATTCTTAAGCTAGTAGTTAAACCTTAAATTAAGTAAGGTAATAACTTTATTCTTAAAGAGGATAGTAATAGTAGCTATAGGCTTTTACTAAAAAATAAAGTCTAAGACTAAAAGACTTAAAATAGCCTAAAGAGCTACTTTAATTATTATAACTTCCTAAATTTATTACTTATTAAGAATTACTAGTAAATACCTAAAAAGCTTATATAGCACTTTATATATTAGTTAGAAGGTAAAGTTAAAGAATTAGTAAAAGAGGGCTAAAAGTAATTATTATAGTTAACTATTAATAACTAAGTTAATTTAATACCTACCTAACTATAGGAAATAATTAATATAAATAGTAAGTATACTTAATAGTAAATAAAACTACTTTATATTTAATTTAATTAATTTATATAGGTATATTTATTAATTAAATGCTATATAGTTTGTAATAGTATAGTGTAGGTAAAATTTAGTGTGCTATCTTTTTTGTCCACCAGGTGGCAGGTTGCTAACTGGCAGTTCCCTTCCATCTTGTCTTTGAAATTACGTGCAGGAAAGATGGACGGAGGAAAAGAAAAGATGATGGGAAGCTCATGGGCCAGTCAGAGGTAAGAAGGTGTGGCCCACATCGGTTCTCGGTCGATGACACCGATATTAGACTATATTTGTATACCTGTGCAAGAGGGACCGCCATGACACCTCAGTCGACCAACACCTTGCAATAACACTCGTTGAGGCGGCATCACGCCAGCACCGAAATGACCTTGACATGACCGTGATCAGACGACAGCTCTGGGCGCATTGAAGGAGGGGGGGGGGGGGGCAGCACGGCATTGGGTAGGTATTTGCATTTGATGATGCGCGCATCGCCGGCTACTAGCCACCAATAAACCCCAGCTCCAAAGGAACCCTACAGATATTTGGCGGGACTTTATTCCTGTTCACTTCTCTTGATCCAAACATATGCACAACGCCAGCGCCCCCCCCAAGACGGGATGGGAAAGGATGCAACACGATACGACATGGCACGGCATGACGGAACGGTATGTGGATAAGACAGCCCAACGTAGCCCAGAACATCCCAGAACAATCTATACAACAACTACGACGGGTACTGACTGTAGTGGACATGGTGGAAGGATGTGGTTAAACGTGGCGACGCCAGAAAGGCGCGCACGGCAGCCCTTCTTGCTCTCTCTTTGGCCCCTGGACGGAGCTCTTGGTGGAAAATAGTAAATAAATAAAAAGTCCCGGAGTTGCAAAACACAAGCTACAGTCGGGAAGGGCGAATGACTTGGGGCTGAGGCATTGTCGGCTAGACATTAGCGAAAAGAGGCGGGTTGTTGCTTGATTTTGCAAATGAGAGAGCTTTTCCGTTCGTGGAGGTGTGTCTTGGGTAGCGAGAAAGAAACCCGGGGGGTGCCGGACTTCGACCAACCCCTCCCCCCGCATGCGGAAGTATTCGGTACCTGCGGCGGATCCCTTTTGCCCACCACTGCATGTAGTTTACCAACGAACGGCGTGGGTGGTCTCGCCTTCTCCGTTGGCATACATACCTAGCATGGCGATTGGGCTTGGTGAGCGGGAAGGCGTGAAGGGTCTCCACTTCCCGTCCAAGTAGCTCATACATTGTGTCATGGCAACCTCGGTCTGAGCCGTCTGCTATCTGCTCCTGCTCCTGCTCCACACACCACCACCTGCCACTTGAAAGCTAATTACCCACCTACCTACCTGGGTATACACCCTTCGTTTCGTCTCTTGTCGTTCCTCCTCATAGGCACTTTCTTGCCAAAGAAACGTGTGTGCCTCCTCTTTCTGATCAATTTTTTATTCTCTCAAGTCACTCCCCTATTCGTCCCTTCTCATCGTTACGCTCTTGACACGCACCCCCTGCCTCCCCTCTTTCTCTGTTCATCTTAACTCCATTGTTGGAATACCTACGTCGTAAAGAAACGAATTCAACCCCGAGACCAATCCGAATCAGACATACACAGACCCATCTACAGATCTACCGGCCTACGAGAGGGAATTCGAACGAGTGCATCGTCACTTACATAGTTAGGCATACGTGTGCCCCCACACCCGACCTGTCCACCTCCACCACCTTCTTTTCCTAGGATTGCCCTCTCCTCCTCCTCCACTACCACCATCAGAGGCCAGACCAGGGACACTGCAATAAAATCAAATCTCCTGCATGGTCAGCCCTCCTCTGACATATATCCCGGCCATCAGTAGCTCCCCATCCTGCACCTATAACAGGCCACGTCCCTTTTTACGTCCGTAACGCCCCCCCCCCCCCCCCCCCCCCCCGGAAGGCCTAGGTTATCCTCGATTACTTAGATAGTGGATAACACTGTCTGGATTGAACGACGACTGGCTGTGCGCCGCGGGGCGGCGATTTAGCGGTACAACAATAGAGTAATATGCGAGCGCTCCAGTTTTCACGCGTCTTACGCCGACACATGGCATTCGCGGTGTGTCGCGTTATCTCAGCCCTCGACGAGTGAGGTGGGCGTCAGAATGACTGGTTTTGCCATAATAATTACAATGCACGCGTGGAACCCCAATTTTCTGGTCGGTAGGGGGTTCAGGTCCCAATGTCGTATCCCTACTAGTAGAGAACCAACCAGTTAGGGCCCATTGATTGCCTCGTATGATGACACCAACCGCCGTGCGCGTGTAGATAATCCGATATTCTTTCTACATGGGGTGAGATGGAAGCATGTTGGTGTGCGCATGTCCGATCGCTGAGGATACTTGAAACATGCCCAACACCCTCCTTGGGTAGGGCTACGGCAAATAGAGCTATCGCAGCTACCTGTACTCGCCTCGCAACCACGACTGTCACCGACGAATGACTGCCTTGTTTGATTCCTTTCCGAGTTCACCAGTCATTCATATCACCCCCCTTTTCCAGACGCCCGGCCGCTGGGAAGAAATCCGAGATCTGACGCCGCCCAACAACCAACCATCAAATGAACTCAGGCCATTATTCTTCCGCTGCACGTCATGCCGCCGCCGTCACTACCGGTGGCGGTAGTGGTGCTGGTGGTGCTGTCTACTCGGCCCAACCCGTCGACCATACGCAAGCCGCCTACCATCACACTCACTCGCACTTACAGACGCCCGCGCATTCACCGCATGGACAGCCACAGTACTACTCGATGAATACTGTGAGTACGCCCGCACAAGGGCCCTCAATGACGAGCCCGCGCGTTCTGCCAAACTTGGACATCATGCCCGGTGGCCACTCGCCTGGGTCGGCGACTTCGTCCTTGCCGCAGGGCAGGAATGGTCCGCCCGCCGGTCCTTCTTCCCCGGCCGCTTCAGCCTCGGGGGCTTCTAGTCCAGCTTCCAAACCCATCCGTAGGCGCATGCGCATGATCACATCTTGCCTCGAGTGCCGCCGACGGAAGCTCAAGTGTAACAAGTCCCAGCCATGCGTCAACTGCATGAAGTTCTCCCGCGACTGCATCTACCTTAGCCCCAAGCTTGACGAGGCAAGCCAACTGCGCCTGACCGAGATCAAGGAGAAGGTCGGCTCCCTCGAGCGACAGTTGGAGCGCGATGTCGCCAAGACCACCTCTCGCGCCGCCATGCAGCAAGCCATCCTCGCCGATGACGTCGAGGACACCTTTGCCGAGGAGCAGGATCTTGAGCCTACCGATATGACGGCACTTGATGTAACGTACGAGGAGGACGCAGACGGAACTGACGACCTCATTGATCTGGGAGTCCAGGTTGGCCGTATGCGTATCACAGAACGAATTGGCGGCCTATCTAGACCAAGGATAGCCGAAGAGGTATGTATTTGACCTGATGGATTCCAGAGAGCACCAATGCCTCCTATTGGTAAAGACAGCCTTCTGACGCAGTATACAGATCTCCGCCGGCATTTCTGGTGCAGGGGCCCCTTCGGGACCGCCTCCTGGTGGCCCGGTGGGCGGCATGGGCGGAATGATGAGTATGATGGGCGGTAGGGGCATGGGCGGGGCCGGGCGAGGCGGGCCGCCCCGTGGTGGACCGCCTGGGTATCCCAGTCACATCGGCCCACCCCCCGGCATGGATGCCATGTCCGTCGTAAGCGGAAGTTCCAACGACTCAATCCCCGACTTTCTGAGGCCAGGCGAATCTTACATTCCGCCTTCGAGCGGTTTCTTCTTCGGCCACTCATCCGATGCTCTGTCTCTCGACAGGAGGCTGCCCCAAAAGGAAGCCGCAGATCGTCTCATCCAGCAGTATTTCCAAGCGGTTCATCCTGTTGCGCGCTGTGTTCACCAGCCATCCTTTGAGAACGAATACCGGAATTTCTGGGATGACGTATATAACAATATTGAGCCTCGTGCCTCCATACAGGCCATCATGTTTGCGGCATGGTTCAGTGCCGCCGTCAGCATGGACGACCCCACAGTCAGGGAACTATTCGGCGTCACCAAGGCTAATCTGATTGAGCGGATGAAGGCCGATGCCGAACAGGCACTGGGAAAGGCCAATTTCCTCCGCACGACGAGAGTCGAGACCATGCAGGCCTTCATCATGTACATGGTATGTCTCATAGCCCTTTGCCGCGCATGGATCTGTTGCTGACGTTAGATACAGCTTCCCCTTTGCAGAGCCGAGGTGTCTCGGGCTCACTCCGTTCTTGTCGGCGCTGCCGTGAGGATGGCGGAGTGCATGGGACTGCATAGAGATGGAGAGACGTACGGACTGAACCCTTTGGACACCCACGTTCGAAGACTCATCTGGCACCAACTGTGCTTCCTCGACATCCGAACTTGTGAAGCGCAAGGACCGAGACCAGCCATTAGGCGAGAAGACTACGACACCAAGCTGCCGCTTAATTGCGAAGAAGATGAGCTTTACGCCGCTGGCCCACCCCCCGAGCCGGCCGAGCATTTCACCTCGACATTGCCATCTCTCATTCGCTTCGAATGCAACGAGATGATGCGAATAATCTGGCTAGACCGCCGCAGACTAGAGAGCCGAAGAACCACCCTGACCGCCATTCTCACAAAGATCGAGAACTTTAGACGGCGGATGGTCGAAAAGTACGACCATCTCCTCGACGTTACAGTGCCAATCCAACGGTACGCCAAGCTGGTGATGAACCTGCTTCTCTACCGCCTTCATGCCATGATCCTTCACCCCTACCACGCCAACGCCAATAGTCCCATGACGCATCGACTGAACAACCTCTTGATCACATCCGGCATCATGATTATTGAGATATCTATACAGCTTGAGAACGACCCCTTGTTCCATGAATGGTCGTGGTACCTCGGCGCTTATCAACAATTCCAAATCGCTCTGCTCTTGGCGACGGAGATATACTATCGACCACAAAACCAGGAAGCGCACCGCATCTGGGCTTGCCTAGATTATGTCTTCAACACAGATCGCATGTTGCCACCCGAGATCAAGGGCCTGCAAATCCTGGGCGAGATTATGGGTAAGATGCAGACATACCAAAGCATGCGCAAGATGCGCGCGCCGACAGGCACATCACGGGCGGCGCCAAGCAGAAACGCCGTGGGGGCCAAGCATAGGAACGCCGGGCTGCAGCCGCCGTCTCAACAGTACAATGCGCAGGACGTGCAGATGGGCTTCAAAGCAGAACCAAGTATTGGCAACGGCATGCAACAGGGCCCGCCCCCGATGAGCAGTATGTCACCCCAGGGAATGTCGCCGCCAAATGCGCAGATGGCTGGCCCGCCTCCGGGAATTGTCTTCGTGGGCGTCTCCAATGGCGAAGCTATCTGGAGTATGCCGCCCGTGAACGCCGACAGCCCGGAGAGCATCAGCGACGGTGCCAGCGTCGGTGGACACAGACCCTCGCAGCCGGTGAATATGATGAACCCTCTTGAGGGCGTTGACTGGGTGAGTTTACCTCGTTTCCAAGCGCGAGAAAGTTTGCAAACACTGACCGTATCATCTAGGACATAATCAACAACCTGTTCCCCCACGACCCAAACACAGGCGAACTTAACATCTCTGGCTTCAACGACCCATCTCTTGGATTGATCAACGGATTCAATTGGGTACAGCGATGATTGTGGAGTGTGCAGCTGGTTGACCTCTCTGTGTGTGCTTTTGTATATTTGGGCCTTTTTCCAGGCATCGCCGGTCTACATACGTTGGTGGCAGCTCTGATTAGCTAGGTATAACACCATGGCCACATGCTGATACGGTTGGTATATATGTAACGCGAGTGGACCGAGAGCCTCGTCGGGCAGGAGACTATCTATTGTATGTTGCGTGTTCATGTGGAGATGGCTGTTTCAAAGAAAAAGAAGAAGAAAAAATACTACTTGGGTGACTAGGGAAAGAAAACCGTGAGGGGTGGCATATTCAGCAACTCGGAGTGGGTGTGTATGACTAGTTGATTTGAGGCGAAGGAAGCACGAGGCGAATTCACCATAGCTGGTGACGGCAACGTTGCCTCGTAGTGTAATGCAAAAAAAATGTATTTGTGTGACGCATCTTTATCTGTGCTTACAATACATCATCAATCGGGTCAGAAAGATTCGCTTCCAGTTCACTCCAAGAGCAGAGACGAAAATAAGGTCGTATGCCTCGTTACAGTGTCTACAAGTAGACCCCCGGAAGAAAAAATAGACGTCACGAAATATGTGTGTGTATAATGGAAATTACAAATAAGAAATAAGTTTTGTGTGGGAAACGAGACAGTAAAACCCAACAGGTATCGTCATGCACCGGAAGGAATGGTGGAAAAAAGGAAACCCCCCCCCAAAAAACCAGGTATTTCTCTTCTTTTCCTCCTTTTCCTCCACTCTCCTCTCCTCCATCGAAAAAAGCCTGGAAATGCGTGTTCGTAAACTTCGTAACTTGTCTTTTGTTTTGGTATCCCATGCCGACGCTCAATATCTCAGCCCAGTTTCCATTTCTAAATTCCACGGGCAGTGTGTCTCTTGTCACGCCTGCCCCCCTGCAATCGCGTGTATTGCTTTCCTGTATATGTGTGTGTACATGCGTGTGTGCATGTTGTGAATATGTGAATGTGGCGTGTCTGTGTGTAGGTCATGACTGGGTGGAAGCCTGATCGGGCAGGAACGTCCCCATGCTGATGTCGCTGTGCATGGCAGCCGTCTGGCCGCTGATGGACGCACCACCGGTGTCGCTCCCGGGCGTGAAGAGACGGACCGCCTTGCTGCCCTTGGGCCGAGCCACCAGCACCTGAGCGGGGCACACGACAATCTCATCGTCGTTGTTGCCGCCGTCGTCGCCCTTCTTGACGACGAGGGGGAAGAGGACGATCCGGACGACGGCCTTCTGGGCCTCGAGGACCTCGTTGGTCACGGACTTGTCGGCGCTGCGCTCGTTCATGAGCGCCGCGTTGAAGGTGACTGTGTCGGCGAGCTCGCCGTCGGCGTCGTACTCGGGCTGCAACGGCGGGAGCATCATGTACTCGGCGCGCTGGGTGCGCATCTCGATGGAGAGGTCGACGGCCTCTCGCATCACGCGGCGTAACTGTGACTGGATCTGGTCCTCCAGGTTAGACGGGGGAGGGAGGACCTTGGACAGCGTCTGGAAGATGGCCTGGACCACGGCCTCGGTGTCGAGATCGCGCTGGTGCTTGAAGCTGGGCCGCTTAGAGAGGAGCGTCAGGGTGACTGCTCGCCATTGTCGGACAGCCCGCGGGGGGCCGACCTCGGTAAGCAGCTTCTCCAGCGACTTGAGCTTCTGTCGCTGCTCGCGGTCCATGCCGAAGAGGTATCGGGTGAAAACGAACTCCCAGATCATGTTCATCGTCATGGACATGAACACGTCCCGGCGTTTGACGCGGTCGGCAAGGTACGTGTCCACGTCGGTGCCATCTAGGATGGCGTTATCGAGGCGGTCGATGACCTTCTCGTCGTTGATTTCGCTCGTCAGGCGGCAGGAGCGCATGTCTGAGAACTTGGAGAACCGAAGGACCCATTGCTGCACGTGAGAGCAGAGCTGCTGGCACCTGTGGTCGAAGTGGTCAACGTCCTGGACGTTGAGGAAGTCACTATCAGCGCCCTTGGTGGCCAAGATCTGGCGTTGCATCTGCCGGATCTTGTCCTTGGCCGCCTCAAGCTCGGAGCGCAGCCGACCAATCTCGGCGTCCTTCTGCAGCAACGACTCCTGGAAGTGACCCTGCTCGGCGCGAGCTTCCTCCAACCGCCGCGAGGTGTCGGCGTGCTGCGTCTCCAATGAACGGTACCGCTCATTGTGTTGGGCAGCAAGTTGGGCATTGGCACTGTTCAGGCCTTCATTGACCTCGGCCAAGCGGGCCACCTCCTTTTGTAGAAATTCGAGCGATTGCTTGAGAACGTCGATTTCGGCATCGCGCTCTGCCAGGATGCCCGAGGCCCTGTTGCTATTATGGGATTCGGCGTGGGCCCGGGCGTCGGCGAGCATCTGGTTTTCGGCCATCAATTGCTCGACGCGAGACTCGAGCTCGAGGACTTGCATGCTCTGGCGGCGTCGCATGCTGTGTGGTCGCGTCGGTGATCGGGGAGAGCCGATGCGGCCTTCCCCGAATCCATCCTACGATCAGGTCAGTCAACTGTCGGTGAGAGTTGGGGGTGGCTGGCTGGTGATGTGCGCGAGGGTAGCAGACAGTAGTCGATTGCACAACGGGAAAAAAGTTGTGCACAGAAAAAAGGAACTTACAAAGACGTCGGCCATGTCCTTTGTGCGGACACGACCCTCGTTGGCGACGGGGGTGTTGCTGGTCGGTTCCTTGGGATCCTTGGTGAGGTCGAGGTGACTTCGTTGGCTCAGAGATCGTAGGTCTCCGCTTACACGCCTGTCTACCCGGCGTAGGGGCGGGGTGGCAGTGCCTGACCGCTGGATGCCTGGGCTCTCAGGCCGAAACTTTAGTGGCTCCGGTGTTGGCGTCCCCATGGCCCGCCTGTGCCGTGACAGGCTGCTATTGGACATGGACCTGCGCGCTACTGAATCCGTCGGCGCTGGCGACTGCAGTCGTGCAACCCTGTCAGAAACACTGCGGTTGCCCGGTGGGGGAGTGCTGCGTGGTGAGGAGCAGGTGCTACTGATTGCTGCACCGGCCAGCGCTGCCGATGCCAGGTCCTGATACTTGGACCTTTTCCTCTCCAGCTCTGGGCTGACGGTTCTTCTGTACTTTTGGGGTTCCGGGGTCAGCTCCCGCCCAGTGGGCTCCCGGAGCACGGGAGTCTTGGAAAGAGGATGATCGTGCGTTTCTCCTTCAGCTGCAGGGGATCGCAGCAGTGCTGCCCTATCCGTTGGCGATTTTGCTCGCTCCAACTCGCGCGATCTCCGCCTCTCGCTTCTGTGACTTTTCAATTCGGGGGTTCGTTGCTCATCCCGGCCCGGCGATCTCTGGCCTTGCCATTCCCGGAGCTGGACGCCGCTGTCTCGCTCTTCCTCATCGAAGCCGCTTCTTTTGAAGGGGTGAGGTGAGCCGGTTGTGAAACCACTGTCGCGCGTCGGGTCTGGTGAGCCGAGTGTCGTTCGGGAAGCTGGCCTATACAATAGCCGATGCTCTGTTTCAGCTCCTTCGTGCGCTTCCTCCTGCACGGGCGGCAAGATAGTCGGGACCGGACTGCGAAAACCGCCGACTTCAAAGCCGCGTTCTGGGCTCTTTAGTGGACGGCCGCCTGGAAGGTCGCGACGAGTTTCGGCCTCGAAGCCGCGGTCGACGGCTTCGTCCATGTCACTGACCATGGTGTTTGTCTTGGATGTCTTTGCACCCCAGCCCAGTGATTCTTCTTGGTTCTTGTTCATGGACATCCCCTCAGCTGCCTCTGTTCCGGTATCCCGGCCGAGAATCGGGCTCTCAACGTTATCCTCCAGAACCTTCTCCTTGAACGGTGCCGCCAGGCTCGGAATGTCTCTGAATTTGTCCTTCATGTTGTCCATTTCGAACGCCTGTGGAGATGGAGACATGATGAGCTCCGCTGTGTGAGCGGCAACCTCTTGTGGCTGGCCCGAGTAGATGTTCATGCCTCTTGACGTAGGACTAGAGACAACATCCGCCTTTGGTACCTCCGTGCCTTGACCAGACGGTCGTTGTGCAGGCTCGGACTTGTCGTCTTGCACAATACTCGCATCGGTGGGTTTCCCGGCCATCTGTTCGTGATCAGCGGCTTCGCCGCCACCCTCAAAATCCTCAGCATCTGCGTTTGCAGCCTCGCCAACTTGTTTCCTGTCAGCACCTTCCCACAGCGATGGGTCATCCAACATGTCCTCCTCTTGCGACGCACGCTTGTCCACGTACTTGGACGTCTTGCCCTTCTTCTTCTTGGCGCTGCTAGACTTGCTTGCGAGGACGGCAGCTCCAGCGGCGGCTGCTGCAATTCCAGCTGCGATGCCCATTCCTGACGATTCGGAATCTGGATGTTTCTCAATTGTCTCTGGCTGGATGGGCTCATCCATCGTCTGATCATTCCTATGCTCAAGGTATGAAGCGGCCATGCCGCGGGCAGATGAGGTATTTAGCTCCTGCTGTGATGCATCCTCGTCCATCTTGCGTTCAGCAGGGCCTTGGTCTTGAGGGGTGTCGGGCTCCACAGTCGGTAACGACAACTGTCCTGTAGCTCTGCTGGCTTCCTCCGCTGGGGCCCCGTGGCCGCCGTCGACATACGCAGCAGCGATCTCTCTAGAGCTCATGATCGGTTCAGGTAGAAGGGTGTTTGACAACTCTCTTGTTTTTATCTTCTTGCGTTTGTCAGACTGGTCGAAAGGCAGCTCGTGGACGACTCTGCTGGTCTCTTGTGCGGGAGTAAGATCAACGCCCACCGACTTGTTTGACGTGGGGGGGTGGGCGGTGTCGACGCCTTCAGTGACAAACTCCGCAGCAGCGGGCTCAGGAGGCGAGGGTGTTGTAGGGCTTCGAGTAATGTCGCGTGGTGCCTTGTCGAAATACTCAATCTTGCCTTCCGCTTCTTCGGACTTGCTCATCTCGGGCCCAGGCACCACAGAATCTTGCTGCGAGTTCAAGGCGGCACTAACAGGAGATCGGAGGTCGAGGGAGATGGATTGTTTCTTGCTTTTCTTACCCTTCTTTGACCTCTTGGTCCCAGGTACGTTCCACTCATCGTCGCCGGCAGCTGCGGGCTCATGAGCGGTCTCTGAAGCTGGAATCGCGGGTGTCTGCTGGTTGTTCTCCTCGGAAGAGCGAGTATTGTCTGTGGCAGCTTCACCAGCGGTCTCCGCAATGTTGGCGGATGTTTCCGTGTCAGCTGTGCTGTTCTCAACCGTGGGTCGAGTGTCTTGGCTTGTCTCCTCAGAAGTTGTCTCGGGAACTGTTTGCTCGACGAGAGGAACTGGCTCAGCGCTCTCCGTGGTCTTAAGGACAGGCACAGTGGGCTCGTCGAGTTCCCGCTGGCTATTAGTCTCGTCATCAAGCTTATTGAAGCCGGCCGGTATTACAGAAGTGGGAATGGGCTCAGAAGACTCCATAGGCTCGGCAGACTTCTCAGCTGCGACCACGTTTATCTCGGCTGCAGGTTGTTCCGACGGGCCATCAGTAGACTGTACAGTAACTTCGTCGGCTGGTGCCTCAAGCGACGTGCCGCTCTCAGGCTTCGAGGCCGTTTCATTCTCAGCCGGGACAGCCTGCGGTGTTGCTATGCCAGAAGCCAAAGGAGAATCAGCTTCGGGGTCGTCCAATGGCAAACCCTGTCGCTTCTTCTTCTTGTCTTTCTTGCTCTTGATTGTGGTAACAGCCTCCGGCCATTCTTCAGCTGGTGTTGCTGGTGCATCTGCGGGTAAGTCTTTGATGGCGGGCTCCTGTTTGGCGGCCTTTGGTGCCTCATCGACTTCGCGGTTCTCAATGATCGACTGTGCATCAAGGGAGAGGGTACCAGAAGACTTGTTGACTGCATCGTCAGCCGTCTCGACCTGTGGCTGATGATCAGGAGTGCTCTTGGAGTCAAATCCTGGGCCATGCTTAGAGGGAAGCTCTGGCTCATTAGCCAAGGTTCCTGCATTGGCGTTGTTGTCAAGGGGTGCCTCTGGTAGGTTGGTCTTGGCTGTCTGGTCTTCTTGTGAAAGAACTGTCTGAGGCTCTGCCTCGAGACTGGCGGAAGACGCTGGCGCTTCGGCAATAACCTCGGGCTCAACGAGAGGAGATTTCTTCTTCTTGCTCTTGCTTTTCTTCGAGGTTGGCAATTCAGGCGATTCCTCGGCAGGCGCGGTTGTGTCCTCCGTGGACTCGACGGTTGAGATCTCAGTAGCAGGGTCTGCGGTACTTGTCTCTTTGACTGGGTGTGTGGCATGGTCTTCCGGCGGGGTGGACGACTCATCGATGGCTGGAGCGGTAGTTTCAGGCTGAACGGACTTTCTCTCCTCCTTGTCCTTACATCCCTTGACGACTAGCTCTTGCGGTTCTTCCACGGATACCGGCCCGTCAACATCCGGCTCGAGCGTCAGCGTCTCAGACTTGGTCGGTGCATCCAGCTTCTTGTCGTCGGCGCGTTGTTCCTGTGTCGTCTCATGTACCAGATGTTTGGGTTCCTCCCCTACCTCGTCGGCCAAGTCTTGAGCGGGGACTTCTGGAGCTGTTGCCGTGATCGGAGGCTCGACGATCGGTAAATCTGAAGTAACGTTGTTGTCGGTAGTCGAGGCTTGGTCAGTTGTCGTCACATCTTTGGCTGCCTCAGCGGCGATCTCCAATGGCATAGCAGTTTCGGAACCCAGATCGAAGTCATCGCCCGCCTTGGACTTTCTGTTCTTCTTCTTGTCCTTCTTTGATTTTTTGGCGGGCGTAGCCTCGGGCCATTCCTCTTTTGCGGGTGGTTGGTGCTCTATGACGGCTCCTTTGCCAACTTCCTGAACAGGGTCGCTAAGGGATGCTGGCGATTCAGTCGCCGCGAGTGGTTCTTCGACAGAGCGACTCTCTGCCTGAGGGTGATCTTGGGAAGTGGTGGGCTCGGATCCAGGTGGGACAGCGGACGACTCGATGTCTCGGGAAGCTTCTGCGGGTTCGACGACAACACTATCCTTATCTGGGGTATTACTGTCGACCGGTGGCAGGTCAGCCTCTTCAGAGGACAATTGTGTCGTGTTCAGGGACTTGGATTCGGGGGCGCCTTCCTGAGGAGTTGTTTTGCTAGAAAGAAGGTCGGTTGCTAATGGGGTCTCCTCTGCGACTTCGCTACTGGTATTGTCTTGATTGGCAGAGGTCTCCAGGGGGGGCTCTCTCGATAACTCAGCTGGCTCCGGCAATGGAATGCTTGCAGGAGAAGTATCGGGGATGGTTTGGGCTGCTGCAGGAACGTCAAGAGGGTCCGATGACTCCAACACCGTAGGTGTCGCAGCTCCAGAGGGAGGATTGGAGTCATCCTGAAGCTTGCCCTTTTTCTTCTTTTTCTTGTCCTTCTTCGACAATTTCGGAGCTGAGAAATCCTCATTGGTCTGCGCTACGGTCTCAGACTGCGCTGACTGATCAGCTGACTGTTCAAGCGGTGTATGAGGCATTGCTGGTGAGAGCTCCTGAACAGTGTCCTCTGCAGATTCGGACGGCCCCAAGAACACCTCAGTGGGGGGAGCAGCGACAGGCCCAGTGATAGACTCAGTGGCAAGCTCGGGGGCGGGCTCGGCAGCAGACATGGTGACTTCCGGCGCAGGCTCGGTCGAAGCCTCCGGTTCAGTCAGGTCCAAGGATTTCCCCTTTTTCTTGGCCTTCTTCGCCTTCTTGCCGGTCAATGGGGACTCGTCGCCCGCGTTGACATCGGGGGCTGCGGGGGCATCGGGCAGGCTCTCGACACCGGCGGAGCGCATCTGACTTTCGGCCGGTACATCTTCGGGTTGGGCAACCGCTAGCTGATCAACGGAAGAAACCTCCGTTGCGGGTGCCTCGACAGCAAGGCTTTGATCGTCCTGGGGTACAGTGATGTTTGGAGACTGGGATTCGGACTCAAGCTCGGTTAAACCCTTCTCCCCCTTCGATTTCTTGGTCTTCTTTCCGGTCGTCAAGGGGAACTCCTGCTCGGGATCCGTGGGCTGAACAGCCTCAGTCTCCTGATCCGGGATTGCTTCCTCTACTGCAGACAGCTGTTCCGGGGCCGGTGTGCTCTCTGGGCCAGCCACTTTGTCAGAGAAAACTGTCTCCGGGTGAGCTGTCTCCAAAGACGTGCTCTGAACCTCGGTTTGCGCTGAAGGTGGCACTTCTGCTTGAAGCTCAGATGCAAGCTGTTGCTCGGGCTGTTGCTCAACTAGCTGCTCGAGGACAGGCTCAACAACTAGATCTGACTGAGAAGCTTTTCCTTTCTTTTTCTTGTCCTTCTTAGACTTCTTCTCCGGGACTGGGAGCTCGTCCTCCGGGTTGGCAATGTCCGCCGATTGAGGAGTCTCCTCGAGGGGCGCAGGGACGCTATCTTCCTTAGAGGTGTTCTCAACCGACGCGGAAGGATCGCTTTCAAGGGCCGGAACCTGCTTGGAGGCGTTGTCAGTCTGGCTGTCAGCAGGCTTCTCCTCGATGGCCTCCTTCGCTTCGGCGGCAGCAGCGGCTTTCGCCATTTCGGCCATCTTCTTCTTCTTCTGCTTTTTGCTCAGACCGGCGAAAGGGTCCACCTCAAGGATTGGTGGTTCAGGCTCAGGCTTCTCGTCAGCATTCTCTTCTACAGGCTTGTCTTCCACAGGCTTGTCCTCAACGATAACGTCAGAAGGCTTCTCCTCGACAGACTTGTCATCAAGAGCCGTTTCGGCTGGTTTATCCTCGGCAATCTGCGTGGTTCCGACGACGGCGGGCTCAGAAACTGCATCTGCAGTAGCCATCTCGGCCGCCGGTTTCTCCTCCTTCTCGTTAAGCCCAGCTGAGGGATCTTCTTTAGTCTGCGGTGCCTCTGTCGCTGATACCTCCTCGGCATGCTCTTTGTTGGCGAGTTTGTCGTCCAATAGCGACTCTTCGGCGGGCTTGAGTTCGGTGGGTGTGTCCTCAATAGTCTCGTCCCCAACAGCAGCCTCTACAGGGTGGCCATCAACAGACTTCTCTTCGGCAGTCTTTGCGATGGCGTCCGCGGCAGCTTCTTCGGCGGCGGCCAGCTCAGCCCTTTCCTTTTTCTTTTCTTTTTTGCTTAGGCCAGCAAAAGGGTCCTTTTCGACTTTTGGTGATACAGGCTGCTGTTCCGCAATAGGTGTCGATTCTGTTTGAATTTCATCCTTTGAAGAATCATCTTGGGGCATTTCCCTTTTGGCAGGCTTCTCGTCGACATGCTTGTCTTCGACAGGCGTCTCCTCAAAAGACTTGTCAGTAGACTTTTGTTCAGCTTCAGCAGTAACTTCAGTGACAGCCTTCTCGGCGGACGTCTCCTCGACGGCGGATTTGTCGATGGCAGGCTTTTCTTCGACAACCGTTTCCTCCAGGGCCTTGTCGGTCTCGACAGGAGGGTTCAAAGCGGCTGCAGCTTCAACTTCGGCGGCAGCAATCTCGGCCAACTTCTTCTTCTTTGCCTTCTTGCTGAGACCGGCAAAAGGATCTACCTCGGCTTGGGGCGGCTCCGGTGTCGTTTCGGCCGCCTTCTCTACCGCTTCCGCGGACTCCGGCTCTAGCACGGGGTTCCCCTCGGCAAGCGTCTCCCTGGCGGGCTGCTCCTCGAGGGACTTTTCTTCGGCAGGCGCCTCGGCGGCGTTGACTTCGACTGGCTCTGCAGGGTCGGGGATTGGAGCTTTGCCAACGGCAGCGGCAGACTCGGCGGCAGCTTCCGCAGCGGCTTTTTCGACGGCGGCCAGCTCGGCCTTCTTCTTTTTCTTTTCCTTTTTGCTAAGACCGGCAAAGGGGTCCACTTCCGTCTTTGGCTGCTCAACCTCCATGACAGGCGTCTCGCTGGCGGGCTTGTCTTCGGTGGGTTCCGCTTCGGTAGGCTTCTGCTCCGTCGGCTGGGTAGTTTCTGGTGTAGGTGCCGTCTCCTCGGCTGATGCACCTTTTGGCAGAGTGGCCTCGTCGATCGTAGTGAGGGCTGGCTCTTTGAGAGTCTCTGCAGTCTGTGACATGGTTGTGGATTCCGGTACAGTCTCGCCTTCCACGACCGACAACTGCTCCTCGGGGGTGTCAATTGAGGCAACCTTCTTTTTCTTCATGTCTTTTTTCGACTTCTTTGAGGTGGGGGCCTCTTCTCCCACGGGTGTTGAGATTTGCTCCTCTATGACAGGGACCTCTGAGGGAACGAGAGGTGGCTCGGTGGTTGGTGTTGCCTCTGCGGTGGTGGCTTCTTCTACAGCTTTGTGGCTCTGGTCCTCGGCTGTAGGGGTCTCAGGAGGGACGACTGGTGGTTCGGGCGTCTGATTTGCGGCTGGGAACGCGGATTGATCAACCAACTCGGGTTCTGGTGTTGCTGGTGCTTCATCTGGTGTGCTCGTAGGAGCAAGGCCCTTCTTCTTTTTCTTGTCCTTCTTTGACTTCTTCGTGACAACTGGCAATTCTTCGTCTTGCAGTGGAGCCGTGCCATCACCCAAAGTGTCGAGATCCGTTTGCGGAGCAGAGTCGATGTTCTTGAGCTGGACCGATGGCGATTCAGGTGTGACTTCAGAGTTGCCGGCTGCTGGCGCTTCGATGGGTTGGATTGTTGGGTCTTGAGCTTGAGTTGCAGGTGTCTCGTCGGATTTCTCAGTTTTTTGCAGGTCCTCTGCCCCCGCCTCGGTTGATGAAGGCACATCCTCGGCGGGTTTGTTTTCAGTGTTGGGCAGGAAGGTGTCCTCGAGTGGGGCAGGGGCGACCGTGGTCGTGCCTTTTGGGGATTCAGACTCCTCTGGTTGAGCTTTGGGCGAAACAAGCTCATGGCTGTCATCCAAAGAGATGCTTTGCCTCTTTTTCTTCTTGTCCTTTTTGCTCTTCTTAGTCGGCTCAAAACCACTAAGATCAGCCTCCTCGGGCGCCCCAGGCTTCTCATCTGTCGTCACTGAATTGCCTGGAATGTCGGTTGTTGGCCGTGCCAGGGCGTGAACTTCCGCTGTTGCACTTTCTACAGGGCCCACGGTCTCTGTACTCTCCTTGGACTCTTGGACTTCCGGGGCGTCAATAGGAGTCTCTATCGTGTCTACTGGAGTTGTTTGCTCATCGCCGGCAACATCAATTTTGGAAGCCTCATCCAGAGCCGGTTGAGAAGGGGAATTTTCCTCATCGATGACTTCAGATCTCTCGAAGGCAGGCTCATTGCTTTGCCCTGTTGCGGCGGCAGCAGCAGCAGTCTCAGCCGCAGCGCGCTTCTTCCTGTCTTTCTTACTCTTCTTGCCGGATGGCTGAGATGCCCATTCATCCTCGCCGGCCTCGACTGCTTCCATTACGGGGGCCATCTCGAGGGCATCTTTGACACCGGATGAGGGTTCCGGCCCCGCTTGTTCCGGTGCTTGGACTGGTCCGTCCACGGCCTGGACTGCCGGGGCTCCGTCGTCCACAGTCTGTTCCTTGACATCTTGGACATCGTCTTGCGGGACAGGCTCGCTGGATGCGGCCTTGGTCTTCTTGCTCTTCTTGTCCTTTTTGGACATCTTGCTCGAGCTTGAGGGTTCAGACCGGAAGCCGTCTTCCCGACCGGCTCGTGTCTCGGTCTGGTCGGAGTCTTGGGTGGTGTTCACGTCCCCTGTTGGTTCAGGACCTGGAAGGGTCTCCGAAAGCGGCTTTAATTGCGGCTCCGAGGTAATGGGTTCACCCAGCGATTCCGGATTTTCTGATAGACCCGCGAGTGCAGCATCGGTGGCGAGATGGTCGTGTAAGTCCTTTGTCTCGTCCTTCTCTGCGTCTCCCGCAGCTTCCTTATTTCGGACGTTTGAGATATTATTGTCGTGTTGTTCGTCGCCCAGAGGAAGGATCCCGGCAGCAGAGGAGTCAGTAATCCCCGCATCAGAAATTTTGTCAACCACCACCGGACTGGGACCGGGTACATGATGCAGAGGTTGGGGGAGGATCTCCATGTTTGTGTCGTCTTGGTTGGCCAGGGCCATGACCGGGGTATCGTGTGGGTCTCCAGCCTCCAGAGCCGAGTCGGTGAGGGCCGGGCCCACGGGTTGGGCATCCGCTATCCGCCCGCTTTGCGTGTCCCCCACTGATTTGTCGTCGACCGGCCCACTTACAGGCCCCACACCCACATGCAGGCCGGGGTCTGGGATGTCTACCTCCCCCGTTTGAGCGCTGACCTCAGCCGATGGTTCGTCAATGGCGTCAGGGCGGCCCGCAGGTTCGAGGTTTGTTGCATTAGCTTTGGCGCTAGTGTCTTGCTCTGCGTCCACCTCCGATAATAGTGTCTCACCGCTCTCCCGGTTGGCCACCTCGATGTCGCTCATACTGGAAGAGGCAGGCGTGGGAGGCATTTGACCACCCCAAGGGGAGTCGGTTTGTTGTGTGGCAATTGGCTCGCCTGCGACTCCTCGCGTGGCCTTCAGCCCAGGCGATGACGGAAACCCATCGCCGCCAGGGTTCGGACTTGTGTCTTGCAGACCGGACAGGGCCTCGCTGGGCTCACTTGCATAGCGTATCTGTGCTTGGCCCTCTGGTTCGAGATCCTTCTCCGCCTCGGCTGTGGTTGTTTGGTCCATTTCGATGCCTTGCGAGGCCACAACGTCGCCGTGGCCGATCGCTTCCGGCGAGCCCCCTGCTACTGACTCATTTTGGCGCAATTGTGGCTCGGTTTCGAATGCTGTCTCACAGGCGGGTGCGCTTTCCGTGGTGCTCACGTCTCCCAAACGCTCGTCTTCGCCTTCTTGATGTGGCGCAGGCTCGGGACTGGTCGAGAAAGACTCTAGCCCAGGCGCCCAGGTCACGGATTTTCTCTTCTTGCTCGCAGTTGGAGAGGCCGGCAATTCGGCCTCTATCGGCGCGTCTGCTTGCAAGAAGCGGGTTTCGTCACTGCCAGGCTCTCCCGATGGAGACGTCAAATAAGCGGACTGTTCTCTTGTATTCGCTACATCTGCCGTGGTTTCGAGGGTACTTGTGGACGGGCTGTTCTCAGGCTCCAGGTCCAGGGTTGAAGACTTCTTGCCCTTCTTCTTCTTCTTTCCCTTTTTGGTAACAGTTGGCCCTGGGTCTGCCTCCTCTGAAATCATGCTGTCCGTAGCGAATTCTCCGCTCGTCGGGGGTTCTTGCGATGATTGCTCCATCTCCCCTAGCTTGTCTGGGATCGTGTTCGAAATCCCGTTGTCCGTGATCGTCTCGTCCTTCGCATCCTTGTTGTCCGAATCCTTGGCGACATCCTCAGTCTTCGGCTCAAGTGCGGTAACCGCGGCAGCAGCGGCAGCAGCGGCCGCTGCCTCCTTCTTGGCCTTTTTCTTGCTCTTCTTGGAACTAGTTGGTGTCTCGGGTTCAATTGGAGAGTCTAAACCACGGTGTTGATCTTTGTCGTCGCGTGGCCCTTGAGATTTGACGTCAAACGAACCAATCTGGCTATCGACCAAGGTAGGTTCTTGAGAAAGGTTCTCGAATGCCTCAACTTGACCCCTTGGTGTGGCGGGTCCCTGCGGAGGTGTGACGAAAGCTTCGTCCTGACTCTCACTCATCGTTGGCGTTTGTGGCCCAGCGTTCAGCATGTTCTCTGCTGCAAGGTCCGTCACATTTACATTTCCAGACTGCGGTTGATCGACTGTGGCAACCGGCTCTTGCATTCCAGTGCTGTCTGTCTCAATGGGCTTCTCGTCAGCTGGGGAATTGTGTAAAGTGCTATCCAAAGCTTGCGTGGGAACATCATCGGCGGCAACGGCAGGAACTTCGGGCTCTGCTTCGGCTGCCTTCTTGTCTTTCTTCTTTTTCTTCTTTGACTTCTTCGAAGACTTGGACGTATCCTCGGCCAGACCAGGAGTTTCGATTTGCTCGTCGGGGACCAAGGAAGAAATGGAAGTCTCAGGCATGTCCGTCGCGGTGGCCGCCTTGTCCGAGGCAAGGCTCGCCTCATTGGTTTGAAGAATGGCATCCTCGACCTGCTGCGTCTCCGTGGGGACGATGTCGGTAGGCTGGGTCTTAAGAGACTCATCGACCGTTGGGTTCTCGGTGAGGGTCTCTGCAATAGCACTCTCTGACGGGGCTGATTCGGCAGCAGGCGTCTCGATGGAAGAAGCTGCCTCGAGAGCCTCGGCTCTGGTGGGTAGAGGTTCGTCTGAGGAAATCTCAGCAGGAAGATTCTCAATAGCCGGAGTCTCTACAATCGGAGTCTCATCAGCCGGAGTCTCGGCAGGAGTCTCAGCGGCAGGAGTCTCAACGACAGGAGTCTCAACGGAGGGTATTTCAGAGGTAGGCACCTCCTTGGCGGAGGGCTCAGCAATGGGAGAATCAACGGCACGGCTATCGGCCATAGGAGCCTTTGCGTCAAAGGGCCCATCAACAGGGGCTTCGGTGGTTGGAGTCTGCACGCCTGGAGACTGCAGAGGGGTCGTCTCAGCAGACATTACATCGTCCAGTTGGGACAGTGAGCCACCCTTGCCCTTCTTCTTCTTTTTCTTCTTCTTGCCAGATGATTCGGGCTGAACAGCCTCGGTCGGGGGCGCCTCCACGTTCGCAGGCACCGGCTCAGCAGTCGGCTTCTCGTCGGTGTCGACGATTGGCACGTTGTCAGAAGTTTCCAGGGCAGTGGTGGTTGCTTTTTCGGCCGCATCTTCGGAGAGAGGCATTGCGGAAGCGACTGTCTCGGTAGCTTGCGCGGGTGTCTCCTCAGGTTCCGTGGGTATGTCCTCTGGAAGTGGTATCGCAGAGGCAACCTCGATAAGAGCAGGCTCAGGTCTCTCCTCGGGCACTTCCTCCAGCATCTCGGTGGCATCTTCAGGAAGAGGCGTGGCAGCGGCTTGGGTCGCTACGGATACGTCATCAACAATCTGATCGACAGGTGCGGCTGCAATCGTGCCATCTGCGACAGATTCCGGGGGGGCGGCTTCCGAGATACCAGCTTCAATTGGCTCAACATCTAGGTTCGATGTTGAAGGTACCCGATCCACGGCAGGCTCGGGCTGGGGATCGGTGGTCTTGGTCGCAATTGCCGCCAGAAGTTCATCGTCTGCTGTCAGGCTCTTTCTGGACTTCTTCAACTTCTTCTTCTGTTTCTTGGACAAGGGTGCAGATGGAGTTTCAGTAGGCTCTTCGACCTCGCGGGACTGAATGGTTGGCTCCTCAGCGGGAGGACTACTCTCGGGAATAGGGACGGGTTGCTCTTGCTGACTGTCGGTAATAGCTAGGGTTTCATCAGATTGAGTGGCAGAAGTCTGCTGCTCCGACGGATCGGCATCCAACTTGGAAGAGGGTTCTCGCGTAAGGGGTGCAGGTTGTAACTCCGGGATCACAACCTTTTCAGCGGACTTGTCACTTTGATCTTGCACAGTAGTCTGCTGCTCGCCCAAGTCATCACTTGGCCCAAATGACTTCTCTGCAGCCTCAAGAGGTAGAGCCCGGGGCTCGGATATAACGTCGATCTGTTCGGCTGTCTTCTCCTCTAAGGGTTGAAGAGAGAGCTCCTGTTTGAACGAGTCGTCTTCGGCATTTAAGGATTCAACCACTGGAGCCTGCTGCTCTGACTGGACGTTTGCGATTGCATCCAGAGGCTTTCCATCGCTGTCTAGAGTAGGACCGGCTGACAGAGAAGAGTCTGGAGGCACTTCGGGGGCCAGATTGGGCAAGAGAGGCTCATCATCCACGGACTTCTTCCCCTTCTTCTTTTTGCCCTTCTTAACGTCGGAAGCCAGAGAATCAAGGGTCGGAGGTGCTGCAGGCAGCCCGGCCTCAACTGCATCTTTGGAACTGCCAAAGTCGGGCAATGTGGTTTGAGCCTCCTCTTGAGCAGTGATTGGTTCCTTGAAATCCGGGACTGACTCAGGCTGTTCAGGATCCTGCGCATCTTTGGCCTTTTCCGTCTCGCTCGACAAATAACTATCCGTCATAGGTTCTAAATCCTCAGGGAGCGGAACAGAAGCAGCCTGTTCAGCTTCAGTGGTCACAGGAACCTTCTCAGACTGAAGCAAGGGGGTTGCCAAAGCCGGCTCTGAAATGTCTGCAAGCTGGGTACCAGCTGCCTCTTGGGCTTGCATCGTCTCCTTTGTCGTCTCAGGCTCGAGCAAGGCCGCCTCCTCGGCGGTGTCCAATGCACCAGGAAGCGGGATAGAGGCAGCTTCTTCGACTTCATTGGTCTCCGTGGCCTTGGCAGGCTCAGACGAGGAACTGATCGGTGCATCTGTGTCAAGGGCGGCCTCGCTGGTCTGCTTATTGGGCTCGGCAGAACGCTCAAGCTCCGGCATCTCCGCCTGAGCCTGCTCCCAAGCCTTCTTGATCTTCTGCAGCTTCTTCTTCTTCTCCTTCTTGGACAATTTCTTTTCGCCGGCGGTATCTTCTGCAAGAAGCTCAGCGGCTGCGGGTTCGGTGACCTCGCTGTCAGCCGCAGTATCGCCCACAGCGGCAACATCGCCCTCAGCAGGAAAAGATATATCGGCTGGTACAACTGCAGAATGGGCGGGTTCTCGTGGCGTCTTGTCCGTGGGTTCCAGGGGTTGATTGTCTCGAATTGAGGGCAGCGCATTCTCGCCGTCCGCAACAGATAGGTCGGCGTCATTGGAGAGGTAGAGAGTCTCTTCAGCAGAAACGGGGGGGAGAGGTGGCAGAGCATCATTGGCAGTGTGCATAGCTTCAATCGATGGAGCCGTAGTACAGTCAGTGGAAGCAAGAATGGCATCCTCAGTTGAAGTTGAGGCAGAAGGAACCGCATCGACAGACGGCGGCTCGTCATGTCCAACCGAGATGGATGAAACATTTTCGTTTAGGGACGACGGGGTCGCCTGCTCCTCAGTTGGCATAGAGCGGGTGACTTCGTTTGAAATAGGCGTCGTCAACTCTTCGGCCGGAGTAGCGGGAGTAGCATCGGTGGACAGCAAATTTTCCTTGTCTGTAGAAACAGAGGAAGCGATGTCAGCCGAGGGAAGCGTGGTGTTATCGATGGACATCCCCTTGGCCTTCTTCTTCTTCTTCTTGTCTTTCTTTGACTTCTTCCCGTCCGCGGGTGGCTCTGCTGAAGCGGAAGGTCCCAAGGCTTCGGTTTCTCGCTCAACCTCTGCTGCCTTTTCCTCGGCCTTAGCGTGATCGATAAGCGAGGCAGCTGCGAGTCCGGCAGCTGCGCCTCCGGCCAAGGCTGCAAGGGCAGTGTTGTGAGAGCCAGAAAAATCCTGCTCCTCGATCTCGGCTATGCTAACTGTAGCGTCGTAAGATCTGCTAGGCATAGGGCTTGGCGGTGTGTCTAACGTATCACGATCCATTAGAGTTTTGATGACTGATGGGGGCGTCATGTGCAGGAGATACGAACTTCTTTCTTTGGACGTTGTTTCGACTGGTTCCGGTTCGGGCATCGTAGTTGGGCGCGCCGAAGGGCTGTCGTGAAGAGCAGGCAGCTCCTCCAGCTCTGATGTTGGGATAACCGGCTGCTTCAAGGTCTCTGCCGCACCGCTTACCGGGCTGGCGGGAAGAGCCGGCAAGTCAGACAGGTTAGCGTGTGAAAAGGCAGATTGCCGGGCAGCGTCAGTGGCAGTAGGAAGGGCAGGCGACGCTGGTCCGTAGAGGCTCCTCTCTTGCGAAATGGTATCCGCTGGTTCTGCTTTGGGTCCCATTACCGGCGTGTCCAGAGGGCTAGCAGGAAGGGGCGGCAACTCCGCATAGTAGTTTTCTGGCAGGTCCAAATGCTTGGCAGCGTCTGGCAATTCAGGAAGAGCAGGAGAAGGCCGCTCAAACAAGGCACCGACGTGCTGGATTGCGTGCTCTGCCTTGGGGGTAGTCTCCTGCGAGCCGAATTGGCGGTCCGCCTGGTCAGGGTACTGCGACATGTCGGTGTCGATGCGAAGGTCGTTGGGCTCAAAAGGCGACGCCTGGAGCTGATTGAAGTATTTTGCGTCGTCTTCGCGCAGCGAGAACTCAGGCGCAGGAGACTCCCGCGAGGGCGGCTCGCTTGGAGGCAGCTCTGGGAAGTCGACGGGTGGCTCCATCGACTGGGCTGCGGATTCCTGACGAGATTGTTCCAAGAGGTAGAGAGGCTTGATCTCACGGCTGCTCTCCCACGAGATCGGCCTAGAGGGACGTCTGGCATTGGTGCCAGAAGTAGGAGTAGTGTCGTGGGTGGCATCGGGGGCCGTGGTCACCGGGGGAGACGAGGTGGGAGAGGGGCCAAATTTGCCGGGAGAGGACGAGGGTGTGGACCTCTGTCCCAACCGCAACTTGAAAGGTACGGCGGTCTGGCTTGGACTTCGGAGCGGGGTTTCGATGTTGCTGCGCTTCCGCGAGTGGGTCTTGGGCGTCTTCGTTTCGTGCTGACGTCTCCATTCCTCCGGAGGCGTCTCTGGCCGGCTATCAGGCAAGGCGGGAAGCTCCTCCAGCTCCTCGGTTGGAGAGCCCAGCGTGCTCGGAGACATGGGGCTGGGTGGCAAAGGAAGCAGATCGCCATACTGAGGGTCGATGGCGGGTCTAATGTCCCGCGGCACGATGTCCGGGTCGATGTCGACGTCTCGGGTGGGGCTGGAAGACCTTTCCCGAGATCGAGGAATATCGACCGGTTCTTCCATTTGAGGAGGTTCAGTGGCATTGGAGCGGGACATCAGGGAGCCCAAAGCTGCCACAGCGCCCGCCAAGCCGGCACCCGCGCCAAGGGTGCCGGCATTATCTAAAAAAGACGACTTCTCATCCTTGCCAGATACCTCCTTATTGTTGCCGCCTCTGAAGAGACTGTTGAAGAAGCCGCTACTGCGCTTCTCCTCCTCCTTGGGGCTCTTCTGGTCGTCGCTCCTTCTCTTACGACCAGAGCTTCCAGACGCGACCGACTTGGCATCGTCGTCGTCCTCGTGCCGAGTGCCATTGGAGCGACGGTCTGACTTGTCACGTCTTGACGAGCGGTCGGAAGCTACGGAGCCCGCATCCCTCTCCTCGTCGCGAAGGCTCTTGGAACGGCGTTCCGACTTTTCACTCCGCGACGTGGGTTCAGAGACAACAGAGGCCACATCTCGATCGTCATGTCGACTGCTGTGGGACCGGCGTTCGGATTTGTCACGGCGGCTCAACGGGTCAGAAACCACGGAGCTCGCATCCCGATCCTCGTCACCAATGTTCTTGGATCTCCGGTCAGACTTATCACGTCGGGTTGTGGGGTCGGAGACAACGACGGAGCTCGCATCTCTGTCTTCGTGCCGACTGCTTTTGGAGCGGCGGTCCGACTTCTCGCGACGACTCGACGGGTCGGACACCACAGAGCTCACATCCCGGTCTTCGAATCTGGAGCGATCCCGTTGAGACTTGGTCGGAAGATCGTCCCACTCACCAAGGTCGTCATCGCGGGTGCTGCTCCGCTCGATCGTGGGGGTGTAATCGCTCTGCTTCTCGACGTCAGTCCATTCATCCGAGCTTTGCTTTGACTTCTTGGATTTCTTCTTCCTTGCGGGCGTGTCCCACGCATCTTCAGCAGTCTCCTGAGGCCCGCTGTAATGGGATCGCTCGCTCTCTAGTAGCTTTTCGGGGGAAGCGCCAGTCTCATCGCGAAGAGATCGCTCAGTGGGCGGCTCATCCTCATCTTCTTGTACGACAATGACTTCGGACTTTGATGACTTGCTTCTCTTTTTCTTTTCCTTCTTACTCGACTTGCTAGTAGCGGCTGGCTCGTAGTCAACAGGAGCTGCCTCGGACGCTGATGCCGCAGACGCAAGAGTTTCACCATAAGAACGAGGCACGTCAGAGATGGCTGGCAAGTCCCACGTCGGTACGTCCTGGAAGCCACGATCCTTGGAGCCAGGCGCAATGACAGTTTCGGGGCTCTGGGGGGTGTCATAGAAAGCACGAGGTTTCTCGTAACGAGAAACTGACTCGTCCATGGGGACAGGCTCGTTCCGCAAAGTCATCTCAGGGGCGCCGTAGTAGCTGTGCGGTCTATCGTGAGCAGAAACTGCATTCGAATAGGGATTCGACTGAGAGAGCGGCGTGGGTTGGGGGCCTCCATATCCATAGTAAGTGTGCGGCCTTTCATAAACAGGGCCGGGGTGGTTGAGGAAGGTCGGCGCATCTCGAGAAGTGGCTTCGGGAACGTCGTAGTAGCTACGAGGCTTCTCATGATCAAGGGGTGTCTCTGAGGAGGGGGTGGGCGCTGGTCGCGATAAAGCCAAGGGAGTGTCGTAAGTCTCATCGGCCGGCGCGTCGTCCATGCTTTGCCTCTTGGCTGCCTTCTGCTTGCGCTTTTCCTTCTTGCTGAGCTTCCTGGGAGATTCGACGTCCTCGACAGGAGGTTCCTGTTCCACGAGACGCGTTTCCTTGACCTTCCCCTTGTCACGGCGCTCTCGTGCGCGAGGGGACTCGGTAAGATGATCGTCTCCCAATTCCCTCTCGGCAACCGGCGTCTCTGGCACCTCGCCAATGACGAACCCGCTATCCGCAGGGGCGGGCCCTTCAGGCCTGTAGACGCCCAAGTCGGTCACGGTCTCGGCAAAGGGCTGCTGGTAGACCATCGGCTCGCTCTGTCCTGGAGGGCTGTCGCGGCGCATGTAGGTAGGATTATCAATGACAATGTTCGGGTCAAACCCAGTGTCTTGGAGACCGGCAGCCAAAACAGAAGCAAATTCAATGTCATCTGCAAAAGCGCCAGGCATCCTCGAGGTTTGAGGGCTGGACGGCTTGGGGCCAGGGGCCGGGGGCAAGTCGGGTTCATCCTCGAATGGCTTGGAACGTTCGTGAGAAGCAGGGGGGACAGTAGGCTCAGCGACGGGCTCGATGCCGCGAGATTTGGGCGACTCAGGAGGGCTATGCCTCTCCCTATGCTCGTCCGGCTTGCTCTCAAAGGGATCGCGCATATCAGGGGCTGCCGCTGCCGCTGCCGCCGCCGCTCCAGTGCCGACGGCCGCAGAGATGATGCCCCACGGTGAGCTCTTGCCCAGCTTCTTCTTCTTCTTTGACTTGCTCGAAGTACTGGAGGCAGACTTCTTGGGAGGCTCTGGGCTCTCGATATCGAAGCTCTTAGTCTCGTTCTCGCCCCAGGTGACCGACTTGACAATGGGCGTTGTTGGCCTTTCGACAGCCTCGCCTCTTGGCCCCAAAACAATCTCCGTGGCCGGTACAGCGTCAGATGAGGGAGCACCGACTGGCCTGACTTGTCTTGGTTGAGGGGCCTCCTCCTTCTGATTTGACGACGATGGCTCTTTCTGCTGCTCAGGAGCTGGCGTATGTCGCGGCGTGACGACAGGTGTAGGCAGGACAAGGTTCAGGAGCGGTCTTTCACGCTCGCAAGAAGGGTCGCGGGACTGGAATTTCGGCACTTCGCCGGCTGCGAGTTGGCGACCAGGGAGGCCGAAGCGGGAAAGCTCTTCGGGAATGATGATATGATCGATGCGAACATCGGCATTGGGTGCGTCGTACGGGCTCTTGTCGTGGTGGTGGTGGTGGTGGTGTTCCATCTCGGGTGGCGTCACAATCGTGACGACCTCGGGGCCATTGTCGTGTTCCTGCCACTTGCCGACGACGGATTCGTCGTGAGGAGATGCACTGCGGGACCGAATTTCTTCCTTGGCAATCTTGCGTGCAATAACGGTCTCGCGGTAGTACCTGTCGGCCTCTTCCTGGACGGCATCCTTGACGGCCTGGGATTCATCACCGGGACCATCCTTGGTAACCTGGTCACGGCGATGCCTTCGTGATCTCTCGGCTTCGGCGGCGATTGCGGCGGCGACGGCAGCCGCGGCGATGGGCACAGTCGCGTTCTTGGCCTCGTCGTAGATGGACTTGGCGACGCGCTCCTCCTCTTCGATTGAGTCTCCACGGCGGCGTGACGCAGGGGGGCGGGAACGGTCTTGGGCAGCTTGCTGGTACTGTTCCAGTCGCTGCTCGAGCTCGAAGGAATCCTTGCGGCTCATTCGCGACTCCGAGTAGTCTGGCTTTCTTGGCGGGGAGTTGTCAAAGCTAGGCTCTCGGTCGACGGTGACGACCTGCGGAGTCAAAGGTCTCTTCGGAGTGGCGTATTTGGGCGTTTGGAAGGCATCATCAGCAACCTGGAACTGAAAAGGGTCAATAGGGGCTTGTGTACTGGGGGCCTCGGGTTGCTCCACCCCATATTTGTCCCGGGGCAGCTCAGTTGGTCTCTCTGACCGCATTGTCTCCCGGCGGTCATCTACGACTACCGTCTTACGCTCCTCCCGGCGAGGTTCTTTGGGTTCCTCGCGAGGCCGGCGGTCATCGTTGGGGTCATACTCGACTCGGATCTCGTCCCCTTGGGGCAGTCTGTAGACCTCTGGGCGAGGATCACGCTCGGTCGCACGTCTCTTCAAAGCCTCATAGGCGGGATCAGAGCGGCCGACACGTTTCTTGTCTCGTGCGTCGACTACGTCCGCGTCTTTACGCCGATGGGATCGGCGAGGGTCATCCTGCTTGCGGGTTTCGCGGTCCTCCAGTTCGACCCTAATCAGCTGTTCCGGTTCATCCTTACGGCGGCTCTGCTGAGGATCGCGGGGGCCTTCCCGCCGCTTTGGGGCCTCGCTTGGAGGGTCGTCGCGACGCTCACTGTGATCGCCAGAGTCTCTGCGGCTATAAGCCATGGCCGCGCCAACGGCGGCGGCTGCGACGCCTACACCGGCAATGGCGTTCTCTGCGGCACTCCTCCCCTTGGGCGGCGACCGGCGTTGTTTGGTACGCTCATCTTCCTCGAACCTCTCCGCATCATAGACCTTGGACGAGACGGGGACAATGGGGATCGGCTGCTGGATGGGGACTGGCTCCGGCCGAGCCCGTTGCGGGAGATCCTGGCGAGATGACACTACGGAGCCACGGTCGTAATCGAACCTATCCGGGTCCGAGGTCGGTACGGGGTAGATGCGTTGCATCGGCTGCTTTCCGTTTTTGGGAGGTTCGACCTGTGCTATCGTCTCCTCGTGATGGCGACGAGAAGAGCCAGCGGAACGTGGGTCTTCTTCACCGAAGCCGCAGGGACTCTTGACAGCGCCATGAAGAGAGTTGACTGGACCAAAAAGACGCGGGTCTACAATGGTACTCCTCCGCTCGGGCGGCTTGATCTGCTCTGGAGACTCGGATGAGATTCTAGCCGACTTGGGCGGCTTGAAGACGGAGCCGTAGGCCAGGCCGTTGTCCGATTCGTCCGTGGTAGACTCATCCTCGGAGGCCGACTCCCAGTCATCATCCGAGGATGAGGCGGTTTGATTAGGTTTCGAGGTAGCGGATCCCCGAGTTTTGCTGTCAGTCTTGGTCTTGGGGCGGAAATGGCTGAAGGCAGCGGCGGCGGCTGCGGCTCCAGCGACTCCAGCGACCTGGGACGTGCGAGACTTGGAGGCAGCTTTCAGGTCAGCCTGGTTCTGCTTTCTGGCTATGTCTTGCAGCTGGCGGCCAATGTTGAGGATTTCTTCGTCCGTCTTGTCCCGAGGGACCGGGGGCGGCCGGTGAGAGGCATCAACAGCATCGGCGCGGTATAGCGCAGGGCTCGGGTGGCCTTGGGGCATTGGGCTAGCGCGCTGGCTCTTGTCGCGGTCGATGTAGCCGCGGCCATAGGCCATATCGGAGTTCACCGAGGATGAAGAGGAATTGCCGAAGGACAGGATGCGGGCCTTCTGCTTCTTCCGACGACGTTCTTTGCGCTGCTCCGAAGGCGCCCTGAAAAATGTGCTAAAAACTCCGCCGAATTTGGGGCTCTTGGCTGAGATATTAAGGAGGGAGGATGAGGTGGAGGAGGACGAGGAGGAGCTGGAGCCACCGCGGGGGCGCATCGTCTCGGGTTCGCGAGGTTGTTGGTATGTCTGGGGCTCGACATATGGCTGCTGTTCAGTATAGCCTAGAGGATTCACAAAGGCCTCTGTCGGAGGGTATTGCTCGGGGTGAGGGTATGATTGTGGTTGAGGATGGGTATATCTCTGAGGGTCGTCGTATCTCTCCAGACGGGCGGAGTATCTCTCGGGTTCGGGGTATCTCTGAGGGTCGGCGTAATAGTGAGGGTATTGCGGTTGAGAGTATATGTGGGGGAGCGGCTGTTGTTGTTGTTGTTGTTGGAGTTGTTGGTATTGCTGCGACGGACCGGGGATGGTGGAAAGGGTGGTGGTGGAGGCGGCGGCGGCGGCGGCCAGCTGCTCGCGAGAATCACGGCGGTCTCTTCTTCGCCGCCGAGAGCTCTCGGGGCTCCGGCGACGCGGATCTCGCATCATGATGGCAAGGGCGTATCGAGCCCTGGGGTGCGCATTTGTCGTGAAGTGCGCGCGCGATGGAACTGACGGGATTGACGACGGTGTGGGGTGTCGTCGGCGCGTTGAGAGGGGGCTTCTGTGTTTTTTCTCGGATGATTAATGGTAAGGCTGGGGGGGGTGTGGGAAGCCTTACGCAGACAATAATAGCCTGGCGATGTTATTGTTTTGTTTTTCCAAGAATAAGCGACTACCTAGGTGGGACAAGCCGGGAAGCTATATCCTGGGGGGGGTCCCCCAAAGATTGGCCGAACGGGGGAGGGGGCAGAAGTGGGCAGAGAAGGGGTGGCTGGGGGGGGGAGGGAACCATCTGGGACGATGGGCGCTGGACACCCACGAAGACAGGCTAAACCCGTCCTGGCTCGACAGAGGAGTAATACTACGTAGAAACAGTACCTAGGTAGAGGCAGCAGAAGGGTGGCGGGGTCACCTAGCGGCCCCCTTGTCCACTAAGATGAGGTGAAGCAAGGTGAGGCGAGCTGTCTCTGATAGCAGTTGGAACGAGAACCGACGAGGATTGGTCCAGAGAAACGAGCTAGGTACATTGCAAGGTACATGGTACATAGTACTTGTGCATGGGGTAGTACATGGCTACCAGCTTATCTGGCAGCGAGCCCCCCAGTGCGAAGCCCATTCGCCATTTTAGCAACTCAGCTACATAGTACCACGGGGCCCCCCGTCAAAATGCCTGCGGTTCATGTACAGGGTACGGTACGGATCCCTCTCCTCTCCTCTCCTCTCCCCTCCCCACCTCACAATCCAACCTCAGCTTGTGCAGACGACCACCGTCGCCATTCACACACTCGTCTTGGTCTTTTCCCGTGTGCTACCTGTGTGTTGCAGTAACGTACGAATACACTACGAGTGTCGTAGAGCCCGACATGCCGCGTGGGGAGAAACCCGACTCGTCTCCGCACCTGGTTGCCAACGCATCTTTACCGCCTCTTTTCCGAATATTTCTTTTTCCCATCATCGTGAGACGTGGTCAAGGTCGCACCTATGCTGACGAGACACGACACAGAATGCGCCTTGACTTCCGGTCATCATTCAGTCGCAGATGCCCTGCATTGTACTCGAGTACACTCTTGGCCCAACCCTTCTGACACTCTGTTTGCAATGCCGGCGGGAGATTCAGAGAAAGAAAAAAGCAGGGATTTCACGTCGTAGCTGCAGCTCTACTGCAGCTTGCCCGTCCATGTCACCTGCGGCAACACGTGTAACCACTCCAACAATAGCTCTGCTGTGTCGTGCGAGATTAGCTGCCTGCCCGTACCAAACCTCTAATCGCCCAACGCCACAGCTGGAATTTCGCTAACCGCTCTTGATTGGTCGCGGCCGCGGCTGCCGTGCGAGAGCCACACAATGGGTCACTGAGGAGGCAGGTCGCGTATCGCGATGGCGCCAGATAATCTTTTGGCAGAGGGGGTGCAAATGTTACTGCGGCTGCATGGCGGCCCGAGCCAAGCCATCGTCCGTCACACGAGCCATCGCGATTCGTCCTCATTTGGGTTTGGGAAAAAGGGGAGGGGGGATTTCTTTTCTCGCCTCGCCGTCCGCGCCTCCATCACTCCGGGTATGCCGGTCGACTGCTACGGACGACCCGGCGACGGTCCGCAAATACTGCGGAACCGCTCCGAACCACTCGTCTCCACCCTCCACCCCCCTCCCCCACTAGAGGGCGCCGTGCCGGCCAGGGATGACTAACCATCTTGACTCCCATGGCTCTTGCTCCAAGCTTCGTCCCACTTGCCATTTATGGCATTTGTTTCTGAAACAGACAGATCCCTTCCGACATGTCGCTGCTATGTGCGTATGTGGCGGCATTTTCCCGGAACTAGCTCCGACGGAAGGCCAAAAACCACCAACATGTCGGGATCGTTCCGACCGCACGCACGCACGCTTGACGCACTCTCAGGCGCACCAGGGTCTCCTGGACGCGTACGTATAAAGAACACAAGTATGGGCAAATTGCGCATGGTCGAACTGGGAGCAGGCCTTGGCCTTCGTATCTGGCTACGCCGACATCCATCGCCATGATACTTCCTCTAAACGACAACCTGGCAAGGCTCCAGCAGGAGTACTCTGGTGCCATCACGACGGTTCTGGCCGTCACCGTGCTGGTTATCGCGGCCGTGTCCCTGCAGGAATACTTCAGGCCGGTAGGTAAGAGGAGGGCAAAGAATGGAGAACGGCCCCGTCTCCCTCCTGGGCCCCCGAGCCTCCCTCTCTTAGGCAATCTCCTACAAGCCACGGACGCCAAGGGCGACCCATTCAATAGATACGTACGCTCATCCTCCCCCGTTTGTCCCTGCTGAACTCGCCCGCTCACCCGCTCCCAGCTGCACTCCCTGTCGCAATACGGCGAGATGGCAACCCTCCATTTGGGCTCCAAGACCTGGGTCTTCCTCAACAGCAGCCGCGTCGTGTCCGAGATCATCGCCAAGCGGAGCAGCCAGACCAACACGCGCGCCCCGATGCCCATCTCCAACACCCTCGTCGGCCGCGGCCTCAAGTCGCTGGTCCTGCCTCAGGAGCTGTGGACCGAGCCGCGGCGTGTGATGCACAGCCTGCTCAGCGGCACGGCGCTCCGCCAGTACGGCGAGTGGCAGGAGCTCGAGAGCACGCAAATGATGGCCGAGTACGTCATCCGGCCCGGCGCGTGGTACAGGCACCACTACCGGTACGCCAACTCGGTCATCCACCGCATCGCCCTCGGGGAGCGTATGGTCAAGACGCCCGAGGAGCTCGTTGAGATGCAGAACGCCGTGACCTTCTTCGTCGGGAGCATCGGCACCAGCATCGTCGACTGGTTTCCGGACCTCGCCAGACTGCCACGGTTCCTGCAGATCTGGCGCCCCCACTGGAAGGAGGTGGGCGACTGGAACTACGACCTGTACAGCAGGTGGTACAACCCCGTCAAGGAAAAGGTCGAGAACGGAACAGCCCCGCCGTCCTTTGTCCGCGACGTCCTACTGAACCCGGACACGCGGTACAAAGGCAGCCACGAAGAGGGTATGTACGTCGCCATGTCGCTCGTCGAGGCCGGCAGCGACACGACCAGGGAGGCACTCAACATCATGACTATGGCGGCGCTCGAGTACCTCGACGTGTTCGTCAAGGCCCGCGACGAGGTGGACAGCGTCTGCGGCGTCGGCGAGCACGCCCGGCTGCCCACCCTGGCCGACATGGACGAACTGCGCTACATCTGCGCCATGGCCAAGGAGGTCCTGCGTTGGCGGCCCATCTTCCCCCTCACCCCAGACCACACGGCGACGCAGGACATCGAGTTCGAGGGCTACTACTTCCCGGCCGGCACCGGCTTCACAATCAACGGGCCGGTCGTAAGCTATGAGTGCGAGGCGCCCGAGGACTTTGTGCCCGAGCGCTGGCTCGACGGCCATGAGACGGACATCGCGCACGGCCTATGGGCCTTTGGCGGCGGCCGCCGCATCTGCGTGGGCTACCGCTTGGCCCAGCGCAGCCTGTTTCTCAACATCGCCAGGCTAGCCCAGTGTGTCGACTACAAACCCGTAAGTCTTTTTTTCTTTTTTTCTGTCGCCTGTTGCCCGTCTCCTACTGCGTAACCCGGCCTCGAGCTCACCCAACGGCTCCTAGAACGGCCCCTACAATAGCCACATACTGAACCTGGATGTGGCCGGCGAGCCGTTCCCTGTCAAGGTCACGATGCGCAGCCCCGCCTGCGAAGCGCTCATCCTGCGCGAAGCGGAAGCTGCCGGGGTTCTTGAGCACGCGAAATTGTTCCGAGATGAGGACGAGGCCCGGGTGGAACTCGGGAGCGGAAGGTGTAGGTTTACCAACCGCCTATTCAAGCATCTATAGTAAAGTGCTTTGGTATCATCCTTAATTCATCGTGTGCATGACCTGCGTTCCCGGTGTTTTTTTTTTCCCTTCTTCGGGTTCAGGGGTTAAACGACTCGAAGCCAGGCGTCTCCCACCCGCGAAAAAGCGACAGTGGGTCGGGGTCCAAGAGGAGCGACACATCAATATCTCCCGGGGGAGACCAGCTCCCCGTCACGTCCGCGCAGAGACCGGGGTCGATCTGCTCGCCCGACGGTTCTCGTGCTAAAAAATAAAGAAATAAGAAACATCAATTCTACCCAATTGTCACCGTCGAGCGCTCTCTTCCCATCGCGCGACTCACCTGTCAAAAGCTGCGTGACGGCCACGTCGATCTTCCGGAGCAGGTCCAGCGACTTGCGGGCGGAGACGCTGACATTGGCGATGCTCTTGAGGATCTCCTGGCAATGTTCCCAGGAGTCCGCGACGACGGCGTGGTCCAGCCGCGCCCAGAGAGGCGGATATATGCGGCAGACGATGAGGACCAGGCCGGCGGTGCAGGCGTCTGCGAGCTGTCAGCTGCCGTGACGCCGTGCATCGTGTTAACCAAGGACTACGCCATTTGTGGGAAGTCGGGAGGGGGGGATGGTTCCTCACACAAGCTGTTCCACCACCACGCCCCCGTCGTGTCGGTCTGGTAGGAGCCATTTACCAAGGAGATGAGCCGAGAGGCCGTATCCACGCATACCCTGGCGCACTCGGTTGTAAAAGGGGCTCGGAGGCCCTTGTCTGGCGAATTTCTTGACGCGGGCTCGCTGAGGTCGGTTTCCTGGCGAGGCCTGGCAAAGGCCGCAGAGAGCTTGGCCAGAACCGGCCGGTGTAGAGTGAGACGCACGTAGAGGAACCTAGATTTCGGCACGCTCAGCACATATGAGAGAGGAGAGGGGGGGGGGGGGGGGGGGGATCCCCCGATATAAGAAAAGGGGGTTGTTTTTCGGCGAACCGACCTCGCTTGAAGCACGTGCTTCTGTATGGCAATGGTTTTCGGGTCTTCCGGGGCCAGCAGTCCCTCCGACGGCGACGCGGACTGCCACGACAGGAAGCGCGGTACCGCCCTCTCAAAGTCGTCCAGCCGTGTGTCGAGCTCGACGATGGCGTCGAGGCTCGGCATCCCGTCCGCCGCCGCGCTGCCGGGGCTGCGGAGCCGCTCATTTTGGTGGCGGCTCCGCCAGGGCTGGTGTATCTTGCACAGTATGTCTTTCAGCACCAGGCTCAGCTTGAAGCTTTGCGAGTTGAACTGCAGCCTCACTTTCTCGGCGTCCGTCTCGGTCATGGACTGCGGCCGTGGCAGCAGGTCGTTCACGACAAGGCAGGCGGCCACGGTCGGGCGGCCATACGTCATGCTCACAAGACTGGGGTTTTTCGTCAGTGAGTTTTTTTTCTTTTCCTTTCGAGATTCTTTTTCTTCTTCTTTTTCTCTTTCCCCCCCACGGCGCGTATACCGAAAAAGACTCACGTGTCCATGATAACGCATCCTTGCCACGTCCGCCGCCGGATCTCCTTCTCCAACGTCGCTTTCCCGGGCTGCCGGGCCGCCTCCATGTGGAGGCCGAGCCCCTGGGCGACACGGCACGCTATGCCGATGGCGTTCCAGCACCGGTCCGGGAAGGGTGTCGCCTGCATCACGAGGCCGCAGAGGAGCAGCGTCTGCACGACGCCCAGGTTGTTCTTGTCCAGCAGCTCGATGCCGAAGTACTGTCGGCTGCGGAGCAGAAAGAGCTCGATGCCCTTGGCCTTCTCGGAGGGCGTCAGGTCCGCGTAGTTGCACGCGAGGGCGAACATGGAGTTGAGCGCGCCGTGGAGGACGATGGTCCGGGCGTCGGCGCCGGGGGAGCTGCCTAGACCGACGCCGTGGAACCGGTTCGCGGCGGCGTCAGCGTCGGCGGCCGTGGCGGGCCGCCAGAGGGTTTGGTACGCGTGCTCGAAGGCCGGCCAGTGGAAGACCGGGTAGAGGTAGTGGATCCGGCGGAAGTAGATCTGGATGAGGTGATCGGCGAACGGCCGGGGCGGGAGGGGGAGCTTGTCAACGTCGGCAAAGGGCGACCGGTCGGGCGCCGGCGCGGCCTGCTGGTGGTTTCTGAACAGGGAGGAGGGTTCGGCGCTCGAGGGGGGCGGGTTCATCGCGCTGTAGGCCTCTTTCAAGAAGGACACGGCCGAGGAGCTGCCGTAAAAGTCGTCTTCCACGTGGTTGGGTGTGACTTCGAGCTGGTCTTCGGCAAAGATGGTACCCATGGCCGTCACTCTCCTAGGCTCGACGGAGTGCTCCATGCTGATGCCTGAATATGGCGAAGGTAGCTGGACCGGCGATTGATTCATCATCCCCGGCGCATCCACCGGGCCCGACTCCGTGGCCTCGAGCGTGGTGATTTCAATGCCATGAGCTACGCAGGCTTGCTCCAACTTGCGGATGCGCTCATGGAGAGTCTTTGTGTAACTGCGGGAGGTTAGCGTGAGCCCGGGCAGGCAGCCATTCTCACGAGCAGTGAAGGGCTCACTCACTCATCACTACACGCGGTCCTCGCGTTGCCGACCTTGTATACGCATTGTTCCAGGTCCAGAGACCTGCGCCGGCAGGTTGAGCAGATGGGCTTGCCGCCGTCGCAACGGGCTTTCCGCTCCCGGCACGGCTCGCATGCCAGTGCTATATTGCGACGGCGTTGACGTTCTTGTGGCTCGGGCGGCATCGCGAGAAAACAGCGTCCTTCTCGCGTGCAGCGTCGGAAAGGTTCCGTAGGGGGATCAGAGCAAGCAACCTAGGCGACACATAATTGTCTGCTGCACGCGGAGCTCTCTGTCTAGAGTCACTTGGCTCAACAGCTGAGAACTGAAACGGGAGTATAATGGCCGACCGTCAGTGCGGGGTTGGGGGAGTTACTGCTAAGTCCACGGACATGGTCTTTTTGATATTGTTATAGATCGGACGACGAGTTCACCGTGAGAAGCTCCTTCCGACCCTCGCTCATCGTAGTCTCTAGCAGTCTAGCTCAACGGCGCGCACATGTCTCACAAGTGTCGAATTCGCAGCTGACTTGTGTTTTCTACGTTTCACGAGTTGCGACTTGGGTCATGAGGCGAGTCGATGTCGAAATAACAGCATCTTACACGCAACAGTGGCGACTGTAAGAAAGCCAACACAATCAATACAAGACTTTATTGATCGTGCGCTCGGCAACCTCAATTAAGGAAATGTGTACTCATCCAAGTCTCTTGGGGGTTGTATTATATCCATCCGGCAGAGTTGTATGAAGCGAAAACATTAAAACAAAAAAAACCACTTCATGCCGACACTTCGGATACCACAGAACATATGAACACGACGGGAGAAAGAGGACGCCAACTTCCGTCTAAGCGTTATGCACAGCCAACCCCAGCCCCTGCCTGCCCGAATAACCCCAAGCCGCTATCCCGGCCGCCGCGAGAAGGAGGATAAGAAACCAGGCGCTAGGCCATCGCTTCCGGATCGAGGAGACCATCGTGCCCGGTCCCTGTCACGTTCAGTCAGCACAGATCGCCATCGTTGCCGACGTCGATCATCCTCGGCGGCGGCACGCGCGGGGGGGCGGAAGGGGAGGGGACCAACTTACAGCATACTACCAGTGCGAGTAGATGGGGAACAGGCAGCGGTACCAGAAGTACACCTGAGAGTAGGGGTAGCTCATGGCGTTCCACTTCTTCAAGCTGCCGTCTTTCCTCTTGACAAAGTACCAGCTCCGGCAGCCCGAGTTACACACCGTCTTTTGCAGCGCGTTCTGCATCTCGTCCGTGTAGTCCTGCTCCGCCTCGCGCCTCGGCTCCGCCGTGGTCGCGCGGCCCTCCAGCACCGGCTTGAGTACGCGCAGTGAGTAGTTGATGTTGTTCTCCAGGGCCATGATGGCCGACGTGTGCCCCGTCACGACGTTGGGGCCTGGAAGGGCGTATGTGTCCTAGTTAGCCCGCGTTCGACTTCCCAAAGAACGCAGGGGACGGGCCCTGGACTCACCTAAAAGCAGGACGAAGTTGGGGAACCCGTTCAGCGCTGAACCGAGGTAGGCCGTAGGCCCGCCAAATGACTCCCAGTGGCTCTGCAGAGTCTCGCCGCGGCGCCCGATGATGTCGATGCCGGCCGCGAACTCGTTGGTGTGGTAGCCGATGGCCACGATGATAACGTCGGCCTCGATCAGCCTCTTGTCCGTCCGCACGCCCTCCGGCACGATCTCCAACGCCTTGTCGTTAGTCAGCGTCATGTTGTCGGCGTGGAGGCTCTGGAGGTACCCGGCGTCGAAGATGCGCCGCTTGCAGCCGACCTCGAAGTCCGGGATCAGCAGGTCATGGTATTTCTCGGGCGCCGTGGCCCGCATGTAGCCCTCGTTGACCCGCCTCTGCCTCTCGCGGAACATCTTGCCAGCCCTTGTCAGCGGAAACCCCAGGAAGGCGTACTCGGCCATGGCGAAGACGGCGAATCGCTGCAGGGCCGTCATGCCGGGGATGCGATTCACGACGAGGCGGATCAAGTCCGGGACCTTCCTGTCGATGGGCGGGAAGATCCAGTGCTTCGACCGGATGATCTGCGTCAGGGACTTGACCTTGTGTACGATGGACGGGACGACCTGCGCCGCGGTGCAGCCGTTGCCGAAGCGCACCACTCTCTTCCCCTCGAGGTCGATATCCGGCCTCCACTTACCGGTGTGGCAGATGACGCCCTTGAAATTCTCGGCACCCGGCACATCGATCTCATTGGGGGTCACCAGGGCGCCCGTTCCGACGAACAGGAACTGACACTCGTGGAAGTAGACGGCCCCCGACTTGAGGTGGCGGATAGTCATGCGCCACCTCGCCCGCTCCTCCACCCACTCGCAGCGCTCGACCGAGACGTTAAAGGCCATCTTCCTGACCAGGTCGTACTTGTGGGCGACCCGGTTGAGGTACTCCCACAGCTCCGAGTAGGTCGGCAGGACCCTGGTCCAGTTGGGGTTGGCCTCGAACGAGAAGCTACACAGCGCGCTAGGGACATCGCAGGCGCACCCTAGACGAGGGGGGAGGAAAATGTCAGTTGTTCTTTGGGAAACACCATGTCAAGGCTGGGGAAGAGAGGCTGTACCTTACCTGGGTACTTGTTGATGAACCACGTCCCGCCCAGCGTGTGGTGCCGCTCGAAGAACTGGATGTCCTCAATGCCGTACCATCGCTTCAGCTGCGCGCCCATGCCAATGCCCGCGAAACCGCTTCCGATACAGGCGAACTGGCTGTAAGTCACCCTCCCGTCCTTTCCAGCCTCGACGTACCGCGCCATACTCGGGGTGTTGTCTGTTGATAGGAATGCGTGCGTAGTTATGGCGGTATGGATATTGAGAAGATGCCGAGAATCGAGATCCAATTACCTTTTCCATTTGTTAGTGCGAAAAGCGCGAGGCACAAATTTGAATAAGTACAAAGTAGCAGAAAGATCCTCAGTGAACTCTCCAATACATTCAACCGCCGCTTCTTCTTTTCCATCCCATCTACGACGCGAGCTCGAACACACTCCCTACGCACCTAGGTATAACACGGGCTCGGGTGATTTCCGTAAACGGACGTTGGAACGTGTGCGGAAGCGATCCTATTGGCGCTGAGGGTCGGAACCATCCCGACAAAGCTGTTGACCCTCGCGGAGCGAGGGTGGGAAGTGGGAAGATTCTCGAGCAAGCTTCAGATCACCGTGCTTGCTCTCATCATCAGGCTTCGAGTATCGTATAATATGCGTGAGGAAAGATGGTCGCCATGGAATACGCTTGCGTTTCCTTTCAAAGCAGCCGCGGCAACTCTACCCCTACCTGGCACGGCTTGGATTATGTGCGAATTATCGGACGTGGTTCATTCGAGCGATGTACCGGATTAAATGCGACAAAGTATTATTACATCGGAGATATTAACTACAGCAATGGAACTATTCATGCTACCATTATAGCGTCTCGATAGATTCCCCCCTCGGCTCACAGTCTAGCCTTCAAGTAGCGCTACGGCCTCCCGGAATTTCCAACTTTCCAGTCTTGCTGTTGACTGTCTGATAGCCGCCAAGGTCAACCGTGAGTTTCTGGGTCTCTTCTCTGGTCATCCTCAATAGCCACTCGGGTCCGCCCCGCTGGCAAGCATAGGGCTGTCAGTAGTCTTTCCACAACGGGTCTCAGATCGGGCGACTTACCAACATGGCCACGTATCGCATGACACCCGGCATGTATATCGTCTTCCCGAAGCCGCTGTAGAGCGTGTCCACGAACAACCGGGCTACCGTTTCCGATTCGATAAGCGGGAAGAGGAACGGCGACTGCCCCGACCGGTCGCTCCTGAAAAATGGCGTCTTGATGAAGCCGAAGACACCAAGTGTCAATCGCACCTTGGGCGCTTGATTGACGTACCTGAGTTCCAGTTGGAGGGCCTGTATAACCGTATCAGCAACTAACGGGGTGTGATTGGCCCATGCTCTCGTGAGCCTCTCGACGCATACCTCGTGGAGAGCTATCAGCCCGGCCTTGGTGGCCGCGTAGTCCGCGATCCGAGCGGGCGGCATCATCGCGCTCATGGACCCCACGTGGATGATGTGGCCGTGGTTCGACTTCACCATGTGTGGGAGGAACTCCTTCACCAGCAGGAACGGGGCGACGAGGTTCGTATTGATCGTCAGCTCGACGTCCGTGTAAGTCCCATCCATGACCGAGAATCCACGTGAGAGGCCGGCGTTGTTCATGAGCACGGTCGGGTTGCCCACCTCGCGCCTCACGCGTTCGCACAGGGTTCTGATGGCCGCCTTGTCGCTGAGGTCGCACTGGAAATACCGCACATTAGCCTCGGGCGCCGGCCGCCAGGTAAGAGGGACGTAGTCCACGACGACGACCGTCGTGCGGGGGTTGCGAGCCACGAGCTGCTGGGCCACGTTGGCGCCGATGCCGCTGCTGCCTCCGGTGATGAGCACCACCTCGTTATCCCAGTCCCAGGTGTCGTCCCTCGTCCAGTTGTTGGCGGTCCACTTGTTCAGCTCCTCATGGAGCCGCAAGGCCAGACCGGCTGCCGTGAAGAGCCATACCGCCAGGAGAAGTTGAGGGAGACCACTATGCAACCCGCGGGCACTGAGTGTGTCCGGTTCCAATATCCAAGTCACCGCCGCTGCCGCCGGGGCAGTGAGCCCGGGGTTGAATACGGTGCTGCGAAGCACCGCAGCAATCGTGTCTTTGTTCAAGTGTTTTAGTATAGATGACATGATGCATACGTGTCGAATGTCCCAATCTGCACAGTGGGCAAGAGCTCCAGCTTGGGTTATGTCTCGATCCCGGAGGACAAGAAAGGAAACACGCGCCTAGGATTTTTATTCTAGCATTGTAGCCGAGCATATAATCGACTCTGCCCCCGTCCGCCCGTCCGTGCATTGTCGTCGTCCAACTCGAGACGATGGAACAATCCCGCCCCCCCGTCCTCCCATGGCATCGGACCTATTCCGACGCTTCCAGTAGCTCCCCGTGATAACGCATCAACAAGCAGGAAGCTTCCCGTCAGCACGGTATCTAATCTTCAGATGCCGTGAACACCAGCCAAGCATAGGGCCCGATGGTCGATATGTCTCGGTCCCCCGCTCGTAGACTACCCCTCCCACTAGCGGCCCGACTTGGGGTTCCAGCTGAACAGCTGAACAAGACAATTCATATTCGCACCTCGCACCACCGAGGACATTGCGAACCTTCTCCTCGCCGTTCTTTCGCATACTGTCCAGCAGCCAGAGCCGCATCGCACCCAACATTCCCACCATGACTTCGGCGCAGACCCCACTAGGCCCTTCCGGGGTGCTGAACATGCTTATCCGCCTCCTCTTCTGTGAGTCTGAATCAGGTGGCATCCACTACTGCCTGGGCGGCCGCTTACATACACGTGAATAGCCGTACCTCTTTTACTCTTCACCGTGATTCGCGGGCTCCCGATCGCCATTCGCCGCGGGGTCTCGATCAAGTCGTGGCTCTTGAGCGCTTTCTACCGCGTCGTGATGGGCTATCTCAAACCCGGCGAGATACAATACCTTGCCGCACCTGCGCGGCAGGTTTATCCAAGATGGCTGGCGAAGAAGAGGGCTAATGTCACCCGTCTTGGGGAAGCCAGTGCCCTCAATCGGCTGGTTGAGGATGTCGAACCGCTCGATGAGATGGGCGCCCGCATCATGTGGCTCCGAGATCGCAAGAAGGCCACGAAAGTCGTGCTTTTCTTCCACGGGGGTGGATACGTCGCTCCCATCTTGAAAGGCCACTTCACGTGGTGTTGGAACTGTTATGTCGGCGACAGTTCCGGCATGAAGAGCGAGGTAGCCGTCGCCATCCTCGAGTACACGCTCTGCCCGCAGGCACAGTACCCGTCGCAGCACTGAACCACGTCTTGAAATCCGGCATCGCGCCCGGCGACCTGGTAGTGGGGGGGGACTCGGCCGGGGACAACCTGACCTGTCAGGTGATCAACCACATTCTTCGCCCGCACCGGAGATCGAGCCTGTCCGCCTCCGGAGTCCGCTAGCCGGAGTGTTCATGGTCTCGCCCCTTCTCACCTTCCGGACGGAAACGGCCTCGTTCCGCGAAAACGGCCACGTAGACATGCTCTCAGCCGCCATCGTTAGCAGGGGCAATACGTACATCTTCGCGGCCGAATCTCTCAAGAGGCAGGTCGCGAACCCTCACCGGCCGCTGCCTCTCGACGGCGACCCCGAGTGGTTCGGCGAGGTCCAGACCGTCGCCAAGGCGGTCTACTTCACCGCCGGTGGGCAGGAGGTGTTCCGAGACGATGTACGGGCGTTCGCAGAGGCTGTGAGGCGTTGCAACCCGGACGTGGACTTCAAGCTGGACGTGGCGGCCAATGAGGTCCACGATTCGATACTGCTCGAGGCGGAGCTCGGCGTGGCAGGAGATGCCACCAAGAGGATGAGGCAGTGGACTTCAAAGTGTCTTGCGTAACCCCAGTGGCTTTGTGCCAAGCGGGCCATCGTGTGGGCCTGATGAGCAATGCATCAGCTTGTCTTCCTGGTGTTACGAAAGAAATAAAGGACATTTCTCCTGTGATATACCTCGGGTTGCTATAGACCACCCTCCTTCTCACCGAAACCCATCAAGTATCCGTCGCCCTGACTGGAAAAAGAGCACTGGTTTTTCAGTACCTTTGGTCTTCGAACTAACCCAGGCCATATGTGGCCACGCTTCCTCTCGACAGCCCACTCGGGTAAGCTCCAGTCGATTGCACTGTGCAAGAAACAAACCAACTGCAATGTTGTGTAAATGTAGCATCGTCGAGTACTGATCGTCGACTTGGTCAGAGACCAGGTGCGTCAGACAGTGGTTCATGAGCAAACAAAAGGCTGCCGTCTGGACCGTGTCTTCTCGCTGGCAACCATTGTCTGGTCTCGGATCGTTGGCATGGACCAGTCTCGTGCCAGGCGTGGTGATCGGTGTCGCAGACTTGCACGATTCGACGGCCTCTAGAAAATGATGAGTCGACCTAGCAGAGTGCTGCGCTGCCGGGGGGCTCCAAAGGCCACCGAGAGAGCCCTTTGCAATTCCATCAAACAAAAGCAAAGAGACCAGGGTAGACTCGAGCCGAGGCGAGGTCACGATACCCGAAGGTGCTTGGGGCAGAAGGCGGGGTGGGTGTCTTCGCGTCGCTCCTTCCGATCGACAAAATAGCGCCCCTTCCGTCATCCAGCACCACTAACAAGCGACGAACGAATGCACGTCAAACACGCAGAAAGGACTCAGGTCGGGAACGGAAACAGAGAAAAAAGAAGTGACTAGATGAATGCAACTTCGTCCAATCTCCATCAAAACGAAGAAAAAGGAGCGTACCCGATTCGTCGCCCTGTGAGACCATCCCCCAGCTATTATTACTCAATAGCCGAAGCCAAGACCGCCACTCTCCCCTCCACCAACACGGGGAAGGAAGCACTTACGTGATATTTACATGATGAAAACTAGCCAAAGCCGAGGGAGCGACAAGAGACAAGCACGTCACTTCCCCTGGGGACGAAACACCTAAAAGCTGCCCGCTGCGCGTTTCACAAATTATATTTGAGGCTCTTGTCCTTTCTTCTGACGACACACCCTCTTCTACCTGTCCCGTTGTAGTTCGTCGTGGTGTTTAAATCAACGTCGCTCGTCTGCACAACAAACACGGCCCCGTCCGATAATATCCAAGCCATAAGTTCCTGCTATCTTATCTCCTTCATGCGCCACACACACACCACACACACACACAGTGCTCTGCGCCCGCACGCTCGCAACGCCCGCAACGCCCGCAAAAACACCACCCTGCCCACCTCTTGCGCCCGCACGATCCAAACACCCGGGTTCATCGTGCCTTCAACCCTCTTACCCTAACGGCGGGATCTCTGTCGCGCGTGCAGCACCTGATCGAAGGAGATTTCTTTTCTTATTCCCCCCCTCCTTCTTCAGAGATAAGCTAGGGGGGCAGTTGGTTCTTCCCGAAATCCGGGGAATCATAAGGCAGCTTGCGCCCGCACGATCTCGGGAAGGTCGTGCAGCTTAAATGTACATCGTGAGCCGCATCTTGAATATGACTTCATTCCTCAACGTCTCTTTGACGACGTCTCTCCAACTTCACTCCGTCGGCGGTGCTCTTTGCTTGCCAAGGGTACCGGAAGAAGAGCTGCTCCCAATTTCCCACTAGGCGCCCTCGCACGCCCCCCTCCCTCTCTTCCACTTTCACCTCTTCACTCTGACTTCCGACTTTGCCCACTCTTCCATTCTCCCGCTCTCCCGCTCTCCCACTCTTCCACTCTCCATCCCCAGCTCATCCGACCGTTCCGATTTACTTTGCATTACCCCCTTTGCCGACCAAGAGATAGGGAATCGCAATATCGGTACAAGGGGGTTAGTTACATGGACTCCACGTCCTCTCGTATCTCTCCCCCCTCCTTGCGCCCTTGATTGACGCCCCAAGATGCCGAAGAAGACTGTACCCCCAAACTTTTGTTAGTTTGGTCCACTATCTCGACGGCGTAACAAAGTGGGCATCGTTGAATCCGCGAAAGGGCGGGGGAAGCACTTGGGGGTCGCAGCTGGGTTTGTCCACTCAGAGCTGGATTCCTTATCTCTGCGGGTGGAGACCAACACACATAAGAACCAAGACTCGGCGCCGAGCTAATTAGTGTAAGGGTAGCAAGCGGATGCCCGATCATCATGGAAAACAGGGATTATCGGAAATGCGAAGGATGCACAGGCAGGGGGTGTTGCCTGATGGCGATGTCTGTCGCTGCTCACTAACCATCCATCCATCCATCCATCCATCCATCCATCCATCCATCCATGATTTACACCCCCCCGAGAATCCACCTTAAGGTCAGCCCCGATAGCCTACGATGTACGGATACATGGGGGGCGATATGGCAGGGGGAAGAGCATAGCGCTGGCGACAACTAGTTGAGGCCCTGATTGCCAACTGCAACGTCATATACGGCCATTGGCTTATCCGCATGATGCCGCGGCGCTTGACCTGGCCAGAAACTCCGGTTCGCCCCAACAAGGCGCATCACATCAGACTGTGAGCTGAGGGCAACAGGCACCACAACCGTCTCATGGACAGACGGCCTCGGGACAAGTGGAAATGAGGGACGAGGTCTCGGCCGAGAGGGTCCTGCGGTCGCCCAAGCTCGACCTAGTTGAGCCCACTCGCTATGCTTGCAAGATGCCAATGTCAAGGGCCAAGGACGGCTTTGTCGACCCCAAATAGAGTAAGAGGACGGGCCAGAACGCAAGAAAGGAAAGAAAAAAGCAATTAGAGAGAAGGGGGGGCGGATGCCTCATTTCCCGGCCACCTTGTTCGGGGATCGCCTGGAAACTCTCTCTTGAGTCGCGCGCGGAAAGTCTGAGCTCAAAGCCCAATCCCCCATCCTCTTCTCGTCCAGCAGTCCAGTCGACAAGAGAGAAAGAGAGAGGGGAAGCTGCACCGCCTCCTTGCTGTATCTTCAGAGACGGATGTTAAAAGGTCGGGCGACGTGCTGAACTTGACCGAGAGTTGGCCAATCGTAGCCCAGGAGACCGAAATAAAGCTTGTGCCAATGCTGACGATTGCGTTTCGATCCTCCCACACATCCTTCTGACCTCCTCCCAACTTGTGACACCGCAGCGTCCCGCCAAGCCTCTTTGGTGCGCTGGCCCTACCGAAGGATGAGACATGGAGTTACACACACACGAAGTTACACCGCACGCATCAACACCCCTAAAGGAATGTGTCATTTTCGTTGGTTTTGCCAGCTAAAAATCCGGAGGCAAGTCATGGGTCACTGGTATGCGACATAACGTGGTACGAATAGATGGATAGATTCGCTTTTGGCATCTCGGTATACCATGGGGTATTAACTAAACCAAATACGGTCGCTGCGCATTTTCTGCGGGATATCCTTCCAACAACAAACAACGAAACAAGAACATGATCAATCCCGTCCCTATAGATAACGCCTCGCTTTTTGACGCCATCTTGGCGTCAAAATCAGATTGTACAATTCGAAACCGCATGACTCGCCTACGCTTTCTCAAAGCGAAGGCGTCTTCTCACTCTTGGGCTCGCCTTCGAGCGTCGCAGGCTTAGGCTCGTCTGAACCACTGCTTCCACCGTTGTTGGCCATGTGCTGGTGCTCCTCGATGCCGTGTTGAGGGATGAACTTGCCCTCGCCGGCGGGCTCGGCCTGGTGGGGAGTCCAGGCGAGGAAGTCGCGGCGCACTTCGACGTAGTCGTACGAGAACTCTCCGTGCTGGTCGTCGTCCATACCCAGCAGCTCAGCCTCTTCAGACGCGCGAAGCTTCAGGCCGGGAATCATGTCGATGATCTTGGCAATGAGCGCAGACATGACAAACGCGTAGGCGCTGCAGGCGACAAGGTAGGCAATTTGGATGTACATGAGCTTGTAGTTGCCGTCAACCCAGCCGCCAGTCACGCCGACGTTGACACCGTCGAGGCCGATGATGGAGCCGGAGGCGAAGAAGGCGTTGAAGATGAGGCCGACGATTCCGCCGATACCGTGCTCGGCGAAGACGTCGAGGGAGTCGTCGATCTTGAGAAGGAACTTGACTGTAGGATTGTCAGTACTGCGTGTCAAGGGGTAGCATGACGAGGATGCTTACTCTTTGTGCCAAAGTTGCAAGCAACGCCGGCAACAACACCAAGGATGATGGAGGCCCAAGGAGTGATGACACCAGAGGCAGGGGTGGCGGCGACCAAGCCGGAAATGGTTCCGGAGCACCAGCCAACGAGAGACCACTTCTTGGCCAGGCGGAAATCGAGCAAGCACCAGGTCATTGCGGCGAACATGGCTGTCAGGCAAGAATTCCAGCAAGCCATGGCAGCGCGAAGGTTGGCACCGAAGGCAGAGCCACCGTTGAAGCCCAACCAGCCGAACCAGAGAAGAATGGTGCCGAGAGTAATGAGAGAGATGTTGTGGGGACGGAAGTTGAGCATCATCTTCTCGTTGCGGCGCCCGAGAACCCAAGAGTAGGCGAGAGCCGACATGCCGGAGCCGATCTCGACGGGACCGCCGCCGGCGTAGTCGAGGACGCCGTACTTGAAAGCCCAGCCGTTGGCGTTCCAGGCCCAGCAGGCGAGAGGGGAGTAGACGAGGGTGGCCCAGAAGAAGATGAAGACCATGCAAGGAACAACACGGCCACGCTCAGCAGTGGCACCGGCGGTAAGGGCGGCGGTGACAGCGCAGAACATCATCTGGTAGAAGGAGTAAAGCAGAGCGGGAACGAGAGGCGAGCCCTGGGACGGGGTGGCGAGAACTTTCTGGAGGCCGAAGTGTCGAAGGTCGCCGATGAAACCGTTGGTGGCAGTTTCACTAAAGGCCAGGGAGTAGCCCCAAAAGTACCATTGGAAGACAATGACGGAGAAACTCATCATGACAACCCACAACTGAGATAGGGCCGACTTTCTACGGGCGAGACCGGAGTAGAGGAAGGCGATGCCGGGAATCATAAGCAAGACCATGGCGGCCGAGACGAGGATGTAGGACTGGTCACCGGATTGGTACCATTGGTTCAGGTTTGTCCTGGCTAGGTAATGAAAGTTAGCATCAACGTGGTCGAGGCGGGCGCCGTCTGATGCCCAATATATGGCTGATTTGACATACTGGAATCGCCACCAAAATCGGCATTGGTGCCATTGAACTCGGTAGGAGCCCCAGTATGACTGTAAGACATGATGGGCGGTTGTGATGGGTGGTATCGGGGGGACCGTAGCGGGGTGTTCACCAGGCGGTAGGACGATGGTGGATGGGAGGGGGAAGAGAGAGAATTGTTATTTCAAGAGCAAGCTGTCCGTTGGGACGAGCTAGGATGAGAGTTCAACGGCCGAGGTAGGTCGGATACAGTATGAGACGAATTGCCTGGGTGGGAGGAGCGAACGGGAGGTCGAGAATGAGGTGGGAGGGACAGCAAGGACCATATATAAAAACACAGCACACTGCCGATGGCCTGGCTTCTAGACGGACGTGGTTGCAGCAAAGTGAACATGCGGAGCTGCGCCGTGTCTTTGGAAGGGGGGTGCGTAGAGCACCTGGGACAGCGGAGCTAGTATGGGCGGTCCGCATACGGAGAGGGCGTCATGAGAGGAGGGAGTACGGATAATGTAATGATGAATGGGCATTGGGCAATTGGAAAGGGGGGAAGGATACCTAATCATGGCGACTGACAGACAGGAAAGTGTAAGTGAGTGGGCGATAAGAAACACACGACACAGACCACCTTCTGGGTAAAAAAGATAGACATGTGAGTGGACGGGCATGGGCCGGCGCGGGTGAGAGATAAAGTGGAGGTGGGAGTGAATTAGGTATTCGCAGGGACGGACAGAAGGCGTTCTGTTCCAACCTGGATCATTGCCCCGTGGACCCGGCCAAAAAAACTCGGTGCTCTTTCTCTCTAGTCTGTTGCCAAAGAAGAGCCCGCCAGACCAGACCCAACCGTTCGGGGTGTCCTAACCAAGAGACGCCCCCCTGACAGAAGGCGGTACGTACTGCCGCCAGCCCTTGCACCTGCCGCGCCTCAACCGGCCACCATGTCACTGTTATTGTCATTCGCATTAGTCCAGGAAAGATGTACGTACCTGCTGCTCCTTCCAGTTCCCATCCTCTTATCCTGCTGCGGCTTTGCACTACGGTAGGTACATATGGAATCATCCAAGGTCAGCGAATATCCTCTACTGCTGTACATATCTGGTAAGCAGGTAGGCAGGTAGGTAGGTTGCGCAGATATTTCCCTATTTACGCTGACGGTGGCAGGTATCGTAGGTACCTAGGTACCTACCTGTTCTGGTGGTGTTAGCCATTGATTGATCGATTACCTAATCTCTATGAAGCTCTGGCTCGTTCTCGTCATGTACTGGCGGGACAAGCCTCCCGGTCGACCGAGTTTCTCAGAGTCTTCTTTCTTTTTCTCCGGCAACTTAAGTCGTCCGTTCCCCATCGAGCCCAGCATCGCCTCGGCAGACATCTGCGCAGATGAGATGTGACACTGCCACTGCTGCGGAACGCGCAAAAGAACAAGAAACAAACGAAAATGCAACCCGCCAAGCCGAACCTGCGAAACCATCAACACAACTTCAGCTGCTGCATGAAGCAGCGTTTCTTCTTCTTCTTCTTCTTCTTCTTCTCCTCCATCTTCCATTCCTTCCCACACTCGGTTGCCTCCCTCGAGCCAGTCCGATGCTTGGCTCTCATCATCAATCAATGATGGATCAAGAATAGAACAGCAAGACCGGCAAAGCGCGAGCTACACACACATCCGAGAGCCACAGATAAGAAAGCAGATGGACGCAGCGAGCTGTCAGTGGTGGACAGTAATTGGGCTGAATCAACGAAATGCCTCGGACCCACTCGGAGCGCCGCTTGAATTGTGGCTGTTTACGAATAGCCAAGCAATCCCATCGCGACATTCCAACTGCCTCCTCAGCTTTCCCTCCCCTAGTCGCTCCAATACAGGAAGAGCCAAGCTTCAGACCAGTTCCCGGCAGCTCCACGGCCTAGCAGTCCGGCAATTATTCGACCCACTCTACCTGCCCTCCACTGATGCTTGGTGCGGACGGGACAGAACTCGCGACGTGGGACTCTAAGTGGAGTAATCCTCTTCAAGACCTTTCCCGCCATGCACCCCCAAAAACACCCCCAATCTCCCCAGCTAGCGATACGTAGCTATGTCTCGACCTTGTCGTAAGGCTCATCTTTGCTTTTCTTTTTCTTTACTCTCAAGGGAACTTACTAGCAATCTGCCGCACCAGACATCCGCTCACTGCACACGACCTCGTTGGCAGGATTTGCTTGCAGTCTTGGCTGCAAAGCGCATAATACACCGTACGCGATACAGGCCATGCAACCAATAGGTGAAGTGAAGCTCACCCACCATCTTTGGAAGATGGCCGCCCATGTCCAGTATGTGCCTCACATGTCTTCTGGGTGCTGCGCGGCCAATAACCGGCGAGACAAGCTTTGCGTTCCTAACAAGACTATCTCTGTCCATGCTGGTCCGGATCGATAGCTAAGCAGACTAATCTTGAAAGGACGTTACTTGTGGCACATGCTATCGCTGTGTCCAACTGGTGAGTGTTCCTCTCCTTCGCATTCTCGAGTGTCCAGGCAGATTCGGTCAGCAGAAGCAAAGTCAGCTCGGCCGTGACTTAGCCGCGACTCGCCAAGTCTGAGTTCTATCCTCAAGGTTACAAAACAAACCTCATTAAACGGTATTTTCCGACCAACTTCCGCGGACTGATCCCGCATGTTGCGATTCCGGCACTCTTTGCTCCGTTTTCGGCACATGAAAAGGAAAAAATCGGCTGCCCAGACCCATCGTCTTTCCGGAGACGCGCCTTCGTTATGGAGGAGGGGGGATGGAAAATCCATTAGCGTTCAGCCCGGCAATCGGTTGCTGACATGCTTTACTACACGAGAACCAGAAATCCGAGGACCATCCAATTTTGGAAGGGCGGAATACCCCAAGGGATGCTCAAACTTGGCTTCCTCCATCATGGTCGATCACCGACTGGGGCGTTGCGAAAGCCCCAACCAACGGTTTGCGCTCGCTTGTGTCTTGTCTCCAGGCGGTCGCGTGTTTGCTTCTTCGATGCACACAACCACACCCCGCTGCGTCAAGGTCTAGCATGTCTAGAACAAGTGATTGAAGACTATTGACTCGGCGTGGGATGCTGTGTCTATCACGGTTTATCGCTGTGCTTCCCAAGGAAACCAACGGTCTGCAGCCCGTACATATGATGAGGCTGACTATCGGCAAAACCAGACTAAGGAGTCGTATGTGAGTCAAAGACTTGCCAATTGATGGCCACGATCCACTTGGTCATTGTCGCCACCCCCCGCGCACTACCCATCAGCCAGGTGGGACAAACCGGGAGTTGTCCAAGAACAGCAATGAGGCGTGCCCCCTACTCAGGCTATTGTCGTCGCTATCAGAGGATGTTTACTGCATCGGATAAGTATGCGGACGCTCATATGCAGTGAACGCATTATGCATTTGGCTGATGATATCTGCAATGCTGCGTTTTGGTGACGTTTGCCTTGCCGGCCTGTCTGATAAGCTCACCCGCGGATCGTCTGCTAGATCGTTCTTCTCGACTCAAGGCATGAGCATGTCATCATAGCAATACTGAATACTGGGGGGGGGGGGGGGGGGGCCCCGCTATCGCCTATCGCGCCCTGCTCGTCCACACTGCACCCCAGCTTTCCTCTTAAGGGTGACTGCCGGCTCCGACATGAGACCAGGCTGTGCCCATTGGGACTTCATCACTCAGCCTGTCAAAGAGCCGGCCATGGCCCAGTCCGGACGGCGTCTTCCCATGTGAAACCTCAAGTTGCGGACATCGCGACACAGAAGTTGGGGGCAACCGATCATGACGTCCCTGCAGAGCATGAGAGAAATGATCGTTGGAGTGGAGACGCTGGCCGTCCCCTGCCTCTGTTCCCGGCTCTCCGAGGCCTGCGCTAAGCCTTAGCCTTATCAGTGAAATATACTGACCAATCACAATGCCAGTCACTTTGTCACAGCAAAACGTCATTTTCCCCTTAGCAGATGGCTCCACTTTGAGGATACTTCATATCGACCCACGCGCTCCTTTCCGGCTGGTTGTGGGTCCATCCAGCGGCGCCGCCGGCCGGACCGGCCGAGGGGCGTGGGCCGTGTGTCCTTCCTTCTGGAACAATTCCGTCTGGATATGTTTGATTAAGGGTTGTCGGGAAGATGCGACTGCCGTTTACCATGTTTGTTAACTTGGTGCGGGATCATGATATACGTCGAGGCTCAGCTTGGGGGGGGGTGGTAAGGAGGGCATCTCAGCAGTTGGAGAACTCACAATTGTCTTGCGTGATACGGTGGTACGGGATGTATATCAGCAAGATATCTAGGTTAAGGGGACAGTTCAACACAACAAGGAACACATTATACGTAAATAGACAGACTGGGACATCTTGCTGTCATAACCGTTGGAAAGGACATGTGGCCGCGGATAAGGCATTGCTGACCATGCTTCAACCCCAGTGTCCAGGCGTAAGTAAGTCAGCGCCTGCCGCCGGAAGGAACGAGACGTTTCGAAGCACCAAGACAACTTCTGGTGTCCTAAGAGTCGGCGACCGTCCCACGCGTCCGTGAATACAAGGTAACTTGCGGGGTACTTTGCCTCGGGGTCTGGGGTCGGTCGCTGGAACTGCATGGCTTCCAACACAGCGGGTTGGAGGTATCTTCTGTCGTGCCATTTGGCCTTCTCGGACCAAGGCTGCACGGCAGCGCGGTCACCGGTCGCCGGGCTCCATCCTTCCGCCACCGTCCCCCCCTTTCGATCCAGTGTAAGGATCTGGGAGGGCTGACATCGAACACCGTCGTGCAGTTCCTCCGTCGCCAGGGGTTCAGAAGCCTCATCTCTTTTCCCCCTTCTTCTATCAGGAACCGCGGCGATAGGACGTCCCAGGTTCGGTGGGCTCCGGGAGCGTTTGCGCGGCTGTTGCTCGAACGAACTGTGGCAAAAGGGGATAACGGACACTTCGGGGTTTCTTGACTCTCGCGGTCTACCACCCAGTTCCGAATGTTCATGTTTCATTGCGTTTTCAAAAACCCTAACTATCTTGCTCGAACTGTGCCTGCCTCCCTTGTCAGGAATGCACAATGTCTGAGTTCGCTCGTAAGGCCGGGGTATCGGGACATTCCTCAGACTTCCTCAAAACACCATGACGCCGGCGACGAAAGAAAGAAAAGGCGAAAGGAAAAGAAGAAAATAGCTGACCCAATGTCTCTGTGACTCTCATGTGAGTATGAAAGCTGTGTCGGTCCCCGTGACCTCCAAATCGACGTCGGTGACCATGACTACCTCTGACGACCTCCTGCATCTGCAGCATTCTGACTCGGGAGACTTCATGCCTGTATGTTTAGCCAGCCTGCACAAAGCTAGACACACGGCCCAGCAAGCCCAAGTCAGCCGTCCGTCCGCCTCTCAAAAAATGAGAATGTCCTCATTCTTCTCATCCCGACTGATCTCATAGCTCAAAATGCTGTGATCGCGGTAATGCAGCATGAGCCTATACCGCCTCGACGCCGGCGATGGGGCAGGTGCATCATCAGACCTCAGCAGACACCCCGCTGCGCCGCCCTCTTGAACTGGCCCCATAGCAATCCCGTAAAGCCCACGAGGTGGTCGGCGTCCGGCCTTCTCGTCGGACCGCGTCGGTAAGACCCAGTCGATCCGGAACCCCCGCTTCAGCCTGAACCCATCTCCCGGAATCTCGTGTCGGGGCCGCGTAGGGGTAAGCAGGATCACGCGGCCAATGGCGGACCCGATCACCACCAGCGACAGCTCGGGCACATGGACAATCATGTTGAGGCGCTCGGCGTGCTGGAGCAGCGGGTGCGGCGGATAGTTCCAGCTGATGGGATCCTTGCAGAAGATGGCGGCGCCGTCATCCGGGTCGATGCTTCGCATCTCAATATCCTCCTCGTAGGTCCGTAGGATGCAGCACCGGCTGCCGAGGTCTTGGAGGACTTTCCTGTCCTGTTCCTTGGTGTTTCGGTTCTTCACCTCTGACCGGTGCAAGTATTGGAGACGACCGATGGTTGAAGATGGTGAGACGTATGTCTTGCCGTCATGAGGTGTGAATACCATGTCCAACCATGATGATTGATACCCGCTCAAGTCGTGGCCTGTTGCGGCTTTGAGGATGCTGAGAGTCCCATCGGGGGGCAAAATCTGTGTCAGCCCCTCCCCGACCCCCATGTCCTCTTCTGGATTGGATATCGCCTCTTCGATGAAGGTGATTTCGTTCGCATCGTCATCTCCAAGCAACCCAGCGAAACTCGCGTTATCGTCATCTTCACTTTCGAAAGCCGACGACATATCATCCCACGCCGGGTTCAGAACTTCCTCTTCCTCTTCACTCCATCCATCCTCATCGTGGTCAGGGATGAACAAGACAGCGTTCTGTAACAGAGAAGCAGGAGGGGCAGCGGCAGGAGCGTTGGGAGGAACCGCCTCGGCGCCATCTGAGGTGTTCCCATCATCGTCGTCGGGCGGTGGAGGAGGCGCGGGCAGAGCAAGCAACGGCTGGCCGTTTAAAGTAGCGGCCAGGAAGGCGGGCTGCTGAGGCTGAAACCATGCGATCGGAGGATGTTGATTTCCAAATGCTTCGGGTTCTGGCACACGTTGGGCGACAGGCTCTCCAGGATGATCGCGAATGCGCGCGAGACCGCGCTGAGTCTCGATCCACCGTCCCGCATGCGAGTTCTTTGCGTTCATGATGTCTGATGCCTCCATGCCTAGGAGATTCGTCACCGAATCTGCAGGCAGGAAACTCTCATATGGGAGAACAACGACTCCCCAACCCCTGGGGCTGACGTTAGCTAAATGTTGTGGGGGCCTGCCAACGAGACTTACATCGGGTTGCGGAAGGCCCATTGGCCCTGGATGTTGGCCCTGTGTGAGATCTTGAACGGCGCCGTCCCGACTTTCCAGATGTCCAAGACCCAGGTCGTCCCATTGATGTCATTCGCAACGACCTTCTCGGCAAATCCCTCGTGGTCATCCCACAGAGATATGTTGGGGATGTTGTGACCCCCGTCACCCAGGGGTATGCATATCCTCCAATTTCGCTTCCTCTTAAGGACCGATCTCTCGCAGTAGTCCAGCGGCCGCTCCCGACCCTCCATGGCCTCCGGCAGGCGCGAAAGTCCGAAAGCGAAGACCGTCACCTCCTTCCGGTTGGAGCTGACGGCGATAAGCCGTGACTTTTGATGAATCGCGATACCCCATGCCGAGACTCCCACATTCTCACGGAAGAATGGTTTCGGGATGAGGTTCGTGCTTCGGCAGCCGGAAGATGCGCGCTCAATATACTCGGCGACGTGCCTGGTGTAGTACGCAAAAACCGACCCGTCGTCGTAGACCGAAACAAGCACCTCCTCCCTGCCTAAAAAGCCCACTGCAATGTGGTTTGCCTGATGATGGAAACGTCTGTCGAGCGTGCCACCAATGTGTCGCGCAATCCTGTCGGGCTTCGTCGCCAGTATGAGGTTCGGTTCGCGCGGGAGTGCCTGCTTCAGGATGCTTTTGGGACGGTAGATGAAGATTCGGTTTTCGTAGGCAGCGAAGTAAAGCTGGGAAGAGCATCGTTAGCCAAGCGTCTTCCAGGGCCATTCTGTGCTGTGCCACCAACATTGTATCTTTGTGACAAGGCGGTGAGGTTGTTCCTGAAGTAGGGCGTCTTTGGTATCTTCCTCTCCAGACTAGGCGCTTGTGAGCCACCATCCACAGCCTCCTCTTCCTCCTCCACCCCGGTGACGATCTGTCCAGCCGGGACTCCCTGCACAAGCGTTTCGGTCTCAGACTGGGTTATATGGTCGCGCTCGCGTTGCCGTATGACTTCGGTAGCTCCATCGCCAAACTGCAATCCAGCGTTAGCGCCAAATCAGAGCCCAACATACCACAAGACAAGGGGAACAAAGCTCTTGAAGTAGAGACAGTTGAGAACAGCTGAGAATAAAAAAAAAACGAAATCCGGCATCACACATACCCGGTCCACGCAGGTTTGCACCTCGCACCTGCCCAGAACAGCCTCGCGAAAGCCGCGATTGTGAATCTGATCCTGTTGACCCGCCATCTACGGCGCCTTGGAGTCTTTCTCTCCCTTGTGCTTTGCGCGCGACATACGAGCCGCCAGTGGATGTTGGTTTTCTTCCTTTCAGCTGTGCGCTGCACTCTTCTCGTCTGACAGAGCTGTGTCGGAAAATAGGCCACAAAAAGAAAGAGGAGATGGGCAAGGGCCTTTTTGTGTGTAGGTGATGGAAGAAGGCAGGTGGAATGGTTTCTCCCGTGGCTCTGCTAAGCTCATTCGTCTTCCTCCCGTTTGTCGTCAAATGCTACCACCCAAGCCCAGGCGCAGCACCCACTGAGGGGATGGCGGTCCACTTTAACATGACCTTATCGATAAGCTGTCGGCAGTTGCTTTTATCGATACGAGTCCGGAGAGGTACCGGTACTGCAAGCTTGACCTTCAGTTTGCTTTGCTGGGTGGACCTTGCTCAACGCATCCATGTACATATCTGGAGAAGAGGGGTCGACTGTTTCAGCAAAACCCGCTTGTGGGGGCAATCGAGGCGGACGAGGAAACATTCCCGTCGATGGGGGGAGGGGGGTAAGGCTACGATATGTTCGGGGACCTCACTAAAGCGCATGGACGAGTTTGATGTTGATCCAGTGCTATCCATCTCTGCACGATGCATTTTGCTTCGTCCCAGCCATGAGTGCCTGAGCTTTTAAGTTCATCGTCTTGGGTCTGTGATCGTCATAAAAAAAGGTGTTGCTCTGACGCAGGCAGCAACTCATCCGGTAAACACAGGGCCACGAAGTCAATTGCCTTGTATCAAAGCTCATAATGATAACCTCTCGTCAATTTTTGGCATAATCGTCAGTGACCGTCTAGCTCGTGCCTGACCAAAGCCGGGTATCCGAAGCTGGCACGCAAAACGCAATGCCTGTTGAGGAGAACCGAAACACACTAACGCCGTTTGGACGCCCTCTCTTCCATGTCAAATACACACACTTGCCAAAAGCTCCTCGGTTCGTGACTTGGACAAACACCAACCGCCGCCTCGAACGTAGTCCAGCCAGAACTGCGGAGCACACTAAGCCCTCATGATCTCGACCATGTCCCTCATCCGGTAGTCCAGTACAGGCGTGACCCAGTCGTCCTCGACCAGGGAATACGTCTCCTTCACGTTATCCTTTGGTTTGCGCGGGTTGACGGCCCAGTAGCCAAAGTCGGCGTCAATAACCTTAAGGTACCGCAGCAGGTTGTTCCAGTAGTTCGCGTCGCCGATGCTAGGGTGGTGGGGCGCGCCGAACTCGCCCACCCACACGGGCGCCTGATCGCCCTCGACCAGGTAGGCCCAGTTGTGCCTCATGGAGTTGACAAATGACGTGTAGCCGCGCTTTGAGTAGCGCCCTTCAAGGCTTCCCCAGCCGGACCAGGCGTAGACGTGCGCCGAGTACACGACACGGTCCGGGACAGTGAGGACGACGGGCCGCTTGGCGACCCCGGTGAGGTCGTTGCCGGATTCCGTGCCGCCGACGATGATCAGCCAGTCCTTGTTCATCTCTAGGAGCCGGTTGCCGGCTTTCTCGGCCGCCGTGGCCCACTTGTCCCAAGTCATCGAGCCCCAGACGCCGCGCACCTCGTTGCGCAGGTCGACGCCAATGACACGGGGGTTGTCGACGAAGCGGAGCATGATGGTTTCCCAGTGCTGGATCCAGTCCTCCTCGGTCTGCTTGATGCGGCACAGCGGGCCGAGGTGGTCGTTGGCCCAGTGGGCATCGCAAGGGTCGGCGCCGCAGCACCACGTCGAGTGGGTGATGTGGTTGTTGACGATAACAGCGATGCCCGCATCGGTCAATGCCGTCACGCAGGCCTCGAAGATGTCGAGGGCTTTCAACCCGATGAGGTCCGGGTTTGCGGTGAGCAGCTCGGCGGGTATGGGCGGGTCGGTTATGACCATTTCGTCGCTGTAGGGCAGCCGCACGCTGTTGAAGCCCAGGCCGCGGATGGTCTGCGCGATCACGTCGCGGTGCTGGATATCGAGACCGCTGGGGATGTTCAATTCGTCGCTGGCGCCGTACCAATTGACGGACAAGAGCTTGAAGCGGCGGCCTTTCTCGTCGACGATGTCGCGGCCCTTTGTGTGCAGCGGCAGCGTGTAGGTGACGATACTGGTCTCCTTGAGCGGAGGCAGCAGAGGCCGCTGTTCGAACAGCTTGGCATCCGGGTCGGGCACCCACGCTACCCCAAGGGCGGCTTCAGCTCTCCAGAGGTAGTGGACGTAGCCGCCCAGGAAGACGAGGGCCAGAATAAGGAACATTCTGAAGTGTGAGAGGTTGACAAAGCCGGCGTGGCAGGTTCGCCTTCTAATTAAGCTCGAGTGTGTTGTTTGTGGTTGTGAAGGTGATCTCTTGCGGAAGAGGAGGCCGGTGGAGGCTCCATGATCAGTTGTCGCAGATTCGTCTATGCTCGGGACGTAGACACCGCCTCTGGCTGGTCGAGTGCTCGGTTGCTCGATGTCATCAATCCGTGCTCCATACTGGGGACGTCCTGAGCTCCAGCGCCAAACCCTGGCCGGCGAGCCGGGGTAGAGCTTGTGGAAGATACCGGGCAGCGGCATTACTGAAACTCCGGCTCAGGGCCCTTCCCTCTCTTGTGATTAGTATATTTCTCCCTGCCCTGTCGTCGTCCCCGATACGTACCTCAGTCCCCGTCCAGTCTTGTTTGGATACAATTCTCGAGCAGAACCCGCTGGCCTCGCTCTCAGGGCCGTTGTTCCGGTCCGCCTTACTATTATCGGCCGAGTGTGATGTCAGCCTCACCCCCAGGCTCTCGGACGACCAAGATTGAGGAACTAGCGTTTTCTCGTTTCGTTGTTGCGCCCTTATATCAAGTAAGGTCTTAAGATGGGTGGACCGTCTAGGAGACTCGTGAATGGAGTGTTAAGACGGGCGTCAGCCATCAACTCACTCTCATTCGGAAGCGCCATCTACTTATAATCCAGGCATACGGAGGTTACTTTTACTAAATAGTTAAGGATCTTACTAATAAGGGGTAATAGTATATAATTCTTAATAGTTACTTTATTAAGCCAAAATCCTCGTCTCCGAAGAAGCCGGAGCGGAAGCCATGGAATTCATGACATGGCGCTTGCTCAATGGACGCCGCCTCATCCCATTGCTGATGTGTACTGGTCTCACCCCGATCCTCGCGCCATTCACGAACCCATCCATTCCGCATGTTCCGGACAAGCTAATCCCACCGGAGACTCACCAATCCTTGCTCGGCAGTTCCCCGTTGCTTCCGCCTATTTGGCAGGTCGTCATGCAATCTGGTATTTGATACGGCCATCGTGCATTTGATGTGTCGCGTGACTGTATTCTTCGGGCTCTCGACTGCTTCTACATATCCATCCATCGTGATTCGCTCCGCTGTTCCCGTCCCTCTCCCGCCCGGGTGCGCCGGGGCCTACGAATTGAATAGGCCCCCTGCCACCGACACCCGTCATCTGTGGGGGTAGGCAACCATTTGCATTCCTTCGCTGCTTAATAAAGTCCGGACGCCGACGCTGATATTACATTGGTTCCCCCACCCACTATATACGCTGATAGTTCCCCCACATTACAACATTTTCTTATGGATACACTATTTGGCATTTGACCATCAGCACGCGCTGTCTGATTGATTCGGCCGAACATGCGCTTGTATTTGGGTAGTCGGGGGAGACGGAAAGTATGCTTTGAAGCCGAAGCCTGAATTACACGTTTCCTCTGCCCCCCCATCTTGTTTCTTTGATCTTTCTTTTACTTTTAATTTTAATCTTCGTTCCATCATTAACGAACATGTCGTCTGATTTATATCCTGTTCATCCCGAGTGGGTTCATGTCTTCAAGCCCCTCCCCTCGGGGTCGTGATTCGGGCCGGGCGTAAGTCGCTTGAGCGTCCCAGGCTGGCGGTGTTTGCGGCGGTCGAGGGCTTGAGAAAGACCGCATCGGCGGCTGGTAGCGAGCCGTTGGCCCAAAGTAATCGGGTGTTCTTCGTCCGCTGCTGGGACTCGCTATCGGTGATTTGACTGGGGTGATGGGTGTTATAACAGCGTTCGAGTCTTTCGATAGCATCTCGTACGCACGGGTATCTTTTTTCACATCGTATCGGGCATCCACCGATACGAACTCCTTCTTGCTTCTGCCGCAGGAAGAGAATAGGTCTATCCAACCGAGGACCATGGCCCAGCGGCCCAGTAGGAAGAGTAGCCAGATGCCGTTCATCTTGAGACAAGTCAGCGGGCCATTCACGTACGGCAAGTAGGGCACGGGACGGTTCTTACCGAGAGGAGGACCAAGACGGCTGTGATGGTTGCCTCGTTGACAACCAGCGACTTGGCCTTGTCGTAGCACTGGGTTCGATCGCCCTTTGCGCCGATGAGGCACAGGACCCAATCCTGGGCAATACTCTGGTCGTTATGCACTGCCTGGACAGTGTTGTCTTGGAAGACAAACACAAGCGAGAAGAAGATGACGTCGGTAACAATGATAAGAACAATAGCGATACCTCTCCATTGGAGCTGGATGACGCGCTGTACTCGTCGATACGCCTGGCGGGGGCTCATGGTGTTGACGCTGCCGGCGTAAGTGGGGAGGCTTGATCCTTCAGTCGTTGCGCTGTTGTCAGCAAGAGAGGCCAGGTAAACCTTGATGCAGTATCCAAAGGTGGCGAACTGGATGATGACTGTGAGTCCAGCGAAGACCAGAAGAGGAATCCAAAAATCCGCAAGGCTGTTTTTGTGGTTGATGTGGCAGGTTGCACCGAAGCGGAACGACACGCCGCTGAAGACGAGAGCGACGACAATGCCAATCAAGGGAATGCCCCAACCCGTGGCTTGTGCAAAGATCATGAAGGTCCGGCCCACGACGACTTGCCAGCAGATCTGCAGATGCAGAGACAACGATCGCAGGAAGACCCACATGACACCGGCCCAGCCACCAAGCAGGAGGAGGGCGCCAGAAGCGCCACAGACCTTGCTGGACTTCATGCTGTGGGGGGTGATCTCATTGTAACATTGTTCCGGCTGATCAGCAAGCGGAACAATGAAGCCAAGCTGGCAGGGTCAGTCGCAAGTAGCAGGGTGCTGGGTCTGAGCGACTTACATTCATAATAAGCACTGCCATTGTCAAGCAGATGCTCAAGTAATGTCTGTAGGTTTTTTCCACGGGCAAGCAAGCCCATGATAACAAAAGAAAGAGAGAGCATGCTGCGCTGGCGACGCAGACCCAGTTGACGGCCGTTGTCATGGTGTTGAATTCTGGGGGGTAGACCCAATCAGCGAGAGGGCACGGCAAGCAACATCGCACAGTCTCCGAGAGATTTTGGCATAGCCGGCCGTCGATAACTGCGTACCGTCAACAACTCCGCCCACAACTACGACGTGGCTGGAGACTTACACCCTTCATCGCTAGGAAACAGGTTCACGTCATAGAACGGGGCAAAACATCTTCCCCTAAGAGTTTCGTTGGCCATGGTCGGAGATGCCTTTCAAACACACACTGTTGTTGTTGATGTCGGTCACGTCCAAGGCACCCCGGGCACTGAAGTAGTATCAGGTGACTGGTGATCGATGATCAATAGTTCGGTCTTGCTCTACGCGGACCGTCTATTGACTTGAGTATTGCCGGAATGTTGTTGAAATGCTTTGCTGCAGCGGAGCGTCGTCGCGAAAGAGTTGGAGAGAACAAAAGGCCCTTTGGTGAGGGTGCTCAAGTTTGAAAAGGGGGGAGGAGATGCTTTCCGGTCTCTGATGAAGAGAAGATCTCAGTCCTGCTGAAGTACAAGAATCGTGGCTACTCGGATCTGGAAAAGATTTGACTATGCTCGGCTGTCTCGAGCAGGATGGCGGCGTGTTAGTAGGCTGGTGAGTCGGCGAGAAGTGTGTGTGATGCTGCAGAGCAGGGAGGGCGACTTCTGGCTATGTTGATAGCGTCATGATCCGTGGATGGAGCTGATAAGGCGGGTCGCAGTACCGCAACAACAGCAACTCGTGGTATCAAGGAGAGACTCGAGTAACAACAACAACAAAGAAGCCCGGAATCGATCAAGAGGAGGCGGAGGCTGGAAGGAGGTGGGTGGGACGCCATTATGTACAACGATGCGTGGGCTGGGTGGTACGTCGGGCAAAGGCCGCTCGCTGCGCATACCTGGGAGCGGCTGTTTCCTCCGTCTCTCTGCTGGTTCTCCCAGGTAGCGTGCAGTCTTGTGGTTTAACCAGTCACGACGCCAGCCCCGGGGGTCCAGGCCATAGATGCTGGTACGACGACACTCGACGGGCCAGGAAGGAGTCGGGAACGGGTACTGGCGCACGGTGATGGGTCGGCCTGCTCTGGGATTAACATGGGCTGTTGGGGATGGACAGGGGCCAATTGGGGATGCGATACAATGCGGTTGACGATGAAGGGTGTCTCTGTAGGAAAGTCCCGATGGCCTTCTTCGGGTCGCGACCCTAGAATGGAGCTCTCGCAGTGCATTGCGTGAGGCGATGCATCGAGTTCCGCGGGTCCTATTGGGGAGGCGAGAGAGTCCCTGACAGGGGTGCAGAAGTTAGTGAAAATTGAGGGATCCATGGACGCGGCCCTAAAGGATGGCAAAGAGGCACAGATTGACGGAAGGATGCTGTTGGGTTCCACGGACGAAGTTCTACTCCGTACACCATTCGTACTCTGGTCTAGGAGGACGGAGGAGTAAGCAATAGGTAAGTAACTACCTACCTGTACCTAGTGGTGGTGTGGGGCATATGGATACGGGCCAGGGGCCGGGAAGAAGAAACAGCGAGAGAGGGGCACGCCAGAAAACGGAACATGGAGGGGCGTATCCGTACAAGTGTGATGGAAGGCGGGGTGGGGTGGTAGGAAGAACCCACATTGATGGTCCTCGATTTACCCGACACTGGGTTGTGTTGTTGTGTGGATTCCACATGTAGTCGAGAATCCCTGAAAAGGTAGGTGGCCTCTCGCATGGCCCCACCGGTATGGAAAGACACTCGCCCGCCCAGTAAGGGCCGCAGGTCGGCCTCAGCGAGGGTCGTCTGCTGGGTAGGTAGCTAGTGTAAACTATCTAGGTAGTTTATCTACCTAGGTATAGGTATTTACGAATAGGTACGGATATTCAGTGGACCTATGCACGGTCTATCCTGTCCAATACGCTCGTATATAACACTGCTGTTAGGAATTGCCTACTCGTGCGTCCGGAAATCATTGCCGGTCACTTCTGATGGAACGCCATGATGGCTAGGCTGGCTGGCAATGTGCTTCCACAGTCCTTCATTCACCGATGCACTTCATCACACGAGGGGCACAGCGCAGGCTGCCCCTGACTGACTGCCTGCCTGCCTACACCCACCCACCCAGTCTATGCTTACCATCATCCTACCGCGTTGCCATAACCAAAACGTAATCTCCAAAGGAGCCAGTACCTGGCCTTCGCTTTGGTTACCCGTGATGAACTAGAACAGGACAAAGCCCGTCTGGATTGAGAAAGAACCGCACCAATTCGGCCACTTAGCCTTAGCCCGGGAGTCTGTTCGAAGCCATTGGCATATCTTACGTATGTACAGGTAGGTAGGCCGATCATCGATGGGCGTGACCAGACGAGGGGCACCTTCCCCAATGTCGGGATACGTACCTTCCGCCATTGACCGTGAGCCTCTTGCCGCCGTGCCGCCCTCACTCTCTTTCTCTCTCTCTTTCCTTATCCCTCACTCGACTCAACTGCTTTGCCCAATCTTCGGCCTCGATCCAAGATTGACCTCCCTTCAAGCTCTCTCCCTCTGGCAACACTACTCTCCCGAGACCATCATTCAACAGATGCCTCGTCAAGACTCTCCAAACTGAGCGCATTACGCTTGGTTGTCGAAGGCCTCCCGCTGACCCAATCAAGTGACAGCTTGCCCTCGGCTCAGCCTCTACCACTCGTTCAAGCCCTGGGGCTTGACGAGGAAGAGCCTGGCATCAATGCAGTCCTGCGCATCCGATGCATGCACCACCGACCGCCAGTTGGCAAAGATTTCTTGCCTCCTCCCGCCATCCGTCATCGCCCGCCCTCTCGGCACAGCACCCCGGATGAGATATTGTTAGCAAAATGTCTCTTATCGACGTCTCCATGGTTACACTGCATCCGCAGGTCTCACCCTAGCCTCGAACGTCACGGTGCCGGAGAGGGGGGGGGGGGGGGGGGGTGCAGCCTGTTGATGGTCGTGGTTCGGCTGCAGTTTCTTCCGGCTACTTTGAAAAGCGGCTGAGTCGGCGGCAACCCTTTTCGGCACATGAGTGATCTGGCACCGCCATGGAGCACAATGACTCACCACAGCTACCTACTCTGGCGGCTACCTAAACCTAGTGCTTGGTGCCCGGTCCAATGTTTAAGGCGGATGAGCCGTTGCCAAACCCGCGTGGCTGGACTGAGGCTCAAGGCATTCCAGCCTTCTGGTGACGCTGGAAAGGTGCAGAGGGCGTGCGAGCGTCTCGAGGCGCACAGGCGGGATACTAAGAACAGCCGTCGCAATTGGCTCCTCGCCCTGCTGCGCCGCTGAGTTCATCAAGCCCTCTGTCGGACTCTGCGCCGCGACCAAAACAACGCGCAACAACAGGTTTGGCTCTTTGCCATGGTGGTCTGCCGCGGTGGCTGAACATTGCGCTCAGCATTGTTTGCGCATTCGACGCCTGTGGATAATGTCGACATGGTCACACCTATTTTGAGATGCCGACACTGCACCTGACCCTGGATCGGCACTGCCGTGACACATCGAGACCGAGGAACGGACCGGACTTAGGGCTGAAATTACTCCGGTCGTTCTGTTGTTTGCGTAGCTTTGTATGAAGTAAGGAGGCAAACTGGATTCTTCGACCCCGCGACTATTGGGATCGAAGTAATGAGTGGCCGTTGGGGAGATGCACGCAAAAGCAACAATGGAAGCAAGCCTATGACTCTCCAGCGTCGTAGACCGGTGATGCCATTGAGCCTAGCGTCGACTTGTCAATTTCGATATCGACTTATTATGTGGCGTGTGGAACGGCGCCCTGTAGATCAACGGCGAAGCTAACACCACTTTGTTCGCAATTCCAACCACTGAAGCCCGAGGATCTTTGATCAGGTGAGAACCAAGATATTCCCCTGCCAGCAGCACCGGCGCTGACAATGCTTTGTGGACACCAAGCCCATGAACACCACTAACCAACCAAAAAGCGTGGCTTCACCGGTTCATCTTGCCAGCCGCTTTCAATCTCAATTTACCCAGGCCGTGGGCCATGGAAAGCCGGATAGATTGGCGTCAAGGACCCTGCCGACAGAGAACATAACCCCGGGGCGCTATCTTGGTCGGCCGCCATTTCGGATTCTAGAGTCATCCTGGCCAGTTGATCGTCTTGCGGGTCACAGTCGCCGATTGTACTTGATTTTGTCACTCCTTTCCAGCCAACGAGAATATCAAAGTCATCGCATCATCCCTTCAAGCCAGGCAGCTCCACAGCTTCAAACTAGAAACAGACACAGTCATCACGGCGCGATGGCCTTCAGTGACAGGGTGACGGTGCCACGCACTAGTGCAGAGGCCTCTGAGTGGTTGCGTGGCGCATGGTCACCGAACCTCTCAGCGCTCACAAAACGATTGCAGCGACGTGAATGGTCCGTTGGCCTCGTTCGGTTGCCCATACAAAAGCCCTTGCTCTGTAGATCGAGTGGCAGCCACCCAGGCCACTGGAGGAACACCGCATGGCAACAAAGTTAGGGTCGTGCTTCTCGTCGCTTGTCTCGGCCAACCAGCGTGTTGAGACAAGGGCGCTGTCAGTAACGCGAAAGGCGTTTGTATTTCATAGCTGGGTTGTGCTGACTCGGGCTGATTGCCTGGCCTGGCAGACAAAAGTCCATTCGATGATGCGTTGGTCCAGAACGCAGAATTTTCAACCCACATCTCGCCGCCCTCGAAACTTTTGCCCCATCGCTGCAGGTCCTGAGCCATCCTATGAGGCACATATACAACTGTGCCTGGCATAGAGACACTGCGCAATGCGGCAGGAAAGTCTCCCGCACCTCCGCGGCCCTAGCGACAACCCAAGCTGCAAGACCCTTGCTCGGGCGCCGACGTGCCATGTCCCTCAATTCATGGATAGCCACCCACACGGCA